CCCCCCCCCAAAACCCTGGCAGCACGCGGCACTCGGGGAACACGCCCCGATCCCTGCCGCGGCAGGACGTACACCCGCCAGGCACGAGGACACCGGCTCGCCGTATAAGCAGCGCGTTCATATATGAAGGGCGGTGCGTGGCAACCTGCTCCGGCCAGAGCCGGCCCGCCCGGAATGCGACGTCGTGGCCGGGGAGGGCGAGCGCCCGGCGCTGTTCGTCCGTATGGATGTAAGGGGCGAGGATGTGTGGGGCGGCGATGAATAGAATAGGGTCGCGATCCTCCAGTCGTACAAGGGCGTCACGTCTGACGAGGGCATCTCGGACGATTCTTGCGAGGCTGACACAGTGTATTAGCAAAAGTCAGTCAAAGGTGAAGTAACGACGTCGTACGCATCATCATTTGGGTTTCCAGCCATGGTTGAGAGGAGTTATTTTTAGCTGGCAGGGGGTGTTAGCCCGTCGTACGAGTCAAGGTCAGTGGGTAGGTAAACTTACTTTGTGTAGAGGCCGAAGGCAGCGCGAGATTGGTTAGATAGGGGGGGCGGCGGCGCGGATAGGGAGGCTTGGGTTGTTAAGGTTCTCCTCCCGGGTTATTTTTATACCAAGGCGGGGGATCGTCTTTCTTATGCCGGGATCATCGGCAAGTATAACGTAGGGCAGGGGCTTCGCGTCTTAAGTAGCGATAAAAGCTGTACCTGTACGGCTGTTAGCAAGGGCCGAAGTTGACTGCAGTCAACATGCTCACCACCATGGCTGGTAGTCTAATAAACCGTCTGGGTCCTTCCTAGTCTGTAAGTCCACGTCCATCGCGGCGCAGCTGTCTTTGTATCTGTCTTGGTATGTTGGAACAGGGGCAGACACGACTGATATACTCTCCTACATCTTCTAGAAGTCTTGTTTTTAAGTAGCGCCATCGTCGAAATTCAGCTGGTTAAAGAAATCATACTCCTTTACTGCAAAGGAGGATAGGAGTTCTTGCAGGGTGCTGAGTCGACGACTTTGTCATTATCGATCTTATCGGCCATGCGCTGGAGGATAAGATCCTGCGCGCTAATGGTGACGATAGGACGGCGACGACGAGTCTGACGAGTCTATAGACGGACATTAGCGTCGTACGGCGAGAAGGCAAGAGGAATCCTTCGTACTCATTTTGGGTATCTATAGTGTAAGAGGAGGAGCGGAGCCTGCATTCTCTTCTTCATATTCGATGTCTTCCCATGCTGGGTTACCATCGTCTTCTACGGCGAAAAGCCCACCGACCTCACTGTATCCAAGTTCTCTCGCCAATATCTTCCAATCTTTACCTACTCGAGCTCTAATATCAATTAGTATAAAGATTAGTATAAAGTACCTTAGTATACAGAAGTTAAACATACCTTTGATGTAAGACTCTGTCCCGAACATCATCCAGCATCTGTTACTTCTCTGCGTCTGTTGCAGCAATGTATCCTGCGGTATCTCTTATTTTCTTTCTTGCATATGTCACCGCTCCTTGGTCAGCCGCTTTAGCCTTGTTGATTTTAGAAAGAACGGTATCGTTGTTATTAGAGTCATTGCGCCTACGCGCTTTGATAGTATTTGGGTTATTTGATAACTGCGGTGGACGGACGGATGGACGCAACCACGACCCCAGCCCGCTATACGAGCAGAGCATTGATGTATGATGGACGATGTGAGGCGAGCTGAATATAGAAATGATAGAATCGGGCTCCTAGTGGGTTGTGTTTAGGATTCATATTCTGCTGTATGACGCCCTTCATAACGAGTTCCGATTTGAAGAGTCTTTCTCTACAACCGAGAATAATACGGGTAGATGGGGCGGTGATTGCATCATAGCTCAGGTTGCGTATCTCAGCCAGAGTGTCCGTCCAGTCTCTTGGATTTGATGTTGATGAGCATGGAGCAAAGTTCTTCGATAGTTAAGGGGGGGCTTTTTCGTTTTTATTGCCTTTTTGAAGACGTAACCGGATTGATTGTTGTTGGTGGATTGTTGTTTGGTGGATTGTTGTTTGGTGGATTGTTGTTTGGTGGATTGTTGTTTGGTGGATTGTTGCTGGTGGATTGTTGTTTGGTGGATTGGCGTTTGGTGGATTGGCGTTTGGCGGATTGGCGTTTGGTGGATTGGCGTTTGGTGGATTGTTGTTTGGTAAATTAGCGTTTGTCGGATTGGTATTTGCCGTATTAGGTGAAAGCTCAGAATGAGAGCGCCAGGTATAATCCAATTGGGAGAGAGCACATTGCGACTCCGAGCCAGTGAGCAGCAATCGTTCTAGCCGAGTAGAAGTTGAACGTCGAGGGATATGAGAATAGAGCTGAGAAGTCCAGGCTCTCCGTGTGCTTTGTCTTCTGCCCTAAATCCATCCATGGCGAGGTCCTACCTTTTCCAGGTTTATCTGTCAGCTACGCATATTTCCTTGCCAGAGAGAATTTCACTCGACATCTCAATCGCACAGAAGGATAATGAGGATTTAAAACTTACTGGACCATTAAGAATCGTCAATTGCAAATGCGCCACAAAGTATAAGTCTCCTAAGTCACAGACCATCTCGAATGCAGATATTTTCTCTCAGCATCATCTATACCAGTTGCACTTTCATGAACTCCTAGTCACGACAGGATTTGATTCAAGGCTTGAAGAAATAGACAAGGAAATGCCTGTCATTGACCAAAGGGGGAGCCGAAAATATTTGTTGATTGTCCTCCAGAGAGACAAAGCAAACGACTGATTGTTTCACTTGACATGTCCGTTTCCGCGTTTTGGGTATCCTGGCTCCTGCAGTCACCGCTTTACCCCGTAATAAGTTCGAGATGTTTGTGTTGCAGTCGTAATCCTATTTTCGTTCGATGACAACCGCAAAGAGACCGAGGGAAGAGACCAGAAGAAGGGTAGTGGTAATAGTCGATGCAAGGTATCGGGCAAGAATGGCAGAGGGACCTGTGGCGTTGGTGACGCTGTCGGCAGGAAATCGGTAGAAATTGATACGAGAATCTTTCCAGCTATGTTCCCATTAGCCATCGATGGAGCAACTGATGGAGCTACCAACATTCTGTATGCTGACACAGTGTTCGCGCAGACTGACAAGCCTAGGATACTCTCAACGGGGAACGTCTGGCTTTCAATTAGATTGAGCGAGATCTAGAAGTACTGAAGGGATTCGTAGTAAGGGAAAAGGACCATCAAGAATGATTATAATCTGAAATGAGAACACGGAGAAGTCAGGAAGTCTTTTGGATCTCGAACAATTGGGGACTGGAAGCTCTCAAGTACTGCGCAATGGAAGAAATTATCTACTTTGCTCTAAGGTAAGAAACACAAGGCGGACTCGTGACTATCCGCTGCCTTACCACAAGTTTCATCCCTCTCGACACCGAGCCACATACAACAAATCCTCGCCTCAGTCACACGCCATTCATTAACCTATTATCACTACACGGTAACTTCTCATGAACCGACCTACTTAGATACCTTTGATAACCAGGCGCTAACATGGGCTTTTCAGCCAACCCAGAACCACAGGGACTCGGACCGGTTTTGCAGATGCCCCTGTCTACCGAGATAGGTCAAGACCAGACTCGCAAATTGACTAGGGCTATATATCCAATTCTCGAGATCATGGAAATTCTCATTAACTCAAAGAAAAATGATTCAGACATAAGGTTCCGACCAATATGCCTACTCCGTTGATTCAGGGGGGGAGGCATGAAGAAGCTACCTTTTACCAGTATAGAAGGCCATACGACTGCTTTTCATGTATACCAACTCTGAAAGGGCCACTTATATTTTTACAACGGGTACTACCTCTCTATCCTGGTTTACCAGGGCCAGGCAAGGCATTTTGAGCACAGCTAGTTGCTCTTTCCGCTGGAAGGCAAACTATCCTTCTCCCGAGACCTGGCAGCTGAGTCAGGCTTCGCTTTTGCAAAGAACTAGATTTTCAGAAGCTTCTTCATGAGGGTTCATCAGTGATTTGGTGGGACAATGCGGGGATAGGCCGGCAATATGAATCAGGCATACTGCGTATACTGCGTATACTCTGATGTTAATAAGCGGCCTTGGCCTCATGATTTGTAGAGAGCTTGCAGAAACTGTATAGAATGCACAAGCTTCTACCACTGTTGCGAAGAACTTTCAAAGCAGGAGGAGTTCTCTGAACCTGCAGTCTGGTCTCAAGAAATCGAGGGTAAGGATGAGCGAATGAAGTGATATCCGGGAATACCTAGCATCAACTTGATGTATCTAGGCTCCAGTGAGCAATGAGTCCCCAGTCATTTTCAAAGCCTCATAATTGTGAGTGATTTGAAGATATATTGTTACCATTGCCAGGCAAAGCCTACCTACCTTAGGTAGGTACCTAGGTAGGTACAGGCATCAAACAGCTTTGTCGTTCAATTTAGATCTAGTGGCGCGCCTTGCGGGCCCGATGATATTCCGGCGCTATTCCTAGAAAGGTCCCCACAGCTGTCGCATCGAGGCAGAACTCGAACAACGGCAATTCAGAGCACACAGCTGTTATCTCACCCTCCTGGCCCAGTTCTACTCGATTATAAATACCATGGGCCCTGCACACCGCCGATAGCGACTTCTTCTGCTACACCCACCAGCTCACCGAAGCAAGGCCCACCCAAATGTTTTCAGAATGCTTGACCAGCTTTCGCCCGTTGCTCCTGCAAGAGTGCGAGCTGTCCTCCTGCCAATTGGGCAGATAAAGCGTGCTCGTTTTTTGAGCTTTGTGGATAGGTTACAGCCGGAGAATGTTGTTCAGCTAAGAGACATCAGTCCAGATGGACGGCCAAACAGGAGTAAGAGAGAGCCCGGGAGAGTCTCCTTTTTCTGACCATAGCTGATCTCCGACAGACATGTTCTCTCCACTCGCTTTTCCCACTGGCATGATTGTTTACGACCTTATAACACACTACCCTCCACCTTCACACGTCGCCCTGTCCCCCTTCGAACTCTACCGTGAGCCCCTAGTCATCATCGCGATTGCAGATGGAATTGAGCTCGACCATGCATCATTTAAAAAACATCCTAGGAGGAGCTTGAATAGCGGAAAGTCCACGTCCCTAACGGAGCAGAACTTGCGCGAATTAGAGCAAGACCTGGAGGACCTAAGAGACAGATACCCAAAAGCATTGGTGCATCAACTCCTGTTGTTTGACCATGTCCACAAGAAGCCCGCCGGGGCTCTACCTGAGGGTCTGGTGGCTGTGCCCCCACCTGCAGACTGCAAAAGGACGACAATGAAGACAATCATGTGTGACATCTCATCCATGCTGCTTGCGGAAATGACAACTTTAGCAAAATCATTACAGGCGTTGAGCACGATTGAATCACCCAGTTTCAACCAAAGCAATGGAGCATACGGTGGGACATGGTCAATAGATGATGTGATGTCGCGGCGCAATTCAGTGATTTCATTACCTGCTTCTAGGTCTGATTCACCGGGACCAGGTGCTGATCGGGGTCAATACCGGGTGTCAATGCCACCACAACTACGGTCCGCGTCTTCATATTCCAACTCTCCTTCCGCGCCAACGACACCAGCGCCATCTGATTTACCTACAACCTTCGAGCAAATAATTGGGCCTGACAGCAAACAAACTCCAAGCCTTGTCTCGTCTCGATTTGCTGGAGTTGCAGGGGCTATCAGGGACGTAAGCCGTGACCGAGTCTCTGTACAGGGATTTGGACCAGGAAGTAGCAGTGAACGGTCACGCAATGTCGGCAGAGCCCGGGTTGGTATAGTCATTGGCTCACTCTATATGTGCGCTGGTAGATGGAGTGATGCAATACGTGATCTGGTTGAAGCAGTGCAAATTGCTAAAACCAATCTTGATCATTTGTGGCACGCCAAAGCACTCGAAAATATTCTGGTGAGCATGCTTATGCTCGCTTGGGCTGGATTGGATTTTCAAATTCCGCAAGTCTGTTATCTTTCAGCTGAGAAAGCTGCTCCACAGCCATCAGACTCACTCGAGCCCCGGACTCCCACAAGCAGCCGTCTCGTATCGCTGCAAAATCTGGCAGCTTTACTTCCAGAGTTGGTGGAAAGAATCATGAATCTCTATGCTCGAGCAGCTAGTAATACTGGGGAGGCTTTACCACAATATCCTTTCTCGGAGACTGTTATCCGGTTTTCGAAATTGTTGTCAGCTATCCATCTCGCTGGCGGCGCCATCAGTGATGAAGTTCTACAATTCTTAGTTACTGGTACCCCATTCACGAAGCGGGCAAATACTCTAACGCCACGATTAAACATAAATCCCACGCGTACGGAGATTACGAGAATACTCTTTCGTGCTTTTCCATCGCCTCATCTAGAGCAACTATCTGTCCTGGATCGCACGACACTACTGGGCGGCATTGCTTCGGTTCTAGCATCATTGGGGTATAATAGGAAGAAGGCTATGGTAATCCGCGAGCTGGTAGCTGTTCTGATACCAGGACTTGTCCAGGCACGAATTGCAGGAGCTGCGGAGATGGGTGTGCACCCTGCTGCAGGCCTGGCTTCTCTCAGCCCAATCAGTGGCACCGCAAATGGCGCAGGCTCGCTTGATCTGGGTGAAGGTGACATCGAAAGCGGTGTTGATGCGTTTCTCAGTCTGCTAGGTCAGACTTATGGCGTTGTCACGTCTAAGCAGAACAGTGCTCAGACAGTTCCAATCAATGATTCCGACGACGCTGCAATTGCAAGAATCATTGACAATGCTATTGTGAGATCATTTGGTGGCCAGACTCTGAAAATGGATGTCCTTCGCTCTTGCATTAATCTCTCCGAAGCCTTGCCTGATTTTCATGGCGTTCTTAAATTTACAGCGGATTTATTGAGGACAGCAGGCAGTGGCGTCGCTCCTGGGCCTCGTAGTGAGGATGCATCTCCTGCAATGAGCCGTGAAGAGCAAATCAAGCTTTCCAATAATATCTCGAGAACACTGAGTTCAGCCCGAAATTTGGGTATCAAAAATCTGGCTGCTGAATACTGGGACGAATTCCTTGTCCGCGGAGTAGATCTCGAGTCTTTACCGGAAGCACGAACTCCAATCCCTCATACACGAAATGAACTACCTGGGGTCTCAGCTGTCTCTTCATCAAGTGAAGTGAATCCCTTCATATACAACCCTTTCTTGAAGAAACCAGATACTGAAGGTGCGAGCAATCTCCTTGTGGCTGGCGAGAGTGCTGTCTTCAGAATTACGTTACAGAATCCCTATGAATTTGATGTCGAAATAGAGAGCATCAAACTGGAGACGCAAGGGACTGAATTTGAATCATCAACCCAGAAAACTGTGGTTGGGCCCTACCGAACTCAAATCCTCGCCATCTCCGGAACTCCCAAGGCTCCGGGACCGTTGAAGGTAACTGGATGCATTGTACGGGTTCGAGGCTGCAGAGAAAGACGCTTTCCAATCTTTAGAGAACCATGGTCTCCAAAGGCAGATGTCAAGATCAAAGAAATTGGGCTTGCTACTATTTTTAAGCCAAAGCATCGTCCCGTAAGCGCCGGGACCGGCGCCCAAATCTCGACCATGATACCTCCTAAAGCTACATCTCTTGAGCTGAATGTAATTGGTAGACAACCACTCGTGGTTGTAAAATCAACTACGCTCTCTCAGTCTGCGATTATGATTCTCGAAGGCGAACGCCAGAAGTTCTCTATCACGTTACAGAACCTCTCTAAAGACACTCCGGTCGATCGTCTCCTATTTTCATTCAAGGATTCAACTCAAGAGCCGCTTCGGACAGCGATGAGTAATCGGGATGTATCTGCTGCCGACTTATATGAAATGGAGCTCATTTATGCACGGAAGCAAGCGATACGCTGGATACCACGAAATAATGAGGTCCCGTATATCCCCCCTGGTGGCACAGGAACGTTCGACATGGAGATCCTCGGAAAGCCTGGACTTACAAATGCCATCGTCCTAGTAGATTATACATATCTGGGTATGCCTGAAAATGAAGTTCCAGAAGATTTCCATTCTTTTCACACGCGGCAGGTCAGCTTGCCCATTACCATCACTGTTAATGCGAGCATTGAAATGATGCGAATGGACTGTTTACCTCTTATTGGGAGTTTACCAAACTCCCTCTGGGATAAGTTGGATACAAACGAAGCTAAGAAGAGAGACATTCTCCCGGACGAGTATTGTTTGCTTCTACTAGATCTTCGGAATGCGTGGCCAACCCCTCTTCAAGTCCATCTTGAAGTCACCAACGGCAGCACTTATGACGAAGAGATTCTTCCAGGAAATATCTCACGAATAATGTTCCCAATTCGCCGCATATTCCTCCCCGACCCTACAAAACCCATACCTGCCCTCGATCCTTCTCGCCAACGGCAATTCGTCGTTAGCACTGGCCGTGTCTCAGCTGACACAGAACGAACAAGCAGAGAAGCATTCTGGTATCGAGAAGAAATTCTCAAGACCCTCCATGGCACCTGGTCAACCAGGTCCGGATGCCTGCGAAAAGGGGATATCGAACTTCGTAGCATCCGACTAAGTCAGCGTATTATTGATATCATCAAGATTGACGATGTCGGTATTGATATCTCTCTCAGCGGCGATAAGTCCAGGAATTCAAAATATGAACTCCTCACCGATAGCTTCTCAGAGCTTAGTGTACGGGTTAGCAATCGTACGACAGACCCCATATCTCCATTCATCCGTATCCAACCTTCACTGCGAAATCAGCCTCACAACGCATCCCTTGACCTGTCAAAGAAATTCATATTCAATGGCACTTTACAACAGGCGTTGCCGCAAATACCTGCGAATGGGTCAGTGGAAGTTGGGTTCAACGTGACTGCTCTCTGTCGAGGAGAGTTCGAGATCAGCGCTTCCGTTGAAGAGGTCAGACTACTGGATTCTGGTGGTACTGCTGAAGATGGAGAAACACGCCGGAGGGCGGACACAAGAACGTTGATGGACGCGTTGCTTGGCACAAAGGAGAGAAGGATATGGCATTCGAGGGAGCCTTGCTTGTTGATAGTTAGGGATGAGGATAGTGATGACGATGACGATAGTGACGATAGTGATGAGTGATGTACAAAGGGACTATAATTCTTTTGAATCGGCGATTAAAAAGCATTCTTGGAATAATACCCAGTTTTGAAAAGACTAAATTGGATCTCTCTCCGGGCAATGTGCTAATCAACGATCCCAAACACTGGATATTCACCTTCTTTAGACTGTTTCAGCACGACTTACTGTCAAGGCTTTATCGGGGCGTGCTATTTGCTAATTTTCTCAGACTCATGAAACCAATCCATCGACTAGAAACCATGTCGACGCCAAACGCCGTCGCCAATTGTACATCCATACAGTATTTGACTTCGTGATATCCCATGTATAGCTCATTCCCTTCGCCTCTCCCTCCTGTCTCCCCGATCTCGAAGGTCGGGGGATCTGCTCCTTCGTGATCTTCGATCAATGTCTCGTCTGGGTTCACGATCCTCTCTTCCAGGCCGCCGCCTATCGGGACTTCTGCTTCTGTATCTTCGATCCCTCCCGTCCGCACTCTCACTTCGTTCCCTCCGCACCTCCGTATGGTCGTATCTGTGCCTATGGTGATGCTTGTCCCTACTCCTAGACCTATGTCTGTGTCTCCCCGGGCTCCTATCGCGATGCCTATGCCTTCTATGCCTCCTCTCGCGACTCCGACTCCGACTCCTACTCCTTCTGCTCTTCCTCTCCTCCGTCTCCCTACCATGTCTAACCAACCCACCCTTAACATCTTGCGCAACCTCCGCCTCTCCACTCAATTCCCCCCCTTCAACTTTGCCCACGAAATCACCAAAACCCCTCCCCCTCCCCACCTCTTCAATCTCTTCATCCCCCGCCTCCGTCTCCTTGATTACCCTATTCAACTCGCCCACCCCGACAGCGTTCGCTCCCGTCCCCGCGCCCGCGCTCCGGTCCGGTACTGGGAGCCCTAGCGCCCTCGCAAGCGCATCTTCCTCTGCCTCCTTGATCCTTTTAATCTCCTCCTTCCGCTCTCTCTCGCGCTTCTCCTCCGCTGTCTCTCCCTTGCTTGCGGCGTGATCCCCGGCTTTCGCATACCAGCTCAGGTCGCGGTTCTTCTGCCATCGCCCCACGGGCGCCATCAATGAGTGCCCCAGGTAGTTCTCTCGGTGTTGCGACGTCGTTACGTCCTCCCAGCTGAAGTTGACGCCGCCCCGGGATCCAGATTTGCGGATTGAGGAGAGGAGATCCATGGTTGCGGATAGGTGTGCGAAAGATTATGGAGAGTGATCAGTGGGATCCAGTTCGATGTTGATACCCGCAACATTCGAGGAAGTTGTGATGTTTACTTTTGTACGGTACGAAAGTACATGGACTTGATAATCGGCGGATCAAAGTTAATCCGTACGCATATCAGTCAATCACGTGTTCATCCCGGCTGATGGTTGAATTAGATTGCTTGAAATAGATACCACAAAGAGCAATTAGTAAAGGTAGTTAAAATAAAAGAGAACAAATCATACTGTACACCAAAAACGTATCTCACAAAGATTATCGCTTCGTTCCCAGGGTCAATGGAGACGTGGGGTTGGAGAAAAGTCTAGAATACTTACATAATTCCACGTGATGCGGGGCTGAAGGCGGCGGGGATTTAATGATCGAGTTGCGACGACGTCGTCTTCAGCTTCAGACAAACTTCTCTACAATTCCACAGAGATTTGATCATAAAGAGGTTTCAAGTCTTCTGCGACAGAATAGTCACTTTCTTATCTATCCGAATTCAGCATTTGATCCTCGAAACCAAGACACCTTCGCAAACAGCCTCAGCCTCAGCCTTGTTTCATCACAGCTCAAGATGGGTTCCGTTGTTCTCCCTCACCTACGCACAGGCTGGCATGTTGATCAAGCAATAATGAATGAGGAGGAGCGCCTTGTAGTTATTCGCTTCGGGCGAGACTACGAGCCAGATTGCATGCGTCAGGACGAGGTTCTATACAAGATTGCCGACCGAGTCAAGAACTTTGCAGTGCTTTACGGTCAGTTCCCTCGAAACCAGGATTCCTATATGCAAGATAAATGCTAATACTATAGTAGTCTGCGACTTGGACGAAGTACCCGATTTCAAGCAGATGTATGGTATGTAGCAACCACCTCATCTATATCCTTGGGCATTTACGCTGACAACTGTTGCGCAGAACTCTATGACCCAATGACGATTATGTTTTTCTGGCGGAACAAACACATGATGTGCGATTTTGGAACTGGTAATAACAACAAGTTAAATTGGGTGCTGGAGGACAAGCAGGAACTCATCGATATTCTCGAGACAATCTATCGCGGTGCGAAGAAGGGCCGAGGATTGGTTGTCAGTCCCAAAGACTACTCGACACGCTATCGATACTAGGTGGACTCGCGACGAAGAGCTTTGTTCACAGTCTCCTCTATCAAATCTTTGCGAAGGGTGGAAGACGCTTCGACACTCGATCTTATACCCGCTGCATCTGGGCGGCCTTGCCAAGAACTCCAGAATTTGGCTTCCTCACCCTCTCTGGAGCTGTGTCCTTCTATCTCGAACTTGTAGCACTGGAGATTCATGATCTTTTGGGAACCTGATTCTGGGATCAACACCGGAATTCGATGCTGTTTTCTATCCTTGAACCACATGGGTATCGCAGCGTCCGACCAGCGTCAATATACGGATCCATAAGAGCGGTTGGACATTGCTACAGAATGGATTATCTAACCGCACTTCTGCTACCCACTGTATGTACTCTCGAGTAGCACCTTCACGCTCACTGAACCCCAGACTCAGTTATGATAGGTAGTAATGAAGATGTATGCACCCAGTTATATTCGAACCCAGACTGTGTTACAGAGGAGATATACCAGTTAAGATGGCCAGGGAAGCAGAACTTTATCCACATGAGAGCTTCAGCGCTTGACAGAAGTCTGCTATGCAGCGCAGCCTTGCAGCAGCCCCTTGCCACCAGCCATTATGAGTGGAGAAGAAAGCACCATTCTAGGAAATCTAAGAAGAGGTGTGAAGCTGTTTCATTTGTGGTCCTGTTTGACCTCTTCAAGACGGGCTCTCCTGCTTTGCATACATTCGCCACGTCTCAATATGGATCCTTGCCAAAAATAAGTGTTTCTACTGGAATAAGTAACTGTCCTCTCTCCCTTGTGTATATCTCAGGTTTTGTTTCTGTGCTGCTCTTCCCCTGGCTGTGTTTTGTCCTGAGTCTTATGCTGATTGCCTCGAGTGATGCGTTTAAGCAAATGTTTGAGACTTGTCGGCGGAGGCTCCAATTGAGTGATTCAACCTTCAGACAGCCATTCACGAAGACGTGAGTGCTCCCATGCTTAGCTTTTGGCCATTAATGGATTCGTGATCGTTAGATCTCCTCGTATCTTATTGTCATACATAACCTTCACACATCATAGCCTCATAATTATATTCAAGCAAGGTCTTCCCATGCACTCTGCGTCCCCCTTTCTCAATCACGTGAGCTGCTCACCGCACTCACAGGACTGACCGTAACCTCCTTTTCGCCTGGTCCCTTTTGCCCCTCGCTCCCACGCCCAGAGAGACTCTCTACGTCGAGCTGCCTTCCAATAACCACCTGACCACGCTCCTCGGGCCTCACATAATCCGCTGGCTCGTGCCACTCGCTCAGCGGGAACGTCAGCGGCGGGGGACTGATCCAATTCGCCGCCCAGTACGTGCCGAAGGAGAGAAACAGCCCGATCGGATAAGCAAAGTAATAGGCGTGAGTGACGCCGATGGGTGCGTGAACCCCCATGTTGTTCAGGAAGCCGTAGAAGTTTGGGGCGATGCCAAAGACATACGCGAGGTAGGCGCGCCAGTTCCAGCCGTGGTAGTAGTGGTAGACTCCAGACTTCCGGCTGGTGTAGAGGTCGTCGATCTCGAGATAGCCGCGGGTGACTATGTAGTAGTGGCAGAGCAAGACGCCGGTGATGGCGCCGAGGAAAATCTGATAGGATGCCAGAAAGGAGATGAAGATGCCGGCGGAGCCGAGGAGGTACCAGGGGTTGATGGCGAAGGAGATGACGGCGCAGATGAAGAAACCTTTTCGGACCGTCAGGTACTTGGGGAACAGGGCAGCAATGTCATTCCCTGCCGGGAGGGAGTTCTCGAAGATAGCGGAGAAGATAGAGGAGTAGGTGAAACAGGCGGCGATGAGGAAACAGCCAGCGCGGTTGCCGGCTGTGTAGGAAGTTGATTGGAGCATGTCAAGGTACGTTAGTGGTGACCAGATCAGCTTCCCGAAAACGACTTGGGAGCTGGAACCAACGAGGTTGCCAACTATGGCAACAATGAGCTACATCCGAATCAGTCATTGAGATAGCCAACTGGGTTAATGAAGCAGAACTTACATTGGACAACGGAAAGCCGACTAGGTTACCGGCAACAACATCACTGGGCTTGGTCGCATATCTTTGGAAATCAGCTGCATTGGAGGCAAAAGTTGCACAATTAGCAGCGCCGAGAAGGAAGAAGCGGACGATCAACCATGCTTTAGTTGAGCCATGAGCCGTGCCAGGCTGACGGGCAACTTCTCCGACGCCACCTGCTTTTGTCAAAGTCCAAGCGCACATTGCAACGGCTGAGACCACGAAGACCCCCAGTTTAGCGTAGACTAAGCCTCTCATCTGTGTCAGGTGTTAGCTGGCTTCCTGGGTAACTGGGAGGGGATATCAACCTTTGGAATTGGGATGACGAGGAAACAGCAAACCAAGACCCAGTAGACACCAAAACCAATCATTCCACCTGAGTCAAGAGCAGATCCTGTGCCCATGACATTCTTTATGGTGGCGATTCTTGGAGTTAGTGCGTGAAGCATAACATAGACACACTGACCCCCTTGGACAGCGTTTACTCCATTCCAGACGATGGCCATCACCGCTCTGTTGAAAGTCGGCCACCAAGCACCAAAGACACCAAATGAAGCCCTGTTGAGAATTGGATAGCCACTGTCTCCACATTAGTTGGCTTGCCTTCTAAGGGAGATATCCGAACAACTGACATGTGGTACTTTGCCCCTGCTCGGCCGTTAAGCACAATAACAATGGCGATCAGAACCTGGCCTCCGAAAGAACATCCAATTGACTCCCACATGCTCAGACCGAGAGCCTGAGCGCTCGAGGCAGAATACCAGTTGGAAACAGTAGCATCTGGAATACAATCAGTGACTCTTCCTCGAGAGCGCTATGGAAATTCGAAATCACTTACTTGCTGAGAACCAAAAGATCAGATACGTCCAGAAGTTCCACGTGCGATCTGCCAGTTTTAAGGGACGGATATCGTCATTATCCAACCAGATATCCTCCCCATGAACGTTCTCAGCACCAGGGGCCTGCAAATGAGGGGTAGGAATACCCTCCCTGAACCTCCTGACAAGGCTGGCCATGTTGCGCTCATTCGATTCCAAAGATTCTGAATGTGCAGCTGGGGTTTGCAATTCTCGGAGGGATTTTCAGACGAACATGATGTATCCGGGGCATTTAAGACATTTCACACGACCTCCCTCCTGAACACAACCTGGCTGTTCCTGTCTTATCGTGGTAATCAGAGGAAATCCGAAGATATGACGGGCAGGGGCCCATCTTAGCCCGATGCAAGGCTGTTAGCCGTCCCCAGAGGTAAGACAAGCACCCCAGCGCGCCGCTTGGACTGCCACTGCATGCCCCCAACCTTGTTTCTACCTGTTACCCTGAGAACAGAAGGATTCCAGCCTCCTGAACTCTACTTATCAACCATGTCCTTTGCCGAGTGTGTCTCTATATGGCAGGTGTATGCCACGAGTACTTTGAGTATCACGATAAGGGGAGGCGGCATATATCGAAACGTGAAATGCATGTGATGGCATCGAGGAAACGATATTGATGGCTCGCTTGAATGGTGCTCACTTGGCCAAGACATTGAGCCAAGCAATATCAAGGGTCCGACGACTGGGAATTGTAGATAAGTCTATCTGGAAAATCACACAGATATGATATCAAAACAATAGATAAGAATTGATGGTTTTTTTAAAGTATGAACAAAATTCATATATTCAAGAATTTCAAGAATTCAATAACCTACCTAATGTTACAGAATAGTTTTTGCTATGGCTGGTATAAGATCGCTTACTTACTAAATCCAACATTACTGTTCGTACCACGCTTATAACGCACATATGTACTACTATTTCATGCTCTCTCAAACCAAAATATCGAAGGGGAAAGTCTCACAAACAGGTTGTTGTTATGATGATGTTGATTGCACGACGATCAAGGAGCTACAACGAACGTGGTGTAATCTACCTATCAATAAGTATGCATGAGATTGTCAGGTAGCATGAGGCTCACAAGATCTGCATCTAGAATGATATATAGAAGCATTTTCACAATGCCGTACGCTGTACTTCCTTCCTTCCCAATGGTCTAACAGAAGCTTATAGAAGCACAAGCGTGGGATTCAAAAAAAAGCTCCGCTGCGGTTAACCCTGAAACCAATGCCTGTAACACATCCTGCATCTCAATATTTGCCCTATCAGACAGACCTCGTGGTCATCTGTAGTGGCACCTCTGTTACAATTGTAGCCAGGCGGTCGCACAAAGATCAACGTGACATGAGTCTGCATGACGTGATGATGCTCGAGGCCCGCGATGCGTGATAAGCCGACAAGTCCTGACTCCCAAGACAACAAAATAGCCTTGAAATTGCACGACTGAGAATGAGAAATCACATGGAATCAAAGACGTAGAGCAAGCGAAACCATAGGGTTAGCAATCTCCCATATAATCCGAACATTACTCGCGACCCAGAGCGAATAGCCTCAATGATTCCCAGCTGGCTTTATGTAAAGGCACCAAAGAATCATGCTGGATGGTTCCCGGTGCTGGAAATACTTCAGTCGTCTCTTGAGTGATCAGAGCTGCTTTGCCTGGTACCCTCGTACAGACTACTATACTAAGCGGAAAGCCATGAGAGAATAACTCTGAATGGAAGAAAAGAAGAATTAATAGAATTAGACAAAGGAAGTTGACGTTGGACCACAGACTCGGTTTGTCTCGGGAGTTAGAATTCAACCCCCGACAACCATCACGATCGAATCCATGATTTAGACTTACGATTACAGCAGTACTACCCTGTATCAAGAATATAGAAACCAAGTTCAGAAATAGTAGTATTCTTAAAGAAACCAGAGTGTTATACAGGTATTCTTTTATGTTTCAAAGGTGGGATATCTGCAATGCTATGTCAGCAGGCTGCGTATAAGTGGCTGAATTGCAAGAGGGCCAAGAAGGACCCTGCAAACATCGTGATAACTTCAGAGATAAGACAAGACCAGTCCATGCAATGGACACCCATATGCGCTTCCAATTCCTCCAATTCCCCCAGAATAAAGCGGCAATCGGCGAGAACCGAGCGGGGAAGATGGGGGACCTGATCTTAGGATAGGGAGATAGAGAACTGGGCAATATCGAGGCCTCATGTGCTCCCCTGGGGCCCCTGGGGTGTGGCGCTGGAAGTCGTGTTCAACAGCTCGACCTTTTGTATAACCCTCCATGCTGAGTCTCATCCCACAACATCCAGCTCCGAAATTATCTTCCTCTCAACACGTACTGTAGAAGAACAAGAGATTCGAAAATGTCGACAACCGTCACCGTGCCACCACCCGCGACATCCAAGTTGGAGCTTCGCACTGCTTATGGCCCTGTATTTCGAGATGTCTTGAACACCCCGCCTCGAGAGTGCACCGCAGAGGAGATCCCCATTATTGATCTAGCGCCCATCTCCTCCCCCAAATTCGAGGATCGCAAGGCGCTCGCCGCAGAATTCCGAGCCGCTGCCGTAAACACGGGGTTCTTTTACATCAAGAACCATGGCATTGACGAAAAGACCATCGCCGATGCGAAGAAGCAGCTTTTGGCGTTGGTGACACTCCTTTCAAATGCATGACATTCCCGCTAATCTCAGTTCAATAGGTTTTTCCGCCAGCCCTTGGATCAGAAGATGAAGATTTCCCAGGCGAGATCAAAGTTTTTCAACGGGTACAAGGCGCCTAGAAGTACAAATATCAGCCCCGGTGAGAGCATCGATGTCAAAGAATCTGTAAGTCTCCTTGTAATTCCATGAGATCCTGTCCCACAGCATTGTCCAACCCGTGATAAAATCGAAGTTTGTGTATCTCCGTCAATGATTGGTTTATCGGGCCAGTGCCGCAGCCATTTTTAGTCCCCTTAATTCTCAACTTGGTTTCATTGAGCGGTCCATAAGTATGGCACCAGCCCTGATATGAAACGTCCTTCGTGAGTCAGTACATGAGTTCAACTGACACACTCCTAGATTGGATGGCGATATGATCCCAAATACGACCCCGAAAAAAAGGACCTCGCTGCCATCCCCGAGGAAGTGAAGCCCTGGATCCGCGGCGAAGACTTCATCTGGGAAGGGACCTCGCACCTGCCAGGCTTCAAAGAGGAAGTCCTTCGATACTGGGCGGCCTGCTTGACCCTCGCTCGGAAACTAGTCAAGATCTTTGCGCTGAGTCTTGATCTCACAGAAGACTATTTCGACAGCCGGACGACGTACCCGGGCGCTGATGGAGTCTTCAACTATTACCCGGTCTCGACGGAAGAGGATGTAGCGAACAACGCCGTGGGGCTGGGAAGCCATACCGATCTGCAGTTGTTCACGCTGCTGTGGCAGGATATGACGGGTGGTCTGCAAGTTCTGAACCGCGAGGGGCAATGGATCAAAGCGACCCCCGTCGAGGGAACCATCGTGGTGAACATCGGCGACTTCATGATGAGACTCTGCAATGACATATACAAGAGTACCGTTCATAGAGTCTACAACCGATCCACTGTTGAGCGAGTCTCGATGCCCTTCTTTTTCGGTGAGTATTCAACGGCCTACCTCCCTAGGTATGCAGTATCAATCTTGCTAATCCGAAAGGTCTCAACTTCAACTGTGTCGAGGGCGTCGTGCCCTCCTGCACATCCGCCGAAAATCCAGCTAAATACGAACCGATCTCATGCGGAGATTGTACGTCAAAGACCTCCTTTTCTCCCTCTTCCTCACCTTCCCCTCTCACATCTGGTTCCGTGGCTAACGGCTCGCAGGGTGTCAACTCAGATTCGAACTTGAGCAGCGCGAGACCAGGAAGAAAAACGCTCCGAAGGCTCAAGCTCCCAGTGCCGTGATCGTAGCCGCCTAGTCCTCTCCAAGGAGTCCTATTCAACATCTGTAAGATAGATAGATAAAACAATGTCTGTCGTTGAATTCTTGATGTTCAAGATACTTGGATCACGTGCATCTCCTAAAATGGTGCGGTTGACATATAGGGGCAGACACCCGACTTTAGGTAAAGTAAGCATCAGCCTCTCAAGCGCAAGAAAGCTTGCCTATCACACGGAGCTAAAAACTCAGACGTGCAACGAAAAAAAATAACATGGTTTTAGCTCAGATGCGCTGGTTGAACTAGTCTTGTGTCTAGAGGGGTTTAAGCATGTAACGCACGCCGCCATCTGACACTACCTGAGCCGTGTGTAAAGTGGTGGAAGAGTCTACGCCGTAGTCTGTTCTACCTCAATCCCATCCCCACCCCAGTGCCTGAGGTGGTTTCCTGTGATCCACAAATTTCCACACTTGGTATAGAAGGGCAGATTTGCGATTGAGAATATGTTCTTGTTCGTTTCTCTCAATCTTGCTAGGCTTTTCAAATCCATGAACTCGCTTTATGTATGCATCACCATGAAGGGGTATTGTTGCCATCCTCTATCCCAAACGCCTATATCTATGCGCCAAGTGCTATCATTGAGCCCCAAGCATGAATTAATTCGTGCTAACATCTCTGAATCACGTGGGACTGACCCCGCCGCTCCCTAGGATCTTGCTCTTCTTCCGCTTCGGCTTCGGAGTCCCCCCACCCGGTGTCTTGGGACTCTTGTCGCCCTTGCTGCCTTTCCTCGCAGGTGGAATATCTGTCACCAGGTCTGGCATAGAAGCACCTGGCTTGGTCTCCATCGAAGTCGGGGTCTTGCCAGGTAACGGTACCATAAGTTTGTCTTTTTCTGTCCTACCAGTCGTGCTGAGGTGAAAGTCTCCAGGTTGCCCAGTAATAGGTTTTTCATCCATGTATTCATCACCGTACTTGAGTGATATATTGAGGGTTTCTGCGAGGAGTCGATTGCCGAGGTAAGTGTTATTGGCTGACGTTTGAGGGGCTTTCTTCGCATTGGGGAGGCTGTCGGGGAGAGGAGTCGCTTCTTTGCTGGCCTGGCTGAGTTGAGATTCGGGCGCTCTGAGTCGGCTTGAGGAAGGTGGCATGTAGGTGTGCCCGAGGGAGGGGGAGAAGTCGGGAAGGGAGGCGGCGGTAGAGATGAACTTGTTCATGTAGGAAATTATAGAGGTCTGAATGGCGTCAATAGGTGGCACGGGAATAGGCAGGCCATTATACTTACCATTCGACTGCCTATTATATCACCGACTGAAGGTGCCATGTATATATTCTCGCCAATCAAGTAATATGTGCTGTGGACTGTAACCTCGTCCTCCTCAGGCGGTCTCTTCCTGCGCGTCTGTTTCCTAATCACCCACACTCCAGTCCCGGTATTTGGAGCCTTCTCCGCAGGCTCTTGGGCGACCATAAATTCTAAGCCCGACATAGTTTTCAATCTTCCTTCGAATGCTTCGCGAGTCTGGATGAAGTGAAACATGTTTGGATTGAACATCGCTTGCGAGTAAAGGATGGCATTATTGGAGGTCGGGTCAAAGAATGGTGATCCGGCGAAGTAGAACAGAATCGAGTTGTCATGAACGCCCTGCATTGATTGTGCCAGTTCTGGCGATCGCCAGACAATTTCGTCGAGTTCGCCGCCTTTCGAAGCCATTTTGGTCGCGTTGGTAGATAAAGACGAGCTAGGGGAAAGGCAATTCCGAGCTTACAGCAGAAGAGCTCATCAATCGGGAGCGCATCTAATAGTGGAATCAGCGGCTCCTTTGATAGGTATGCGAATGATCAGAGTCTCCATGACGGAAATGCAGCTTCGGTTGATGCTCAGCCTTTAAGGTTGGCGCTAAATGCGGGAACGCCAAACTTGTTACAGACTCGCTAATCTTGCTTTGTTCTCTTGCTCCTCTTCCTCAACCAACTTGTGCTTCATTGCTCCTTGAGTTCCTCGTTGCCTTTCCAACGGCTTCTTATCGAGGATTTAGTCATGGGTACTCTGTGGATATTAAAGTATGCTATTTTCCACCACCGAACGTCGACCATATTGTAGTTTTCCCTTTCCGTAAGTAATGCCTGAATTTGCCAGAGGTGCCATCACTGAATTGATACTGCCTAGCTATCTGGGGAAGGTCGGGATATAGGGGATCGAACTATAGAATTTGAATGGTGATGGTTATTTGACATCTGATTATTTCAATCCTAATAGAATACCTCCAATTGTCAAAGAGGCAAAAAAGTAGTTCGCGCCAGACCGATCCAGCACCGTTGTTGCAACAAACACTTTTTGATCTCTTGTACCCAGTTCAAAGAATTCGCACTTTGCGTTCCATGCTCGGGGTACACAGGTTTCGGCTTTCCGCCATCTCTCCGCAACCGTTTCTGTGCGGTATGATCACCATCCCAGAGTAATGCAACAAAGTATTCCCCGTAATAGTTCCTCGTTTCCAGCATTTTCGTTCTCTCATATGCACTCAACTTCTTTCTCAAATAACTTTCTGTACTAACTCCAGCAAGTCGAAGAAGGTCTCCCTCTCCATTTCGACTTTCGCCAACCCAAAGCCCACGAGAACGGTTCGCGTCTCTTCCGGATTTTTCGTTAGAATAGTACTCGCAATCTGACTGGAATATAAATGGCCCATGGTCTCGCGCTGCTCACCGCCTCCTCCAAGAAGGGTTTTAGGTGTTAAATGACCTAGTGGTAGCATGTCGGATCCTTGCGATGGTAGGGCCGTATCCAACGAGGTTGGGGAGGCTGAAGAGAGGGGTACTTGGATCTACAGATAGCCAAACAGTTAGCCCATAATCTAAGACTGTTGACCCGAATGCAAGATGAATGTATACCCATTGCGATAACCGCCCACCCTGCGAGATCGTGATTATTATCTTGTCTGCGAAATAAACGGAAGAAACATCGGTCTGTATACCACCAACAAGGCCTGCACTCTGCTTTGTCGCTGCAGGAAAGCGTCTATGATCTATCTCAGCGCCTATATCCATGTTTTGGATATCTGCGGAGAGTGTAGGTATCGACATGATTTGTGATGTCTGTTGGGTGCCTCTGAGGCTCAGCCTTGCGCCTTGTAGAGCGGGGGCGGTGACTGAATCGGGAAAGGTCGATTATTTTCTGCCGCAAAAAAAGTTCCAATTCAACTTAAATCAACCTTCGCGATTGTCCTAAAATGATGAAGCATTCACAACGCCCACAATGCCGCCGAAATTCGTACCCAGGCAGCGCAAACACAAGGTTTTAGCCCGGTCGAAAGGCAAATCTTCTGAGCCCAATGCCGATTCAAATGCGGTGGAGCTCCTGCCGGTCGCGAAGAGCGACATCGAAGAGAAGAAGAGGCGGATGAAGGAAGAGCTGCGCAAGGAGGGGAATAAAATTAGTGGAAAGAAAGCGAAGCGACTGGAGAAATATATCGAAACAAAATTAAAGAAGGACGAGAATCGGGAGCTTCTTCAGAAAGTTGCGAGGTCGACTACCGATACCAGCCTTTTTCAGAGCAGTAAGAAACTGGGCCAGGGACGAGAGACCAAGAGAGAAAGACTTCGGAGGGCTTTAAACGATAAGCTTGCTGGAATAGATATTGATGGAGACAATGATGAGGTTCTGTTCGAAGAAAGAGAAGTGAGAGTTCCTGAGGATCAGGTGTCCAAAGAGGAGGATGAGCCAGAGGGACGAGGCCCCTCAGTCCCAGTTGCTGAAGCACCACAGCCAACCCCCATAGCTGGAATAGGCTTGAAAAGGCCGCTCGAGGTCGACGATGAAGGAAAACCGGTTTTGAAGAAACGAAAACGCAGAGGAGGGGTCAAGTCTAAGCTTTTGGTTAAACATCAAGCTTCAGAAGAACCTGAATGGGATGGTTTCAGTTCTAATTCCGATGGTGAGGATAATATAAACGGGAAGGCCAACATGGAAGAAGACGACGTCGACTCATCAGAGGATGCTGAAGGCGAGAGTGAAGAGGATTCGGTCTCAGATTCCGCGAGTGACTCGGAGAACGAAGATTCTGATGAATCCTCGTCTGACAAGGACGAGGATGATGATGATGGCTCCGCACGGAAACAAAGGTCATCGGCGTTCAAAGCCTGGGCGAACCAACAAGTCAATGAGGCACTTGGCTTCCAGCCAATACCTAACATTCCAAACGCAACGGAAACGCCAAAAATACCAGGTTTCAAACCCAGAGCACCGGAGCAGGATCCTCTACCTCTTGAGTTGCAACCAACTACAAATGTTTCCCGAAAAGCCTTCAGCGTAGCGGTAACCAGACCAGACGATATCCAGAAAGCCCGACTCAAATTACCCGTTGTGGCAGATGAGCAGAAGATCATGGAAGCAGTACACAATAACAACATTGTGGTCGTGAAAGGTGAAACGGGATCTGGGAAGACGACCCAGGTCCCTCAATTTCTATTTGAATCAGGCTACGGTTCACCTGACTCTCCAACGCCGGGAATGATTGGGGTCACTCAGCCCCGACGAGTCGCAGCTGTCAGTATGGCTAAGCGTGTCGGAGATGAGTTAGGTGATCATGGGAACAAAGTTGCATATCAAATTAGGTTTGAGGGAACTGTAGGACCGCAAACTGCTATCAAATTCATGACCGACGGTGTGCTTCTACGAGAAGTTGCACAAGATATTGCACTGCGGAAATACTCGGCTATCATCATAGACGAAGCCCATGAAAGAAGCGTCAATACGGACATTCTCATAGGAATGCTCAGTCGGGTTGTCAAATTAAGGGAAGAATTGGCACTGGAAGACGCTTCAATCAAACCACTGAAGCTCATCATCATGTCAGCAACTTTGGATTTAGCCGATTTCAGAGAAAACAAGGCTTTGTTCTCTGTGCCACCTCCTTTACTGGAATCCGAGGGTAGACAGCATAAAGTCATAACCCATTTCGCACGAAAGACTCATCACGATTATGTTGAAGAAGCTTTCCGGAAGGTCAGCAAGGGACATCGGAAACTACCTCCCGGTGGCTTCCTTGTTTTCCTCACTGGACAAAATGAAATCACACATCTCAGTAAGCGACTGAAAGAGGCGTTTCGCAGTGGCCACACTGCCACAGGCCCTCCGGTTCGAATATCAGGGAAAGATGCGCCAATTGAGGCCGAGGATATTGATTTTGGAGATACGGGTAACGATAACAACGATGACTACGATGACGACGAGACTCATATACACATTAATGATGACGATGACGATGACTTTCGAGTGGAAAATGAGGAACCAAATACTGGCCCAGCCAAGGTCCACGTATTGCCACTTTACTCGCTATTGCCAACTAGGGAACAATTGCGAGTGTTTGAGCCTCCGCCTGATGGGTCTCGCCTTATTGTCCTAGCCACCAATGTCGCCGAGACTTCTCTTACAATCCCAGGAATTCGTTATGTTTTCGACTCTGGAAGGTCAAAAGAACGCAAGTACGATCAAGCGACCGGCGTCCAGAGCTTTGAGGTCGGATGGATCAGCAAAGCCAGCGCAAGGCAGCGTGCCGGTCGTGCTGGTCGTACAGGAGAAGGCCATTGTTATTGTTTGTATTCGTCTGCAGTTTATGAGCGAGACTTCGAAGACCGTGCAAAACCAGAGATCCTTCGTATGCCAATTGAGGGAGTGGTCTTGCAATTGAAGGCAATGAATCTGCAGCATGTGAAAAACTTCCCATTCCCGACATCGCCAGATCGTGAAGGCCTCGAGAGTTCCGAGAAACTCTTGACCTATTTGTCTGCAATCTCACCCACTGGGCAAATCACTCCGATGGGTTCGACGATGTCGATATTCCCCCTATCCCCGCGATTTGCGAGAATCCTTCTGGTCGGTCATCTACATGACTGTCTACCATATACCATTGCTTTGGTTGCTGGCCTTTCTGCCGCAGATGTCTTCATTCCTGAGAACCAAGTCATTCCCGCTGTCGCGCCCAGGGAAGAAGACGCACTCTTCACCAATGCTGATCGCATCGAGGAGGATGTCAGAAACAACATAAGGCGAAAATTCAACAAAGTCCAAAAAGACTTCTGCTTTCTCGACGATAAGTCTGATGCAATTAAATTACTTCAAGTGGTAGGGGAATTTGCTCATGATCCCACGGAATCATGGTGTCAGTCACATTATGTACGCTTTAAAGTTCTCAAAGAAATCCTACAATTACGACGCCAGATTACAGATCTACTCCGCACAAATATCCCAGCATTCGCCGGCCTGAAATTCGAGGAAAAGCTTGGTGCGCCATCAGCGACACAGGTCAAAGCACTTAAACAGATGGTCGCAGCAGGCTTCATCGATCATGTTGCCATTCGAGCTGATCTATCCCCAAACCCCCCTGAAGTGCGACGGAAGCCAACTCGTGCTATCGACGTACCCTACCTCACACTCTTCCCATCTCACGTGCGAAACGAAGACGATGATAAGGCGGTCTATATTCACCCGTCCTCACCTCTTGCACATATCAGTCCTCAGGAATGTCCGGAGTATATTGTATATTCATACCTGCAACGGGCAGCTCCAAGGGTCGACTCCGAGAAAAGGCCAAAGACTAGGATGCATGCCTTGACCGATGTCACTGGTAGCCAGCTTGCTTCACTTGCAAAGGGAACGCCACTTATCGATTACGGGAAGCCTATCAAATCGGTTATGCCAAAGACTAAGAATGATGCTGGTGTCGAGACCAGGGAATGTTGGGTTATCCCGTACCTGAAGCCTGAACGAGGTATCGGATGGCCACTACCGGCGAAGAAGGTCACACAGAAGAAGATTCCGGGCAGAGGCTGGGTGGTTGAATGAGATACCAATAAAAATGGAGAATATTTTCGGCATCACGATTGACTTTCGATACTGATCTGACTGCTCATCCAATCCTATCTTTTTCAAATCGTTCTGCCCCTCCCCATTTCTTTTATGATATTCCTCAGATGCTCCCCTTGGAACAATTATCAGCCCTTATGCAGGCAAAATCATTGCCCTATATAACGTTTTTCTTTCTCGCGTTATAACGGTCTGACGTTCGTCAAGGCTCAAAACACTTTTAAATACCAATTGAAATATCTGATTTCTACTTCAAGCTCTTGCGTGGCAAATGAAGCTGTCTTGCCAAAAACCGAGTGGCGTCTTGGTAGAAAGAACCATTGGGTGAAATACATTGACTGAGTTCGATCGACGCCATCTTCTTTGGTCTCATACCATCCTGTTGACGGTTTTTATAAGTCCAAATTTTATTATAAACAGCGGCTTTCCGTTTCAATAACCTACTCACATTCCTTTGTGCAGTTTTATAACGTTTGAGGTCTATATTCCAGATCCAAGAGCTATTTAAAATGGGTTGAGAACCCAGCTCAATTTATCCACGGCATGAACATTTAATTTCTAAGCTTATGACCTTCCGAGCCAAATTCCTTGACAATCCATTGACAGAATTCTTCCCATTCTAGATTCCACTGTCGAATTCGCATTGCTCGGGAAGTCGATCCATTTGGACCTTCTTCAATATCCTTTAGCCATTCCTCGTCAGTCTGGTCCTCAAAGACTGACCAACGGATACTGTTCTGGGCAAGGGAGCCCTAGTATATAGGTAAGTTCCCTATCTATTCAATACATGGAATGCTGTAACTTACAAGTCCTTCCAAACCAAGACTTTCCCATCCTTGTAATGCCTGCCAGAAATCATGCGTCATTCCCGAAGTTGCCTGGCCTAAAAGCGCCGGATCGTCATTACAGAGTGATGCCGCGACACCCCTAGAAAGCAAGGCAGGCAACGGGTGCGACATGATTGAGGCTGTATATCTCAAGACCTCGTTTGAAATAGGGCAGCTCTCGACGAGTATCTTCTTTTCTTTTACCATATCAATCAACAACGGGTGTTTGTACAGAGAAAACGCATGTCCGATTCTTCTTGTACCGAAAAGGATCGCGTCGAAGAGGTTATGATCGGTTTCATCTCCGTCGCCGAGACACTCTCCGGCGTGGAAGAAGAAAGGAATGTGGACACCTTCTTTCGCGCACTCGTCCTGGAACCAGAGAAGTTCGGGGGTGAGGTCGTGGAGAGTCCTTCCAAGATCTTCCTGCCCAACAAGATCGTATCCTTGGATAAGCTTTGGATACCGTTTCTTCATTTGGATGCATTGCTTCATATCTGAACGAAGCTCCGTCAATGTCCTATGCCCGCGACGAATTTTCAAGGGACTTACCTGCAATCAAACTCTCTGTATCTACTCCTCTCATCGAAGTCCAAATGAAACGAGCGCCCCAGAAGCCTCTCCCCTCCTCACTAGCCATGAATTTCTCAATCTCTTCATTCAGAACACGACACAGCTCCGCGGCATTCGGAGCAGGTTGTTCTTCACCCTCTAGCGTGAACGGGGTGATGAAGACCGTTCTGGGCTCCACCCACCTGACGCCATCCTCGAGCAGAGTAAGGAACAATTTTCTCAGAAAGGCTCGCATAATGGGCTCATAATATGTGAGCGGCCCGAGCATCACGAAGGCTGACTGAAGTTTCCTCCAGACGTCGTCGACTCCGAGATGGTGTTGAAGCGACTCCGATTGTGTGATGGAACAGCGGTCCTTCATCCAGGCTACGAAACCCTTTTGGCCCCCGTTAGGGAATGTTGCTGCCGCCACTTTTATAGGGACGAGAGTATGTGGAGGATAGTCTTGAGACCATATTGATGGCACATCTGCTGCCGTAACGCTTGAATACCGGAACTTAACGACAGCATTTTCACGAATTCTTTCTGATGACAATGGAACAGGAGAAGACATCTGAATTCCAGGAGTCGAGAGTACTTCGTTAAACACCCAATCTAGGTCAACTGTCGCTCCGAGGTGACAATGGAGCAGGCTGCCTTTGGGCATCTTTCGAACAATCCGCCATAACTCGGTAGATTCCATGTACTCTTTTGCAACATTGAACATCATTCCTGGGAACAGCTCATTCTGATTCAGATCGGGGTTGCCTTGAGTTTTCCAAATCGTGCGTTTTTCTTCGTCGCGGATGCGAGACACGATCGCGCACGCTTGCTTCGCGACAGGCGAAAGAGACTGTCGGAATGCATAATCTACATCTCATCAGTTTCAAGTGGTTGATTGAGTCTGTTGTAATTGTTCTCACCGCTTCGGTGCTTCTTCTCTTGTGCGATTAAGGTTTCACGATTTTGGAAAAATTTCTGCGCCGATGGAGTTTCCCGGCTTAACGCAAATGCACTGGTGGCCTCCATTTTATATTTTCCCCTTCAGGTCTCCTGGCCCTTTATAAATAATCTCGCAAGTCATGAAAAGCGAAATACCTTCGTCCACTCTGAGTCAGACGGTGAAGGTGAAGATTATCTGGCGAATCAGTGATGAGGCTCACTCACGTGATCTGAGCTTTTAAATAGCACCAGGATGTTGTTTGGGTTTTCAGACAAGATAAAGAGTAAAGGCCAGTTGAACCTCAATATCTGTTCCTGAATACTTAAATGCAACATCTTCAACTAGTATGATCCACTTTCGAACTCTGCACCCTAAAAACTTCAATACCGTCGTTCCCACTACTCAGGTTCCCAGTTGCAACGCCTTCAATAACCTCATCTGCTGTTAAACCAGACTCTTTCGCTACTCTGATCAACTTTCTTTCTTCAACATATACCCTGCAGTTTTCTCGGCCCTTTTCTATATCTACAAACCAGATTACAATACTCGCGCAGGAGCAAAGCGCGAAGAGGAACGGGAATCCCATCCAATTATTATTAGTTGAATTAATGATCGCTTGGACAACATTCGGTCCGATGATGCTCGACTTTAAGTTCAGATCAGCAAGTCAACCTGATGAGGATAATTGGGAAAGCAACTTACAGCACGATTCGTGATCCCAAACAGGCCGAAAAACATGTTCTCATACCCTCTCGGCGTCACTTCAGACATCATGGTCTGAGCATAGGCGTAGTACGGCGCTTGGAACAGGCCGAAGAGAACATTATAAATCCAGAAATCTCTGACATGGTGGTATCCCACTCTTTGCGTCCAGAGACCCAACATTCCATAGAATGGTATGAAAACGCTGAATGCATTGGTCACCATGAACATATATTTCGTTTTGATCCCGAAGTACTTCTGGAAGTACCAAAACCCAAAGGTGGAAAAGATGGAGCATCCCGCCTGGGCGAGACCGAGATAGGTGATTTCGAGGAATGAGAAGGATACGACGTTGTTTTGGATGATAGAGACGAGTGTCCCAGTGGTATTGAGTCCATCTGCGAGAAGGAAAAATGAGACGAGATATAAGAATGTCTGGGGAAGGTGCCTAATTTCTTTGAGTGCGAGAAGGACTTGTTTCCAGCCAATAGTAGCATAGTTGCTGCCTTTTGGCATCTTGGGTCCCGGGCGAGGTTGCTGGAAGAGAAACCACCAGATTCCGAGGACAACCCAATCTACTTGCATTAACTTCTCGAATCAAAACAGTAACAGATGCAACCTACAAGTGTTGGTTAAGCATAGGGCAAGGTTGTTTCCAAAGGAGTTTCCTTGAAGCGGTAGAAGAACAGACAGATTGAGAACAAGGGTGAGTAGGTATCCAATATTTGAATGCGCCGTTGAAATGTTGCTGATGTGGTTTCGCTCCATACTCTCGATCCTATCGTATTCTGCTTGGTCTATCTTCCCGTCTTTCAGATCTTCTTCCCGGGCCTTTCGTACGTGGGGCATATACCGCGCCAGTCTTGGGAAGAGGGCCGCATAGAAGACCAAGGTCGCTCCCTGCTATACATCAGTATAGTTATTTAGTGTGGAGCTCATATACCTACATATCCGATATAGGATATGATATAGAGCACCATTGCAGCAGGCCACTGGCTCGGGTGTCTAATAGCCATCATGCAGTACTGGAAAACCCAGCAGACAACTGTGAGGAAGAGCAAGAGCCATCGGCCGAAACTTCCGTAATCTGCAGCGGAACCAAGGCCCACGAACATGACAGTCATGATAGCAAAGCAGATTCCATTGGCGATAAGCACCACACTGGAGACAGACCGCGTCCCCGAACCCCATGAAACTACACACCCTGCATTCCCACAATTTCCTTTCTCGATGGGGCTCACTGCTGGGTCCCATCCTGCTGCTGTGAGAGCAGATTGAAAAAGGCTCTGTGAGTATGATCCTGGACCAACGCCGTTATCGCCCTGGCATCATCGATTCATCAGCGGTATCCTAGATTTTAAGAATCCGGGGTAACGGGTTTCACTACATACATTGTAGTATAAGTAATAGGACCACAGTTCTTTCCTCGTTGTTGTAGGTTTAACAAAAGCATCCTCATCAGCTCCGAATAATTGCTCATACTTCTCAAGATTCTCTTTGATTTGTTTCGTTTTCATCTGATCACTGTTCGTCGTCTTCACAATCACGTGCTTAGTATCGATGTCATTCTGGGCGTCAATACCCACTGGATCTTCCATATTGACGATTTACTCCAGTAGAGGGTAACCCCGGGATAGTCTAGCAAAGGAGGCCCTTACGAAGAACGAAAAAGGGACCATAAGTCGTTGATATAAGACTGTGATATCTTATCTCGCTTTGGGATTATGCACTTGCCCATTCAACGAGGTGGGGTAACTTCTAGCGGCATGAATACCCCAGAGAAGGGCAATCTCCACGATGATCGGTTCTCATACAGAGTCATGCAGGGCCCCCAGCACATATTCTTGCCGCTTAAAGGCCAAACAACTTCAGCACTTGGTTGATCTTGGAATTTGCTAGCTCTTGGAAGCAATTCATACTCAGAGCGGTACCTGTAGATAACCATGTAAGAAGGTGGGAGAAGTTGTTTAGAACCAACTCTTTGGCAATTATCCACCTCGATGCTGTCTGGACCTGAGAAAGGGGGGCGTCTCGCTATTCGCTAAAAGCACTAAGCGCGCCGCCGCTTTAAGACCGGTTAACCTTATCTCAAGTTCACACTCGAAAACCCCAGCTTCTCAAGAATGGGATATAATGCTACTGTAATATAGTTAGCAATGCTACGTTGCATACATCATTTCCAAATGCGCTAGTAGGGTCATCATTGCGCCCCGGTTTCAATTAGAGAAACAATCTGGAACTTTCAGACAAGAATATCCCACGTGATATCGTTTGACTCGCTCCCTGTGGAGACGTGGAGATGCGAGGTTCGCAACGATGTTGCATCAGAGAAGGACAGACTGGAGTACGCTGATTTCCAACCAACCAAACTCCCCGAAGCTATTGAGCCCCTGAATCAGGAAAACTATTACCTAGACGTGGTCAGCATCGTTTGCAATGTCAGAGCCACAGCCAACGAGCACTATGGCTCCATGGACGGACGAGGAGCTGAGAGCCAAAATCGGTCAGGTACATTCAGTCACTTGTCTGTCATTCAGCAACATCGTCTACACCCACCTCCTTCAATCTATCTGTGAAGTTATCAGAAAGAATTATGCTAATACCTAGCAACAGCTTTTCATTGTGGGCTTCCAAGGTCACGTGCCCAACGACGATATCAAGGCCCTCATCACAACCCACAAAGTCGGTGCCATTATCTTGTTCCAATGGAATATAGAGAGTGCTTCTCAGCTCCTTGAGCTCACTACCTCTCTACAAGAAATTGCAAGATCAGCTGGTCACCAGCAGGACCTGTTCATAGCCATCGACCAGGAGAATGGCCTCGTCACACGTATCAAGCCGCCTATCGCGGCACAATTACCTGGACCAATGGCCCTCGTAGCCACCGTCGATGCTTCGAATGCATTTGAGATTGCATCAGCGACTGCTGAGGTCTTGAGGGGTTTTGGTATTAACATGAATTATGCACCAGTTGCAGATATCAATTCCGAGCCAAAGAATCCCGTTATTGGAGTTAGGTCGCCTTCTGATGACCCAGAGACCGTTGGGAGATTTGTATCAGCTCAAATTAGGGGCTTGCGGGAAGGTGGTATTGTGCCATGTGTGAAGCATTTTCCGGGTCATGGCGACACGGCTGTTGATTCACATTATGGATTGCCTGTCATCTCAAAGAGCAGAGCTATGCTAGATACATGCGAGTTAGTCCCATTTCGACGAGCTGCTGTTGAGGGAGTTGAAGCTGTGATGACTGCGCATATTTCAATGCCAGGAATTGGAGATCAAGGCCTCAGTGATGACCATCCTTCGAAAACATTACCTGCCAGTTTGAACCCAGCCGCAATCAAGATTCTCAGAGATGAGATGAAGTATGAGGGTTTGATTATTAGCGATTGTCTGGAAATGGACGGTGTCAGAGCAACATATGGAACAGAAAAAGGTGCCGTTCTGGCCCTGAAGGTAAACCCCTATCCTAATGTCCAGTTTGCATGAAGAAATTGACAAGTTTAACAGGCGGGAACTGATTGTGTGATGGTTTGTCATACCATGTCTGCGCAGGTTGGTGCAATCGAACAAGTGGTCCAAGCAGTTAAGTCAGGAGAGATTTCTCAGGATGCTATTCAAACATCCGTAAGCAGAGTGGAAGAACTCAAGCGCAAATACCTTTCATCATTGCGAAATTCAACAACCAAGCCGGCTCTTCTTGACATGGAAGCTACAAACAAAAGACATTCTGCCCTGGCGTCCAAAATGTACTCGAAGAGCACTACGGTTGTTCGCAGCGTTCCAGGGTGTATCCCCATTTCAAAAGGACTGGAAAGCAAAATTCTCTGTCTCCTTCCAGGAAAGACCCCAGTAGGGAGTGGTGCAGTTGGTAGTGGTGAAGAGAAGACCAGAGAACCATATTTGAAAAAGTCTATCACAGAGCTGCTTGAAGCAAGACACCCAGGTATGCACGTCAAACAATACTACGGTCCAGAGGCACCAGACCCGGATGCGAGGGAAATTCTCATGCAGGCAGATATTGTATTACTCTGCACACGGAATGCCAGCCTCAATCAATATCAGAAAGACTTTGGTCTAGCTATTGGGAAGATTCTAGGAAAGAGATTGATAGTGGTTGCTACGTGTGATCCATATGATTTCCTGGACGATGTTGAGATTATCAAGAATTACATTACGACCTATGAACCAACACTGGAGGCATTTTCATCAGCGCTCAATGTCATTTTTGGAACCAGTCCTGCGATAGGCTCCCTTCCTATCGGCCTACAAAGCGTGACACACGAGATTCGAACTCTCGATAGCTCATCAGAACATGATGTCACGCATATATGGAATCTCTGGCAAGAAATCTTCCCTACATGGAGTATTGAGCGTAAGCGCTTGGAGTTGATCCTTACTCGGGGCAACTCCACACACCTCATTCACGAGAAAGGATTTTGCTTGGCGTATTTTAACCAGAATGACACTGGATCCCATGGAATAGTATCAGTCATTGGGGTTCTTGAGGCGTACCGCGGCCGAGGAATCGGTACAGCTTTGATAAACAAAGTGCATGAAGCGCTGAAGGCCAGAACCGACTCTGGCAAACTAACTTCCTTTAGTATCAAGTCGTCCTTTCCTCGATTCTGGCCAGGAGTTCCTATCAATCTTCCATCAAAAGACAGGGATTTCTTCTTGCACAGAGGTGAGAGCTCTATTCAAGCCCTGGCCGCCGAAAATTGGAGGATTACTTGTCCGCTGACGTCTTGATCTATCTACAGGGTTTCGAAAAGCCAAAGGTCCGACTTCTAGGGATTTATACAAAAGCATCGTTACCGAAATCGCGCCGGCGGGAGTCCTCGAACGTGTGGCAAACCTCCCGCTCACCTTTTCCCCTTGGTCTCCGGAGCTGTATGAGGAATGCATGACGAAACAGCGGGCTAACTTCCATTACAATGCGGTGTGTATTGCCATTTCCCCTGTTAAATGCTAGCCATCTGGAGAGCTTTCTAAGCCTATTATTATTCTCAAATTGGTTGCAGTAACTTGATTCTATCTGGGACACTAGGAAACTGCCAACATCCGGCGTAAGGGTTGGACTGCTTTGGTTTTAACATTGTTAACACTATTTTCCTTCATCGTCATCCTCGTTCATACTTGATGCTGACACTATATCAGCCATGGATTGAAGCATATGAGCGTCTCGCCAAGGCCAATCAACACCAAGAAGTCCTCGTCGCATTCGACGAGTCCGGGGCCCAAATCGGATGGACTCTGATGTGCCAACCCAACACAGTAGTAGGAGAAGATTTTGCATTCCTACCTCTCCTCCCGTCGAAAGACAAGACCGGCTTGATCGCGTGCGTTGGTGTGGATACGAGTGCTCGGAAGAAAGGGGTGGGATTAGCGCTCCTGGTTAAAGCTATGGAATATATGAAGGCTAGGGGCTTGGAGGGCGTCCTTATCGATTGGGTAGTGATTCGTGGCTTTTATGAAACGTTGGGATTTGAACCTTTCTGGGAGTATGAAGGATATGAGTGGTGATATTAGGTCATGAGGAGCCTTGCACTCCATTATTGTATTAAGTCTTTATTGACTTAACATCGGGCGAGACATAATAAATCAAATCTAGCAACTAATCAAGAACAGTTTGCTCCTATTGTGATGAAAAGTATACGTTCCAGACCAACATTAAAATTCAACTAAGACCCTGGCTTGAACGTGTAAGATGAGTGGGATCCAGAAATTCTGAGCGGTGCTTTCTTTATTGGCTTCCTCAGCCGTCTGCCAGGAATCGTGCTCCTCATTCTAGCCGTTCTATCGTACCGAGTAATAAAACTTCGGCCATCTTGTTCTGATCTTAGAAATCTGAAATCCGTTCACCTTTCACTCTTTCTTAGGGTCACTAATTCTCTGATCCCACGACTATATGATATATCCGGGCCCAGGAGCCGTCTCATGAGGACGGAACGGTTTTTGAAGTAGATAGGGGGCTGGCGTATAACAAGAGAAAGAGGGGGGGGGGGGGGGGTGGCGTGTATCACCACTCATAGGAACAGGTTAGGCCCCGAGGCTAGAGGAAACTATAATCATTTGCTCTGGCGCTATACAGATATGAGAGTGTGACATACTTACCGTGTGTATGGATTCTCGGACAAGTTCGGGTGATCCCGTAAAATAAAGAGATGGGCAGGTTCATTAATCATATGTGATTGCTTTCTTTTTTGTAGCAATGACGTGGGGTAAGGATATATATATATATGTATATCACATCAGGTGGACTTCTCAGCCTCCAAAATCCATTCTCAAAGCAATGGTAGGCTCTCGGCCCTCTCCATTCACATTTTCAGCCTTCCCTTTCGTTGTAGCCATCGCTTGTCGTGCCTTCAAGAAGACGCTCTCCATGAAACCCTTCTGTTCTTCTGTCATGCGTCCCACAACGCCCCTGAATGCCACTTGATCCGAACTCGCCAGTTCTAAAAGCCTTGCGCCCGTCTGGTCATACACACCTTCTCCTTCTTTATTTGCACGTTCTAATAATGTGGGGACGATTACTGCCATCCCTGCAGCCTTCTGCTCGCTCTTCAGGGTAGATACGAATGCTGTGAGCGAATGGGAGATCAATGCACGAGCATTCTCTGGGTCTTCGTTCTCGGTCTTGGTGACGAAGGCGATGAGGCGTGGCAGAAGGTAGCGGGATATACTTTGATCCGCTGCTGTTTTCGGCGATGCGAGGAGGATGGTGCGGATGCAGCCGGCCGCTACTTTGGCCGTCTTTTGGAATACTTAGTGTACGTTGCATGGGCGATGGGGGAGGAATAGAGAACTTACCATGCGATCATTCAGACAGTCAAGCACCTCGTCAAGAAAGCGAGCCACAACAGGCTCGGCGGCTGACATGTAATTTGTGCCACTCGTAAGGAGAACCGTAAAGGCAAGCAGTATATTCTTGACGCAAGGTAACGAAGCCTCGGTCTCTCGCTTCTGAGCATTAAGATATATGGATAAGAAACGTTTCAGGCAGCCTTGGATTTGAGCAAGGCTTGTGTCGCCGCCTTCGGTCTGGTTCTTGGGTGTAACTGAAATGCTGGAAATGAAGCGTTTTAGGATTGGGAGTGATTGAGGGACCACAACAGCCTGGCAGCTGGCTGTGCCAAGGATGGTGGCGAAGATATGGATGATGCAGGCGTGGAGATCCGTTTTGATAATCGAGGGGAAGACCTCGGCCGCGTCAACTAGGGCATTGAGAGATACGCGTATAAGAGAGATGGCCTCGTCTGTCATCTGATGTCGAGCGGGTTGCTGGGGCTCGGTGAGATTTGGCAAGAGGCCAGAAAGTACCAGGACAATTATCCGGGTGAGCTCGAACAGTTGTTCAATATCTTCTGATAAATCTCCCTCTTCGGAATCTTGAGACTTCGTTGCCGATGGATGGGCAATGCAGAGAGTCCGAGCAATCTGAACAATGACACCTTGAACATCAAGACCTTCAGTGAGAACTAACCTATCGAGTAAATCCATGGTCTCTGAGAAGATTGCTTCTCGATATATTGCGTGCCCCGATACACTTGGGTGCAGAATCTTCTTCAGCGCCTGCAAGATATGGAGTGTCTGGTCCTGCGTAGCAAGAGCGTCGCTCCCTGGTCGAGTAACGAGAGCCTCGAAAGAAATGCCGAACAACACAAAGAAGAACGCGACGGGTTCGTCTCGATAATTAATATCGTTCCCTTTCGAGTGGCCATTGGCTGTAGGCGCATCGGATTCTTTGCCATCTAGTGCATCGAAGACAAATTCGCTATCCTGCTCAATCAAACTTGCGATTGCATCAACGAGGTTCAGCCACGAGTCTTGATAAAACTTTAACAGTGTCTCGCGATTCAATGCCGAGTAGATGCTGTCTAAACTACCAGAGAGAGAGGGCGGACCCAAGCTCATTGAGATATCTGGCTCAAATCTGAGACGGGCGAATTCTCTTAGAGACGCGAGCCATAGGGGAGTCAAAGTGCCAATGTATGGTTTCAAAACATCGACCAAGTATTGTTGTTCTGTGCTCGCAACTTGAAGCTCGGCCCAAGCAGAGTAGACGGCCATCTTCACCATAACCTGTGCATTAGAGCTGAGGCCTTTGAGATCTCCAATAGCTGCAACTTCTGATTCAACTGAGAAGTTTTCCAGGGTAGTAACTAGGGTCTTCAGGATACGACCCATTCTGTCGACGTCTTTAACAATACCAGTTGCAATGAAAGCAGCACAAACGTTCACAGCCTCGGATGCTAGTTCTGGGGAGGAATCCGCGGCAAACGCAGGTGTTAGGGCTGAGCTAATCTGAGCTTGGTACTGCTCCAGAAGCGGAGCTTCAGCAAAGTCTGGGTCAGGGGTTCTCCCGAACATCTTTAGTACGGCATCGATGATCTTCAGACCCAAAACTCGAAGCTCCACGACGTTCGAAGTTGACGCAGAAAAGGCCATTCGAATGACATCTGCAACCCTTTTTTGCAGAGCGAGCTGGGCAGGTGAAGTACCATCCTGAGGGGTGTTCTTGCTGACGATATTGAACATTTCAGCCAGACAACTCATTGCGAAAGTGCGAACCTGCCATCGCAGAGGCTCCTGGCCAGAAGGTCCAGCAGCCGTTCCATCATCCTTGCCTACTCCGCCAGCGGAAGCAAAGCCTGCCACTTCTTCATCCCGCAAGTCTGGCAGAGCAGTCTTGGGCTTTTCACTAACCGGCGTAGCCTCGGCGACCTTGGGTCTGGTCATCGTTAAGACTGTCTGGTATCTTTGCAGCCACCGCGCAGTCTCAGTGAGACAAGATTGTTGCATCCAACTTCGAATCAAATTCTTGATCCCGTCGTGTCTCGGATCAGCATCTAAGGCAAGCCATAACTGATCTTCAAATCCCTCTTCTGCGACCTTAACCACATCTTCCGGGTTGCGTTTCATCAGGTTGTAGAGGCCATCAATGGCAATGTCCCTGAGCTCTGGATACTCGGAGTTGAGATCCCTCTGTAATAATACGACGTAATCGGAGAAAGCCATGTAGCCGGGAGCATATAGTGCCAGGTGCTCTAGACATCTTAGACTTCCACCCAGGATCAGGGGATTTTCTTCTCGTTGAAATTGGCCCACGAGAGTCAGGATCAACTCTCGAGCTTTGCTAAGATCCTGGAGATCGGGCCCCAGGACATTGACAAGGGAGTCCACGCATCGAGCAATGACAGCCGTTGTCGGTAATTCCAGTTCCAGATTCGACGTAGCGAGTGAGGAACCTTCCTCATTATGCGTGTCCGCAACATATAATTGACCAAGCATGCCTAGAGTACTTGAAACGTATCCAGAAAAGGTCAAGCCAGCCGAATCCGCAACCCTGGCGAGGGCTTCCAGCGCCCAGAAGTGCACAGTTGGATGGGGATCATTGCACAGAGACATTAAAATTCCCAGAATCGTCTTGAGGTGGAATCCAGCCGCCATACCACCAACCTGGGAATGGATACATCCCAAAGCCATGGCACATCCAGCTCTCGCGCTGGGTTCCCGATTGCTTACAATGGTTTCTACAAGATACTTGATTTCTTGATTCGTATACGCATTTCCTGAGCTGCTACAGAGTCGTGCAAGAGCCTGGTATCCAATACTCCGAATATATTGGTCTGGGTGGACGGCAAAAGATCGAATCATCTCTTGCATGAGCTTCTCCACTGCTGGATTGGTAAGATCTCCAGCCGTTGACTGTGTTTCTTTGACTGCGACCTTCAAAGTTGAAAAGAGTGCAGTCGCAATGTTGATGTTCATCGCTGCCCTTCGCCCAGGATCGCGCTGAAGTGACCCTGCTGAGAGGAAGGTGGCGATTTGTTCAAGTATACTCTCTTGAATCTTAGGAGGAGTGAGCGGGAAGGCGATAGCAAATAGCTTGATAGCGATATTTACAACTTCAGTCGCGGGAGGGTCAGGATGAGTATCTATATTTCCAAGGTCGCCCAAGTATAATGATAGCGAATCATGCTCGAGGGAGCTGCATATTGGTGAAAGCAGCACCTTGGAGATGGCATTGTCGGGTCCACTATCTTTCATCCAGTCATCTTGAGCATCGCTCTCCTGTTCACCAACAAGGCTTCGCACCTTGAAGCCTCTGACTAAACCGGTGACCCCAAAGCCACAGTTATCCCCTACATCCCAAATGGTCTCGAAATTGCCGGCTGAGCTTGCAATCGATGTACTTAACGAGCTCGGAGTGTAGTTTTCAGGATCGGCGAAGAATGATACAGCAAGTGTCAGTAGATTTGATTGTAGTAAAGCCTCACTTCCACCAGCAGGGCTCAGGGTGACTAGTTTCGCGTAGCATTGAAGAACCCGCCGCTGAACCATAATGTCTAAATCTTGCAACTGTAAGGATGGGGTGAGGCGTTGTGTGATATCTTCGGTAGTCTTTTTGGATGGTAGACCTCGGAGGAACGCAGTTGTATTCTGAAGCAATGCCGCAATCCTTTTTGAGACATCCACTGTCAGTAACCGGCTATTGAACTGTAAAAATGCCAAAATAGACCCAAGCGCACATTCTCTCACATGAGTGAGAAACGAAGATTCGAGATGGCTGCGCTGAGACGTGTTGTCTTTGGCGAGGGGTTTCGGAAGTGCATTCTTCCATAAGAGGAGAAGTTGCGATAAATGGATCTTGACAAAATTGGGCCCTAATGACATGAGCCCCCCTATCAGGATCCACGCGACCTGAATCTGAGTTCCAGAAATTCGAAGTTCTGATTTGCTACTGGATTTCAGCAGCCCAGTAGCAAGCGAAAGCACGCGACTGTTCACATCTACTGAGCCGTATAAAGGTTGTAAGGGAGCCGTGCTCAGCATTGCCGAAAGTCCATTCGCATAGCCAACACATCTTCGAGGCGAGTTCCTTGCCGAAGCCAGAAGATTCAGTTCCCTATTAACGCTGTTCATGCATATCGTAAGACAAGGCAGAAGTTGTTGAGGACAAGCCAAAGCAAATGTACGCAGACAGGAGGATGTATGGACTTGAACGGTATAGCTTGGGTGTTGGAGGACTTGTAGCAGGCCGTCCCGGCAAGAGTCCGAGAAATGATTTGCTGCGGATCCCAGAGTTCTGATCAGAGATTCCAAAGCACTCAAGGCCGCAACGAGGGTGTATTTTGTTGGCTCGGCTCGCTCTTTGATAACTTGCGGATAGTTTTTGAGAATGTCGTTGATCAACGCCTTGGCAGCATCAATTTGCCCCGACTCGCCGAGAATGTTCTGACCAATGACTTCTTCAAGTATGATTTGAATGAACCTTCGAGTACTTAACAATCGATATCTGTTATTGGTGATGTTTGGATGGCTCAATACTTCAAGTGTAAGATGATCCACAATCTTCATGTACGACGCTTCCACAATCCGTTCTCCCAGACTCTTAAAGATCCGGCTGTAGCAGACTGCTATGCCAGCTCGCGCCTTATTGCTCGTAGATGCCTTGACGTAGAAAGTCGACAGCTGCTTCAGCATCTCTGGAAGAGTGAAGACCAAAACTGGAGTCTTCTTTGGTCCTGGACTCTCGGGTCTTTGGATCTCTTCATCATCTGCACCAGGGGCCATGGATAGACGTTTGGTATTTTGCCTCTTTGGTTTTTTGATCTTCGGTACGTCATTCTCCAGTACCGGAGCCTCCGAGTGATTCTTTACAAGAGCCTCCGCTAAACACTCCCCTGCCGCTTGTCGCACCAGGGAATTCGACGAGTCAATGGTCTTCCATATGGTAGACTTGAGGCTTTCGAAATCGCTGGCATAATCGAAATACGGCGTGTATTTTGCCATCATCTTCAAGCAACGGCAGGACGCAATCTGAACTAACGCAGCTTTGTCGCTCGATGCTGAGCTTCTGGCCGCCTTCCACGCATCTTTTGCGATATTCTCATCCATACTGCCCCCGATCATCTTCGCAATCTTGCCCAGCGCATTGAAGATTGCCGCTCTCAAGCCTGCATTATTCTGCGCGGATTTCAACAACTTCAGCAGCGACGAGCATGCCAAGGGATGTAAGCTAATAGCGCTGTCCCCCGCCGCGGCAAAGACATCTCCTAAACAGCAAACTGCCGCGTGTTTCGTCTTTAGATCCCCATCCCCTTTACTCTTCCCGCTCGTGATAATGCCGACTAAGTCATTGATCGTCTCGAATAAGAGCTTCCTATCCCCCTTGCTCAGAATATGCGCAAAGCATCTCCCCAGATTGTTCCTTATAACTCTCGTTGGCGGGGGAGATGCTAGGGTGAGGATTTGCATAAGCTCGCGCTTGAGATATAACTGCTGGGCCGTGCAGTCGTCTGGCTCGAGGGACTCGACATGTTTTGTGAGCCCGGAGGCGAAGGATAGGAGGAAAAGGTCTTGTTGTTCTGAGGGCAGGGACTGAAGCTTCTTGATGTCGAGCTCTGGGTTCGAGGATTCTACTCGTGGTAAAGGAGGTGGGGTTGAGCCGTTCGCAGAGCTGGCCGGAGGTGTCGAGGACATGGCCCCAGGATGTAGGTGGATTCGGGGGGGAATTCGTGATGTTGTGAGAAGGACAGAGGAGAAGTTTCTTGGAGGTTTCGAGGCCGATCACAATCGCATTATGATGCCAGGTTCCCCTTTACGGCAGTGGTTGAACTGACCAATCGGGAGCTCGCGTCACTATAGTGTTAGACGGGGAATTTATCTATTAATATCCCCAGGTAATCCGCAGTGAATAAGAATTGTTATTGGCCTCTGGGCGGCTTGTCAGAATTTCTGGAGCGGCGCGCATCACAACAGCTCTATTCTATATACACCATGGCTGTATCTGCCAGAGCTCTCCGGTCCTCTCTGGCTCGAGGGGAGTTTATCTGTACTCGATGTCTCCCGTTCTCGACTTCTTCCGCCTCGCAATCGGGCCATAATCGGTGGTCGAAAATCAAGCACGACAAAGGTGCTAAAGACGCAACCAAGAATGTCCAGCGCTCTATCTTCTCGCGGGAAATAGCCCTCGCCTCCAAGCGTGAGATGCCACATATAAGTTTCCCAGATATATGTTTGTGTGTCTGACTACAATTGCAGTCTATGGCGGAGACCCAAACTCCAACCCGAGACTGGCCACCGTCCTGGCCAACGCGAAGAAAGGTACATGACCGGGTATAACCCCTTCCACAGCAGTATTCCTCGAAACTTACACCCCATAGCTGGCTATCCCAAAGCTGCAATGGAAGCGGCGATTGCGCGCGGACAAGGCAAAACTACGACGGGCGCAGTCCTCGAGCATCTGACGCTGGAGGCCATCATGCCACCCACGGTCGCTATGATTATCGAGGCCGAAACGGATAATAGGAATCGGACATTGATGGATTTGAAGCTTTTGGTCAAGAACCACGGAGGGTCGGTTACGCCCACCAGCTACCTATTCCAGAAGAAGGGGCGGGTAGCTTTCGAGAAAGACGAGAGGAATTTGGGGGTCGATGAGGTGCTGGATGAAGCCATTGAAGCAGGCGCGGAAGATGTCGAAGTGGACGAAGACGGAAGCATTATAGTATGGACGGAGCCAAACAAGACGATTTCCGCGGCAGAAGCTTTGCAGAAGAGTCTAAACCTGAAGGTAGAGAGCTCGGATATTATTTGGGATGCGAATGAGGATACGAAGGTCCAATTGGAGTCGGAACAAGTGGTGAAAGCGCTATCGACTTTTATTGAGGCGCTGCAGGAAAATCCCAATGTCCAGGGAGTATATGCCAATGTCTCGCAAGGCAGTCTTGCGGATGATGTCTGGGAGGATCTACAAAGTAGACTTGATGCATAGAATGTAGAGGAGATGGGCATCTGTAGAGTACATGTACAACAATGATAGACTATACCCCTCCAATTCGTCCATTTGCGGGTTATGCGAGCGGAGACCCAGACCATTATATGACCACAACTACCCATAGCCATAACTATTCCCCCAACGCCTGCAATGAGAACTCCACCTAATCAGACATGTATATATTATCCTTCATGTGGTCCCAGAAAATGGCAAGGCGGCACGTATCTGGACTTGCCCATCCCCGGGATTCCGGGTCCCATCATTCAGAACAGAATCTCCCCTCAGTTGGCCTCCTCCTCGTTCCTCCTCTGCTCCATCCGGGCCTCCCTCTCCAATCTCTTCTCTCTCAGGTACAGTCTCCGCTGCCGCAACCTCTCCAGCTCGGAATGGATCTCCTCTTTCTCGAACGGGATCTTGTACGTCTGTTCGGGCTTGGGCCAGAAATCCGGCACCGAGAATCGATTGTCGAGGTTCGTGCCGTAGTACCACATGATACCAATCGGGAACATGATATACATGCCGAACTGCAGATAGGGTGTTAGTCGATGGAAGCGCCAGGGCAAGGTAGGAGACGGACTTTGAAGACTTCAAGATTGGGCCCGCCCATTGTGATGGATTCGTTGCAAACAACCTTGGCACGGACTGGGTGATTGAAGGTCTTGGTGAGGCTAGGACTAGGACACAGAGTCTTTTCGTCTTTTCGTCGATTGCGGACCGGGGAATCGTTGAATCGTTCCACTTCAAGACAGAAAAATAGTTCAGCCTTATTTTCAAGGATGACATATGGCCCCTGCAGTGTCAAAACCGAGCCGAGGCTGTCCATACAACCGCCTGCTGTTTACCCCACACTCCGAGCATTGCGGATCTTCGATTCTGTAATTCTATAATTCTAAATTCTATATAGACTTGTTAAGAGCTCTTTGTGATTTATTAATTCTCAATTACTCCCGTCATTATCCGTCAAATATGTCTTCACCAGTTACTTGCGAATATAGAGGCAAGATTGCCGTGATTACCATCGACAACGATAAGAAGCTCAATTCTTTGGATCAGGAGGCGTATTACCAACTTGCGACGTACATGAGGCAGATCGCTACTCATGATGAGGTGTATATAACTGTTTTGACCGGCAAAGGTACATTCGTTTCTCCCGTCTGAAATCATATCTAACCTGTCCCAGGACGATATTTTTCTGCGTCAGCTCCCACTTCAAGCTTCAGTGCTTCAGACGCTTTCACATGCTAATACTCCCCCAGTGGTGCAGACATAGGAATTAGCAACTCAGAGCCAGAAGGAGGCGATATCCAACACCACTGGCTTCATACCTTCGTAGCCAACAACCTAAACATTACGCATGCCTTCTACACACATCCCAAGATCCTGGTCACCGCGCTCAATGGACCAGCGATCGGCCTGTCCGCCGCCCTGGTCGCCTTCTCGGATTTCATCTACTGCACGCCGCACACCTTCCTCTTGACTCCGTTCTCTAGCATCGGCCTCGTATCTGAAGGCCTCGCCTCCCGCGCCTTCGTCCAGCGGCTGGGGATCTCAAAGGCTAACGAGGCCCTCATCATGAGCAAGCGTATCACGGCGGAGGAGTTGCTGCAGGTAGGCTTCGTGAACAAGATCTTCGATTGCAAGAAAGGCGAGGATGAGAAGTTCCGAGAGTTGGTGTTTCAGGAGATCGAGGATAAGCTGGGTAGCCATTTGGTCAGTGATAGCTTGACGAAGATTAAGGCCCTGATCAGGAAGCCGGAAAGGGAGACTTTGGATGCGCAGGGTGTGGCGGAGGTTTTCGGTGGGCTGGAGAGGTTTATGGCTGGGATCCCGCAGGGAGAGTTTAGGAAGATCGCGAGTGGACAGAAGAAGCATAAGCTGTAGATCTTAGACTGATTTCTGATGCTGAAAGTGGTTTTGTTTTCGCACCTTTCTGATCCCCGTGGTTGGCAACTCATCCCAATACCATAATACCATCGAAAGCATCCAAACTCGACACAGTAATTAGGCCACACGTAACGCCATAACGCAATTTGACGACCAAGTATCCCCCCGAACTCCGTTTCGTTCTATCCTTTTCCAAGCATCACCTAGTCCCTATACTCCTTCTTGACACTGCCACCCTCATCTTTCTCCATATTGGCTCTCAACCTCTCTTCTTGCTTTTTCCAATGGCTGCCCTCCTCGTAGTTCTTACTAATCCCCAGCGCACTGCGGAACCTGTCATCCTGTTTGATCTTGGCCTCCGCCAACTCGTGAACCTGATGCATCTTCAAGCCTTTCGCATTAGGTCCCCTATTCCTCTCGCTTTCCTTCAATAATTTTCTGCGTAGAGCCTGTGTTTCTGCCTCGATTTGTTCTTCATCGACTCTGGGAATCCTGTCAGTCACCTTGTCGACATTGCGCAAATGAGGGGGGGTTCCCCGAAGAGAGACATACCCCTTATCTTCTAGGAGGTCACGTAGCTCGAAGACTTTCACTTCAACCTCCCGCTTGCGATCATGTTCCAGTATCTCCTTGTCGGGCTGCCGTTGTCGATGTTTCAAACTGTCGAGGTCGGTGGAGTAAGGTTTGCCTTGATCGCGGGGCCGAAGGTGCGCGAGGTTGCGTTGTACGTACCCAGAGGTACCACTACCACGGGGCGTACTGAGTCCAACATTTGAAGACATGGTTATTGCTGCATGAAACCTTTGTGGGACGTGGTGCCAGATAAGACGGCCTCGAGTTTGTGATGAGGTTCGAGGAAGGCTGAAGGCGGCTCGATAGACCCTGGCTGGAAAACCAAAGGCGGTGAAAATAGTGGCGGCAGTATTTATTGGTCATCGAAATTGCCCCTCCTTGAATCTGAATCTTCTTTTCTGGGCGGCTCACACTCCTTGGGATACTTGAACAGAAGATCATATTCTGCGCGCATATTATTACTGTCTTGTTCCCAGAAAGTTCTATCATATAGTTCAAAATGCCAGCGGCAGATTCAGTAGCCGGGCCACAATCAGAGCCCGAGCCTCTCACCAGACTTCCTTTCAAACCTGTCACCAAATCGCATATTCTGCACTGTTCTTACGATTACTGGCACCCAAAGTACGTGTTCAGGGGATATATCTACTTGACATACTGACAGGTCTCATAGATACCGGTCCTCTGCCCTCAAATCGCGAATCATACCCCTTTCTCAATCCTTCCTCAACTACCTCCGCGAAGACGGCATCGTCCTCCCGCCCTCCGAAACACCCACATTTCCTCCAGAATCAACCTACAATGATACAAGCACTTCGGATGGCTGGGATGAAGACCCAGACCCCGACCCTTCTCTCTCATTCTCTGACACTCATCAACAAATTAAAGACGCCATCAAGGAACTGGGCGGCGTGGTAGCACCAAAACTGAATTGGTCTGCTCCAAAAGACGCAACATGGATATTGATGAAGAAGAACTCAATGGAGTGTGCAACGGCGAATGATATCTACTTATTGCTGAAGAGCTCGGATTTCATCACGCATGATTTGGAACATGCGTTTGACGACACGGATCCCGATACGGACACCACGATCACGCAGCAGGATATCAAATTCGTTTTGGTGCTACGAAAATACTTCAAAGTCAACCCCTCTTGCGAATTCCGCTGTTTCGTAAGAGAGAGGACAGTAGTAGGGATCTGCCAACGGGATCTCAATCATTTCGCCTTCTTGTTCCCGATGGTGGATAAGTTGAGGGATACCATATTGACGTATTTCGATAATACGCTGAAGGACACATTCCCGGAAGGAGATTTCGTCTTCGACGTCTACATCCCCGAACCATACGACAAAGTGCGCCTGATGGACATCAACCCATGGGCGCCCCGCACCGACCCCCTCTTATTCTCCTGGCTCGAACTCCTCACGCTTCCCCTCCCCAAACCCCTCCTCGGCACCCCGTCCTCCTCCAACGAGCCTGAAATTCCAACCGCGAGCTCCGACGAGGATACCCAGGACGAGGAGGCGGGCGTGGAAGAGATCTGGCGCCCGGAATTCCGACTCGTGCGCAAGGACGATCCCGAAGCGTACAGTTTCAGCACGCCGCAGTATAGCGCTCACAAGCTGCCCAAGGACGTCGTGGACGCGAGTCTGGGCGGCGAGAGCGCGCTGCGGGAGTTCGCCGAGCAGTGGAAGAGGATGCTGGCTGGGGAGGTGGAGATGCAGCGTCCGGGCGAGAGTGAGAGCGAGGACGAAGAGGAGGCTGTTTAGCAATTGTTTGAGAGTGGGGGTGTTTTCAGGTAGATATAGATGATTGAAGAATATATTATACCATACCATACCATACCTACCTTACCTTATGAAAATCTATACCATCCCCCATGACAAGACAAGAAGAAGTAGAATCCTTCATATCATAACCATACCTTACCTTACCTAAGGGAGCTCGGACGAAGCCCATGTAAAGCTAAGGTAAGCTAAGCTAATCCTCCATCCACTCTCCGCCTCTAAACTTTTGTTACACATCGAACGACCGACGTGCTGACAGGCTGAAATAATTACCTACCTACCTTACCTTACCTTAGCTAATCGTCGGTTAAACCAGGTCCCTACTCCCACAAGGGGGGTGTTTATGGCCTAAGGTGAGGTAAGGTAAGGTAAGGTAACATATTGAATATCTGAGGGGTATATCAAATTATTGATTGGTAGCTGGTGAGGATTTCTGATATAGGTATGGTTGAGGAAGGGTGGATGGGTGGGTGTGAGATATATGTACATATATATACCTAGGTCCCTTATGTATAGACGGATAGATAGATGGTGTTCTCAGATTCCTACCTATGTACCTACATAGAAGCAAGATATAGGTAGATCGATAAGATGTCCTATGCCCCTCGCTCAATCAATCAAGCTTAATGACGACCTTTCCAAAATGGCCGCCCTGGAACAAGTATTTCAGGGCCTCCTTCGCCTCCTCGAACTTGAACACCTTGTCCACCACAGGCGTGATCTTATGCTCTTCATAGAACGCCAGCATCTCTTCCAGCCTGTCCCGCGGGCCGTTCAGCAGCCCTTTCAGCGTGACGTTTCGTTTCAGCGCCAGGACGTTCGTGTTGGTGCGATCTCCGGGCGGGTCCTGCTTCCCGCCGAGATAGCCTATGCTGTTGATGAGGCCGCCGAAGGCGACGCAGTCGAAGGACTTGCGCAGGGTGGACGCGCCTCCGTTCTCAAATATGATATCCACGCCCTCGTCGTCCGTCATCTTCAGGACTTCCTGGTCCCAATCGGGAATCGTACGGTAGTTGATGGTCTTATCCGCGCCCAGTTTCTTCGCTTGTTCGAGCTTGGCGTCCGAAGAGGAGGTGATGATTACTGTTCTCGAAAAGTAAGCGCATATCCCATGGAATAATCGCATGAGCGAGGGCTTGCTTACCTTCCGCCCCACTGGCTTTCGCAATCTGTAAACCGGCGATAGATACCCCGCCCGTCCCCTGGATCAGGACTGTCTCCCCCTTCCCGCCCGCCTGTCCCAAAGGTCTCATCCCATTGATTGCCATCCATGCCGTGAGGCTCGCGACGGGGAGGGTCGCCGCCTCCACATCCGGTAGATAACTCGGCGCCTTCACAATTCCATATTCAGGAAAGGTCCTATACTGCGTCAAGACGCCCGGCGTCGGCAGGCCCAGCCCACTCTTCATGTGATGCGCCTTGAGCTGGCCCTTCAGATGCGTCTGGTTGAAAATACTCAGGACGCGGTCTCCTGGCTTCCACAGAGAGGAATTGGACGAGACCACGGTGCCGCACATGTCGCTGCAGGGAACGAGAGTAAAGGCCGGCCCGCCGGTAGCCTTGTGGTGGTTGTAGAGACCCATCGCTACCTCGGTGTCGCGGTAGTTGATGGAGACGGCGGTGATCTTGACGAGCACCTCGCCGGGCCCGGCGGTGGGCAAAGGCGCGGTGGTGAGGGTCAGGTTGTCGAGGCCATCTTGGGCCGTTACCCATTGCTTGATGGTGGTGGGGAGAGACATTGTGAGTGATGAATGGGGGGGAAGGGAAGCAAATGCCTTACTTTGATGCTATGCAATTGCAACTGCAGGAATGACAGAAAGGAAATTGTGCAAGGAGAAGAGCGTAGGGAAACAGAAGAGACGGCCGTGATAACTGAAAGATTAAAACGGCCGTGATAATTGAGCAATTAAAACGGCCGCCATACCCACCATCTTGAAGCCCTTATCATCAGTGTCGATTGGTAAGGGAGAGGGAACGGAGTCCGATCAGAAGTGGTGGTTGTACGGTGGCCAGTCCTGCCCAAGGCGCACCTAGTATCAGATTCTAGTATTCTAGCCAGAAAAGCATCTCCCAGGTAATGGGATAAAAGAGATTAATAGGATAAGAATCTAGAATGATACATTATAGGGTTTTAGAGCCAGAAACCTCAAGTAGTCTGTCTCATCGAATTACCTTAGGAGGGCTATAAGGCATTTCGATGGTCCTCGGACAATCCTTTGACTATCCCCGAGTGTTCCCTACCTAGGCATTCTTTTCAAAGAGACAGTCCCTAAGTCAAGACTGCCCCTTTACAATTGACCGATTTAACATATATATAGTCGAAAGAGAAAAAAAACATTCGGTCATGATGCTCTAACTGTCACGGACTAATATTAGGACAGTCAAATGGCCAAGGGATGGTCACGTGGATACTTGAATGCACCTCACTACGATTTTCTGATATCGAGTTCTTTTAATGTGAAGTTGTATCTCTAAGATACGCTGCCTATTCCTCTGTAACAGCGAGCAAGTGATACTGTACTGTAACCGTGGGATCCCGAATGGCACTACCTCCCACTTTTGTATGCATTATCAAACTGATTCATCTTTCCTGCCACCAAGTCTAGAATGTTTTTATGAATTTCTGAAAAAGATTTGTCTGTTTTGTAGGAATTGAGAGGAGAAAGGGGACTGTTAGTGATACATAACAGGTATCTACTGAGATTCTCAAGATTAGACCTCGCGATGATTAAAGAAGCCTACCTTATACACGCATCTTCGTCGACACTGGACGGCGAGAAAACCTTGCAATTCGCTATCCGGAAGCTGGACTCGAACTAGCAGCCGTTTCCTCTGAGCATCTTTCTGTGCTCATCATCGCTGGGACGGCTGAAGAACGTGCACCATGTAACAAAATGCAACACGATCAGGATGGAGAGTGTTGAGGAGTATGTTCGGAGTTCAAGGGAAACAGGAGCTGAACAACTTCAGCCGGTGCAGAAAACACCAGTAGGGGGGCATTATTGTTAGTGGAGGTTATTGTGGTAAGTAGTGGTAGCTCTCCGCTTAAAAGTCAAGACCAACGGGAGGGAGAAGCCGTCGTTGTGAGATGGCGGTGTCGCACACAATGAAATTCCGAGTTCGGGAATCTGGAGAGTCATGTCGTGGATGAGAGTAAGAGGATCAGTGACCATGGGACCTGATGTTTATGCATGTATCGGTGTTGCTGGGGGAAAAGGGGAGAAGTCAGGCGATAAAGCGGTTATAGGAACCAAATGGATATATACCCCTGTCAGTCTGCGGTTAAAAATAAATTGCATACGCAAGGGGTCAAGCTCATCCTAGGAATTGTATCTTATGATGTCTTCGAGTCGAAGTTGTCAGTCCAACGCAGTTGCATAGCGGTTCGAAACCCGAGCGGCAATCGAAACGAGACCTCGCTGATTAGTGAACACCGGAAAAGCTCGTACCGTCAGTGAACCACTGAACGGGAGAAGAATTCAACCGTATAAGCAGTGCGCCACTGACGTGTTAATAAGGTTTCTACTCCGTAAGAAAATGCTCCGTGGCCTGACGCTGTTCTACCCCAAAAACCCCGGAGGCGGAGACACCCGGAGAGCCTGAGGTCGCTTCTTGGGATGTCAGACCACAACTCTTTGCCTCCAACGTACCACTCGCGGTGTCTGCCCTGGCGGGCTTTGATTGCTGACCGTTTTTTGATTTCTCATTGGCTTTTCCATCAACTTCCATTCGCCGTTTATGTCAAAATATCCTGATCTTTCTCTTCACGTGGCCAGATCAATAATCATGCTCTCGAGAGCGGTACCGAGTCAGGCGTACGGCGTGATTGTTCGATTCCTCAGTGGAAAAGGTACGCAGGCCGCGGGAATGGTAGGTAGACAACGGGAAAGGTAGGTAGACAACGGAAAAGGTAGGCGCAGACACCGTAGGACATACCTATATATTCCATCGCAAAGATCATGTCTTTCCCTTCTCTTCATCCATAGATACGCAACTCAACGGTTCAAAAAACACGATCCTCCTCACTATAACGCCATCAAAACGCAAGCTCTGATATAGAGACCTACACTCCATATATACCTCGCATCTCAAGCCACAAACTCGAAGAAGAAACCCTCTGCTCGATTGCTCAATCCTATCATAAGATCTCTCTTCTCTCCCAACTCAAGCACACAAAACAAATCAGAAAGAATGTCGGGTACCCGCGCCTTCTCCGTCCTGTCCAAAGTCCGCGCTCTTGCCCGAGCCGCCGAAGCACATCCCTTCCAACGCTATCCTGTGACCCAAAAGCCAGCTCCAGCTGATTGGAATACGCATATTCAACGCGTGGCTGGTACCGCTCTAGCGTAAGTCCTCTACCAGATAAATGAACAGCGAAGACGTGATGAATGGAATGGACAAGTGCTGATTGGCTTTTGCTCTTTAGGGATTTGGGTTGTGTGGCAATCTTCGCCGGATGGCCTTTAGTAGTCGCAGCGATCATGAACGGTCATGTTCATTGAGGTCATGGAAAGGAGCACCACGGTAGTGGGATATAATGACGAAACTTCGATTCAATAATAGTGGAAGAAACAATTGTTTGGAACGCGAATCTCTCGGTGTCCATACTTGGGAGAGGAACCATGGTTCGGCATTGCACTGCATTGCATAGCATGTTTTGAAAGGAGTTTTAGGAGTGTTTAGATAGGAAAAGAAAGCATTGTCGGTGACCCAGATTAGTCTCTTACAGTGCTTGGTGATCAACAATGAGCAGAATTTCGTTATGAGTTATGAGGATATCATGGTTTCGAGGTGTTGTGTTGTGGTGACTGGAAAGAAGCCGACGGTTATCCGATTCCAGATGCTCGCTTAATCCCCGCGGGATTTCAGGGTAAAAGGGAAATGGCATGTAAGGCGTTCTATGTACGAAGCATCCATGTTGACGGTCTTTATATGTGAAGAGAAATATGACGTCGAGTCCTGCACAGGACACCCATTTTAGAATATACCAGGTAGAATAGATACCTTACCCATGGGTCAACACTGGATGAGGTCACGTGCAGACCCTTGATGACGAAGGAATACGGCCCGTCCCATTTCCCGTCCGCCGTAGTGAGGCTCAGCTCATTGTCCTCGAACCCGCGAGACTTCGATACCTCTTGATACCTCCATCAGAGAATAGACTCTTTTCTATACTAGATTTTTGTCAAATTTTCTTTGTCTTTCTCTTCTGCGGGTTCAGATCTTTCATCCCACGCATGTGCTTGAAGCTTCAGCTGCCATAATACCTAGACTCGTTCCCTCCTACCTACCGAGTAATAGCCTAATAGGCGATATTCACAGCCTCGTCAGCCTCGACTGTGCCTTAGGTCTTCCAAGGTCCAATCATTCTCATACGCAGTCCTCGGCCATCCCTACCTCGACATATCGAGATTCCATAGCTTCTTGAAAGCATCGAGGAGTCGGGGTAGACTGGGTAAGACGGTGACGACACAGTGGCCCCGAGGGCATGGACTTCACAAAGCTCAGAGCCGCAGCTCTGCGGGACGGAGACGACGAGGAGGCCGTCACGGTCAACACCCGCGCCCTCATAGACAAAGTCCTCGCCAGATATTCAGGAGAATGGACAACACTGCGAGAACTGCTGCAGAATGCTGCCGATGCCCAAGCGACGACCGTCACGATCAAGTTCGAGACTCTTCCCTCAGCCTCGGTCCCCCTCTCGAACACGACAAATCAGTCGGAAGTCCTGAAACATGTTCTTCTGCACCATACACTGAGGAGATTGTTGGTATCAAATGATGGACTGCCGTTTGGGGTCAACGACTGGGCGAGGTTGAAGAGGATAGCGGAGGGAAATCCGGACGAGACAAAGATAGGGGCTTTTGGTGTAGGGTTCTACAGTGTGTTTGCAGACTGCGAAGAGCCTTTTGTTAGCTCGGGAGATCAAGCTATGGCCTTTTACTGGAAGGGCAATTCGCTCTTTACCAGAAAGCTACAGATACCTGCAGAGGAGGCCAACCCCAATACAAGTTTCGTCCTTGATTACAGAAACACGACTACCCCAATGCCGAATCTCCTGTCAATCTCACAATTCCTGGCGACGAGTTTAACTTTTGTAGCATTGCAGAACATTGAACTCTGGGTAGACGATTGGAAGATTATATCGCTCCAAAAGAAAGCCGCTCCCAGTGTCGAGGTCCCTATCGCCCGAGATGTTGAAACGAAGACAAAGGAAGGGTTGATGCAGGTTAGGAGTATGGATCGCGAGAGTGTGCAGATGGACGCGACTTTTATGAACGTTGTCGGCTGGAAACCTTCACTCACAGTTCCAAAACCAGGAACCTATGACAGTGGCTACGGGAGCAATTCTACTGATGTGCCATCTTTGAGATCGTTCTTTTCGAGACTCACTTCAAGTTCTAGTCATACACAACTGAAGACTAAAGCAATGCGGGAAGCGCAGGCTTTACAGGAGGTGGTTCTCGAAGATCTGACAGCCTTGACGACTGCACATGTTTTCTTACGGGTCACAACTGCAGTGGTCAGAACATCCGTCTCTGCATCATTCGCCTCTGAACTAGAACGCGCTACAAAGAAGCCCCCTCCGAAGACCACAAAGCTCGCGATTCTCACGTCTTCATATGATGAGACAGCAGCCTCTGCCAAAGAGAGTGCTGTGTCCAAGGCCGTAGATATTTTCAGTTCGGTTCTTCCAAGCAAGAAGCCAGGAGGTCGTATCTTTATTGGCTTTCCCACGCATCAGACCACTGGAGCAGGCATGCACCTCTCGGCCCCATCAGTCATTCCCACGGTTGAACGAGAGTCCATCGACCTGAATGCTAGATGGGTCAGGACTTGGAACATTGAGATGCTCCGAGTTGCGGGCATTATGGCTAGATTGGCGTTTGCAAATGAGATGGCAGACCTCTCTGAAAAAGTCAAGCGTGCCGCAGAACTGGCTGGCCATGGAACCAAGGTCAAGAAGGAACAAATTGCAGAATTCATGCCCGAAGCATTACACATACTCAGGACATTTACGTTTGGAGATTCTACCCCCAGCTCGCAAGTGTCGCATATCATCGAGGAAGCTTTCTGGACGGCTTATAAAAAACCCTTCATAGAAGTCTACAGTACCCGAGGCGTGCTCCCAACCACCAATGTCCGGCTCGCCAAGGAAGATCTAAGCGGTTTCGTCGAAGGAATTCCCGTGGTGCCGGAGGCCCTGGTGGAAGAGGGATTCGTGAATAAACTCAAGGAGTTTGGGTTGATTACGGACATTACAATAAGCGATGTCAAGCAGGAGTTGGAAGCGAAGGCTTTGAATAAGAGTCAACTCATCCAGTTCATTGGTTGGGCCGGCCGAAAAGCAATCACTGGAGATATTGATGGACCGACAATAAACTCCTTGATGGAGGTTGCCGTTGCGACAGTGGGCGAAGAGGACCAGGGTGGTGTCATTGCTCTGGGAAGCATAAAGAATTACCTGAACGTCAATAAGATACCGGCAGAAGTACCAACTCCACCGAGCACGATACCTTTCCAATTTACTCGTCAGTCATCGAGTAACGAGCTCCAAGCTTTGGGATGGGAGCCTCTCGAAATCGTTCCTTGGCTCCGTTTCTTGATAGAAACGAATAATACTAGAGATGCCTCTCAGAGTCTTACTGCCTCCGTCCGGTTCGCTGCCCAAATCCTTGCTATCCTATCCAAGTCATGGGATACTTTAAGTCAAAGCTCGAAAACGACAGTTGTGGAGTTACTGCGATATATCACCGTGGTTCCCACCACGTCCGGTATGAAGCAGCCGGGAGATGCCTTCTTCCCTAGCGTCAAGCTCTTCGACGACCTTCCAACCGTTACTTCATGCCCCGGTGTGAAGGAGAAATTTCTCGCGGCTATCGGAGTCCGAAAGACGGTTGATCTTGAAACCATTTTCAGTCGTCTGCTCACTCCCGCCCCAGATGCCAAGGAAGGTGAGATTTCAACTAATAAACGTCACATGGAGGTGATAAAATACCTGGCATCTGTTAAAGATGACATCCCAGCCGAAGACTTGAAAAAATTGAAGAATTCACGGATCTGTCCTGCTGAAGCCGGTCCAAGAGGTCAAGAAAATACGCTTGCAACTGCTAAACTATACAGAGTTTCTGAGCTCTTCGAGCCTAAAGAGACTCTCCGCAACCTCCGGCTGCCTCTTCTCCATTGGCCTGGCCAACTCAACAACTATCGACCTGGGTCTGTGGAAGGCCGCTTTTTGACTATGCTCGGTCTCAGAGCATATCCCTCTGTTCCAGAGTTGATTGATATGATGGCATCGGGTGAAGTAGAACTGAGAAATAGGGCCATGGTATACTTCATTGCGAATCATAATATCAATCATTATGATGCTTTTGATGTCTTTTCCACAACTAAACCATTCCTGCCGTTACAAGGGGATGGGAGTCGCTTAGTTTCGCCCGCCGAGTGCTTCACGAACGAGAAATGTGCTGTCCTTGGGTTCAATATCCTGAAGAGAGAGCTACACAACCATGCTAGTGTGAGTGAATACAAATGCTACTATGTCAATTTCTAACCTTGTATCAGAAATTCGGCGTTGCCGTCGATCCACCTATTACCGAATGTGTCAACAGACTCATCGCGAAACCACCTCAATCTACGCGAGAAGCATCAATACTCTTCGGGTATTTTTCCGGTCGACTCGGTGAAATTGGACAGAACAACGTGTCTAAGCTTGCCGATGCTCGCATCGTACCTGTTATATCTCAACGAACGACTGAAAATGGGTTCGTGGATGAGAAGGGCAAAGGTCTTGGAGCTGTGAAACACATAACTCCCAGACAAAGTTACCTGGGGAGCTCAACTCTATATAATGAGATCTTTGACTTCGTGGATTTCGGTAACGAAGCCAATGCGTTCTTGCTGAAATGTGGCTCTAAATTCGAACCGACCAAACTGGAGCTCGCAGCCTTTGCATGCAACGAACCGGCTCGTCTGCTGGGCATTCTGCAAAGTCCCGAGAAATATCTGGCTATGCTGAGGAGCTTAGCGGATGAAGTTGCTACGTTGAAGAGAGATAAGGTCCTCTGGAAACGGATGAAGGCCTCGAAATTTCTTCTAGGGTCGATTGAGATTGCTGGAAATACCGAGAGTCGGAAATCAGTAAATGAAGAGTCTAGCAACAGGGAGAAGTCGGAAAAGTTTTCAGTGTCCCACGAAGAGTTCATGGCTGATGATGACCTCGAAGAGGCGCCCATCAAGCAATACCAGTTAGCTATGCCAAGTCAGATTGTGATTGTGAGTATACTATCCATCCTCCACGGTGTCACTTTAATAACCTTCAACAGGTTGATGATTATACAAGCTACCGATTGTTCAAAGGTTCTCTCGTGTGTGCGCCGATGGAGGACAAGTTAGAAGACTTCTATATTGCACTTGGGTCATCTCCACTTGGAAGCCTTGTTCAAGAGGATCTTCGACTCGGCTCACCAAGCGAGAAGCAAACGTCAGCTGTGAAACTCCGCCAACACGTTCTCGAGCGATCAAAGCTATTCCTTCACGAGTCTGCTCGAGATAACATAAAGCATGACAGTCGCTGGTTGGATAAGAACCTTTCGGTGCAGAACGTCAGCTCTATATCTCTACGCCGTTCTCTTACCGGTCATTCTCTGTCGCATACAGAAAAACGATCAGCAGCAATTTCGAGTGAACGGCACAAGGGCTGGACACTCTACATTACCGTTGGAAATTATGATACCTATCAGATCAGCCAAGCGGTCTGTAAGTTACTGCTTGAGCGTCCAACTCAGCAATCATACCTCACCTTCGAGACCTTCCTCAATCTCAACCTGTTGCAATTGCGCTCCCGTGGATACAATGTAGAACGTATTCTACGAGCTAAAGCAGCAGAGCAACGAATAGCAGAGGAAGAGCGTAAAAAGCAACTTGCAGCTGAGCAGGCACAGATCAAAGAGCAAGAAGAGGAGTGGAAACGGCAAGCCTTGGTTGAAAGTGCTCCTGCTCGTGAGGATCGTGAACAATCTCCGCAGCCAAAAATGCCTGGTTCCTTCGGGTCAGACTCTCCTCCAGAGGATAGGAGACGTACCAGAGGTTTGTTTTCTGGTCTGACTCGCCGACTTGGCATTAATAGCAGTGGCGAAGTTCAACAACAACTTCAGAGCTTCCTTGGCGGTGACCATCCGGACTCCACACCACCACCCACCTATGACGAAGCAAACGCGAACAATGGTGCTGTTACTAAGTCTGCTGGTGGCAAGGCAGGTGGTGGCACGGAACAAGTTTCCTCTCCTGCAGCTGTACAACAAAATCTCCTAAACGCAATCCAAAGCTCTCGTGCCTACGACTCCTCAACCCTTTTCTCACCTCCAACTACGCAGCAAATCAAAGAACAGGCCTCATACTGTGATTCCACGCCTGAATCGAACATCACTTTCCTCGCGGACTCCGCAAATGGGATGCGCATCTTCGTCTCCAAGACTCTCTCCTCGACCACCGACTTCTTGACCCAAAACTCCTCCGCTTTAAACGCCTTTGCTTCCCTCATATACGAAGTAGCGGACGTGTATACCTTACCGAGGAAAGCACTGCATATCTTCTACGACGAGAGTGGCGGCACAATTGCATTCAATTCCAACGGGAGCATATTCTGCAACTTCAGATTCTACGCACAATTGCATCAGAGGAGGATTGGAGTGGGAGAAGGCAAGGTCGAGGCGATTTCGTACTGGTGGGTTGTGATAGCACACGAATTAGCTCATAATCTGGTCAAGGCGCATAGCGCCGACCATAGCTTCTATACGTACGTATCTATACTCTCCTATATCTTCTGGTGGATGCTAACTGCTTTCTAGCGAGATGCTCGTCTCCAACTACTTCCCCAAGATGATGGCGAAAGCAACCTCGTACATGACCGCAGCGCCCGCGAGGCGACAGGTCGAAGATGTCAGTTTGTTGGACTAGGATTGTTGCTTCTTGTGCTGGCTTGTTCTGCATAGCTTGCGTTCGGGGTTGGAGTTGTGTTTGTATGCATTAGATGGGAGAGATTTGCAAATAGATTATCAGGTCTTCAGACTCCCCTTTGCAATAATAGTATTTAATTTATTTTCCCTATTGCTTTGGGGCATTTGCAAAGACGTGCCAAGGTAATTGGCGTATCGATCCAGTAGATACATATTCAAGTATGTGTAGATGTGAGGAGACTGAAGACCTCGTCGTTGAACTGCGCATGTTTAAGTCGATGCAAAGGGGGCGATGCGAAGCGACAGTCACGTGCTCACGTGAAGTCGAGACCGAATTTCTCGCGACTGAAATGTACTCGATGTCCTTCGTAGATGCAAATTCACAGATGCTCTGTGTCCAGCAATTCCGAGTCAATGGTCCGAAATGCTTTGTCCAGAGCTAGAATACACACGCGGAATGTCTTTCCACGGCGGTCTGGGCTTCCAATTGCATTTCGCAGGGCTTGTTCCCTGATCCTGGCTGGGAGTTCTGGCCCGTCTCCCATTCTCTCAACATGTCCAGCACTTCTACAGCGATCATGCTTTCATGCTGAACCTCAAGAGTCTTTTTCATTTGTTGATGACACGATCTACGCCGTTTCGACGGCTCCTGGTAGAGCAGGAATAGCGATCGTCCGCATTTCCGGGCCTTCTTGTCTCGATGTACGCTTCGCAAGCCCCTCCTCCTTAGCTATGTTAATATGTTAACAAGCAAAGATATATAAAAGTCTTTGTCCTTCCAGGCCGATTCCTAAAGCTCGGTATGCCTCTTTACGGACGCTCTACGACCCCTCAACCCCGTCCGAAGTCCTCGACTCCGACGCGTTGGTCCTCTATTTCCCAGCGCCCAAAACGGTCACCGGCGAGGAGATGCTGGAGCTCCATATCCACGGCGGGCCCGCAACCGTGAAGGCCGTTCTATCTGCCATCCCGCGCTGCCCATCCATGACGCCTATCCGCTATGCGGAACCGGGCGAATTCACGCGGCGGGCCTTTCAAAACGACCGGTTGGATCTAGCACAGGTGGAGGCATTGAGCGATACATTGTCCGCGGAAACCGAGCAGCAACGACGCGCTGCTGTGCGAGGAAATTCTGGAGAGCTGGGTCGCACGTACGAGGGATGGCGACAGCAACTTCTGTATGCGCGGGGGGAGCTGGAGGCTCTGATTGACTTTTCCGAGGATCAGCATTTTGACGAATCCCCGGCAGAGCTGCTGACGAATGTCGCGGCTCAAGTAGAGGCGATGCTCAAGTCTATCGCATCTCATGAAGCTGCTAGTCATCGAGGAGAATTATTGAAGAAGGGGATCCGGATTTCGCTGCTTGGGCCTCCGAATGCTGGGAAGAGCTCTTTATTGAACCAGATCGTGGGAAGAGAGGCGTCGATTGTTAGCCAAGAAGCGGGAACAACCAGGGATATTGTTGAAGTCAGCCTTGATATCAGGGGCTACCTGTGCACATTTGCCGACACGGCTGGTCTCAGAACGCACCCCGAACAGAGTCTGGGGTCGGATTCGGTGATTGGGGCTATCGAGCAGGAGGGAATCAGACGGGCAAAGGCGAAAGCAGGCGAATCTGATGTGATCATCGCCATAGCTTCCGTCGAACCGACAGATTCGGGTGCAGGCTGGTCGATCCGCTATGATATGGAAACATTGGCGATTGCTGCGGGGGCTTCCCAGTCACTTGTTGTGGTCAACAAGAGCGATTCCGTTCCATCGGAGGTACTCTCCTCTCTCATGGCCGAATTCCAAGGGGCACTAAAGCAGGATATGCCCGTTATTACAATATCGTGCAAAGAGGCACAGTCGAATCGCGCAACCCACGATCCGGGACGTATCAACTACTTTGTTGACCAGCTGGTCGCGCTGTTCAAAAACATGACGGCCCTCCCTACCGATATGGAAGATCTCCTCGGAGTCACAGAACGTCAACGTCAATTACTGTCCGCATGCTCCGAACACCTGCTCGAATTCATCGCTGAGGCTCGATCTGACCCGGAGGGCGGGGAATGCGACATCGTCCTCGCGGCCGAACATCTCCGTTCCGCCGCCAACTGCCTCTCGCGGATCACGGGACGTGGGGAAGCTGGTGATGTGGAAGAGGTGTTGGGAGTAGTGTTCGAGAAGTGCGTCCCTCTCCCTCTCACGAGAAGTCGTAACTAATCATAAAATAGATTCTGTGTCGGCAAGTGAAGGAAGGAGTGGGATTGCTTCCATTATTCTATTCTATGCCCAGTCTATCTATGCCTATGTCTATGTCAACCGTCATGAAACAACCAACCAACGTACGAAATGAAAAGAGATCTATTCCCACGACCACTGCCGAAGCCTTCTACACCCAAACCAAGCCTCTTCTCACATCCTACCAGAAAACTCCTCGCTATGCACTGAAATTGCTTGTCCGTACTCGGCTCGATGCGTCTGACGTCCCCTCCGCATACCGATCACCTTGCACTCTCCGACAATACCACGTTGGAAACTCGTCAAAACCTCTCAAGACCGCTCGCATCCCCAAAAGACTTGATCAAGCGGCCTTCCAGAAACCGCAAAACCGAATGCCGAAGAGGAGCGAAACCAGCTTTCTTTCTGAAGAGGACGAACGACTCTAATTATACCCGCGTCGTCCGTCCTCCTCTTCCCCCTCTTCCTCGGCTGGTCCCAGATTCGGCCGAGGCGTGTTGTACCCCCGACGCCCGAAATTCAGGAGCGAGCACGAGCGCTCGTCGTCCTCATCTTGCGAGGTCGTGTTTGGTCCGTTGTAGGCGCCGCGGCCTTGGTTCGTGAGGCGTGCGTGTAATTGCATGGTGTGGTTTGTGGATTGTGGGAGATGTGGATTGTTGGTTGATGGAATGTAGAATGGTGGGTGATGGATAGAGTTGGCTGTTGCTATTAGATTATGAGGTGCTAGATAGATGGGAATGATGGGAAGAAAGAAGACGTTGGATTGAAGAGAGAGATATATATATATATTTATATATATCCTCGAGCCATGAGCCATGAGCCACGAGCCTCCACGAGCCAGTGCTTACCTTACCTTACCTTACCTTACCTTACCTTACCTCATTGTACCTATTTCCCTACCTTCCTTATTCGCTTTGCTTGCTCATTCATCTAGACAGATCAAACCCTCAGCCTCTCGGTCTGACTGTCTCCCTCTCTCACTCTCACTCTCACTCTCACTCATTACACATCCACCAACATCCACCGACATCACATCACATCACATCTCTCTCTCTCGCCCCAGGCATCCATCATCCATCCGTCATCCCGCCGTGTATACAGTAAGCAATTTAATGTGTCGTGTTTGTTACGAAGCGCGATGCGATGCGAGGTGAGAAGTGAGAGAGGTACCAGGGGAAGAGGAAGGGGAAGGGGATAGGGCTGAATGCGAATGCGAATGCGAAGTCTCTCGTATGCGCCACGATGGGGCGGACAATTAGGACAGGGGGGTGTGGCTGGCGGGCTCGTGGGGGAGGGGGGGGGGGTTATAAATAAATAAATAAATGAAGAAATAGATAGGTGGATAGATAATATATGAGGTGGTACTGTATAACAGGTACAGGTATAAGTACAGTAAGATAAGGTAGATACCTTGTGGTTCAGATAATAGAGGTGCGCGACTTTGTGTCTAGGTACCTTTGATAGAATATGAATTTCCTTCCTTCTTTCCATCGTATAATTCACAATTCACAAGATAACACCTTACCTTACCTTAACACATGAACAATTCCATCCCATTCCATATGCTTATAAAGAAACCCCATCCATCTTCTTTCTTATAAATCAATCTCTTAAATCGTCCAGACTCATCGATCGTCATCGGTCCGAACGTTTACTGCATCTGCATCTGATCTCACTTTCCCACGCGGCAATGCCGAAGAATTTATGCGTCATACCTTAGGTTACATGCATCATGATGCATGTGAGTGAGATCGCTCGGGTAGGGCTGTGTTAAGTACATATGTATCTATGCGTGTAAGAGTGGCCGAAACCGAGAGTGCGAGAGAGTGAGATCTTAGGGCGGTGATGGTTTCTGGGTCAAGGGGGGGTGTTCGCTTACGGAGCACCGATTTGTTGGGTCTATCTATACCCCTGAGGACCGGGATGGAATTTGGTTTCGGGAGAGGGGGGTTTTGGGGCCTGGAGATGGGGATGGGGATTATTGGTGGGAGTTGAGTTGCTTTTGTTAATTGATTAATTGATCTTTTGATTTATTTATTTGTCTTTTACTTTGGAGATGTGTGATGTGATGGGTAGAGAGGTGAGAGAGGGAGTATCTATCTCGGGACAGAGAGAGAAGCCCTGAGATATATTAACAAAAACAATATCATTCAAGAAATCAAATAGATATCTAGACCCAGACCACCTATTTTCTTTCCTTACAATAAGGTGAGAGATGGAGTAGAGTAAAACTTCCTCTTGATGTACCTGGTCTATGCGATCTAGTGGCGACTAGCGGGAGATATCCTTATATAATAAAGTAAGCGAAGAATTTTCAACACCAAGCCACATAATCAGGCACTTTGGCGGAGTGGTTAACGCGATGCCCTGCTATTGTTTCTGACAAAGCATCTCAGGCATTTCCTTCGGGAGCGTGTGTTCGAATCACACAGGTGTCGATTTCTTTCTTTTTGCCCTTTCTTTCTGATTGATAATTAATATCTTTGATCATCCTTTTTAACCTGTGCGGGAAAAAGGAAGTAAAAATTTTTGATTTTTGATCTTCTTTTTGCTTTTTGGGCCCTGCGTCATTCCTTCCCATCGAGTCCCTGAGCGCTTTCGGCCTTCTCTCCTTTTGCATTTTCTTCTATTCATTCTTCCCATTTTATTTTGAATGATCATGAATGAATGAACTTGAAAATATTTTTTTTTTTTGAACCCTAGGTTCCTACTCTTGAGATCTAGTAAGCAGTTTTCGCCACAACCAGCACAGCGCGAAAAAAACAAGGCACTTTGGCGGAGTGGTTAACGCGATGCCCTGCTATTGTCTCGAGCAAAGCATCCAGGCATTTCCTTCGGGAGCGTGTGTTCGAATCACACAGGTGTCGGATTTATCTTTTGCATCTTCTTTCCTATTTTTATTTGCATCTCTGATTCCTCTTCTTTTTCCCAGCTCCTCCTCGAGGGAAGAATATGTGGTCTTTTATCTGCCACGGTTAATATCGAATTGGCACTTTGGCGGAGTGGTTAACGCGATGCCCTGCTATTGTCGAGAGTCAAAGCATTCAGGCATTTCCTTCGGGAGCGTGTGTTCGAATCACACAGGTGTCGGTTGGTTTATTTTTTTACTCGTTTTTTATCTTCTGATTTATAATATCGGGGAGATGAATTCTTGTTTTCTTTTTGAAGGGATTGTTATGTTGGTGGCATTACACCATGACAACTATTCTTCTTTCTCGATGCGAACAAAGTACGCAGTCAAGATATCTTGATCCAAGGCGCTTTCGATATAATTCATCCGTGTTCCATTCTCTTTCTATTTTTCTATTTTTCTACTTCTCATCCTTCAGCTTTATCATTAGTCTCATGACGCCATTGAGCTTGATGGGGTCTCTTGATGCTTGCTTTCTTTAATTACGGTGCCGTGGTTTCATTTCGACTACAAATTGCTAGGCTATTCATCAACAACCTAGCAAGACATCCTCGATATCATCTTTCATTAGCAGTTTGATCATCCTTATACATGGATTCTGGGTCAAACCTCGATATATATATAACCACCCGATCTCGGCTCGCCTGCAGTGCGTATGTACGTTGTTCGTACAAGCACTAGAATTCCTGACTTTTCGCATACGTAGTCTCCTCGCCCTATATGTAGAGGTAAATAAGAACTTCAATTTCTTTGCAGGTTCTTAATGCTTTATTTGGAGACGCTGCAACTGCCGAATTCCCTACTCGGACCGGACCGTCCCGGCCGACAAGGACGGCGAAGGATGTTGGAGGATTGTCAGCTCTCGCCTCTGAAAAGGTGCCCGATGCCAGTGGAAATAGGAGCTGGACATCGATTCGGGGGCCCGGTCGAGAACGACGCGATGGGTAGGTATATCTACGAGTGGCTCGAAGTCTGCCAGAGACCGACCCGAGCATCAACCAGACGGTGGAAAGTCCCCAAGATCCACTACACGAACTCTCGATATTCCAAGACGGTCGAGGATCCTCCTTGTAGATGACAACAGCAGAGGTCAACACCCCGTCCCCATCAGCACACGGCGAATCTCACATCAACACCAGACCATCATCAACACCATGAACGAAAGCAATCGAGAATGTGTCAGAGCAGCCAACAGCCTCGAAGCCTGCAAGAGTATCAAGCTGCTCCCGAATCCTGAAGGATTATCTTCATGGGCATGTATATCTACTACTTTGTACCCCTCTTTATGATTGATGATGCTTTACTTACAACTGCTACATCTCGTAATGCCCGTAATGAACGGTCCCGCTACATCCGCGCCCGGGAATTAGTATGGGTATCTTAGGGCTTTTACTTACTATTCCTGTTTCGTGAGTATATATAGTATCCAATGTTGAAGGAGGACTCAAAAGGAACGGTCAGCATGAGGGACGAAGCTGAAAAGATGATGGAAAAAGGGATTCTTTGATCTTGGGGATCTTTGATTCTTTGCATTACTGCTATAGACCCATGATCGAAGCAAGGCAAGGATGAAGCGGTGCAACAAATACGCATATGGATTGATGTATATAAAAATACATATAAATAAATGAATCAATAGATAAATAAATAAATAGATAGATATAAAGGGGCAAAAGATGTCTCTCGGTTGTAACTTGTGGCTGCCTTCCATCACGGGACCCGCATCTTTTGCCCCGCCACGCAACATCCGCGTCATTTGACAAGCGCTGCTATCGCGATACCGACGACATAACTATATCAACTCTGCAACTCCGCAACTCCAAAGACAAAATGCTCTGATTTCTCCCGGGGAACGCTCTTTTACGAGAGCATCAAAACCTTCAAGAACATACCTTCTTACTATCAAAGCACCCCAGCGTCGACCGCTCGAATACCCCCGACAATGACGTCGTCGTCGTTGTCGTCTTCTGGCCCCGCCAGACCCCCATCGCCGACAAGCAGCTTCTATGCGCTGAGCGACGACGAGGAGGGCGAATATAATACCATTACCCATACAAGTACCGGTCGGGGAGTCAAACTCTTGTATTCGAAAAGCAAGGCAGGTTTCCCTTCGAATCCGCAGAATACATACTCATACGGGATCATCAATATACTAACACCCATTACCCTCCAGGTATACATTCACCCCAGCCCTTCAGCGAAGGACAACATACCCGGGTATATTGCCCTCCTCCAACAAAAGCCTACTCCCGACTCTCGTCCCGTCTCCTCTTCCTCCTCCACGACCTCGAAATCTAGAATCGCCGCCTCCCTCCTGCTCGCATGGCTCCCCGAAAGCTCTCTCGGCGATGCTCTAGATACATACGTGAAGGTTGATCTATCTGACGGAGATTCGCCGCCCAAGCAGTCATACCTTGTGCCTCCCCCTCCTACTTCAACTGCGTATCCCGGCTCCATTGGGCCTTATGCCTTCGCCATCCCGGTGTCGACCATCTACAGCTTGTTGATCCGGCCGCCGAATTTGGGCTGGTGGTATGGGAGCCTCATCATAAACACCCGCGCGGGGGACAGCTTCCCCCCGTTATTCTTCCACGATAACGAATGCCAATCTACGATCCTGCAGAAGAAGAAGCGGACCAGGGAATCTTTCGACCCCTTCGGTGCCGATGGACAGATGTTCTGGGGAGGTGACGAGGTATTGCGATGGTTGAAACGCTATGTGACGATCGAGAGGAGCGGCGCGGAGCCGAACATATATCTTGTGGAGCCGAGTGCGGAGGATAAGGAGGCCTTTGGGGGGAAACTTACCACGGATGCAGTAGCACCAAAGGCGAGTAGTGCCGGGTCGCGAGTGGGTGGAGGGGCTGGCCCTGCAGGAAGTCCGCTCCAAAGAGGACCAGGAATGGACCCAGTGACGAAATTCGTGAAAGAGACCGGCTGGAATTTACTTGAGAAGTTCAGCAGGGTCACGACATTTACGAGAAGGACTGCGGATTCCGTAATCGATAACCCGAAGATACCACCGCAGGTTAGGAGGCTGCTCAGAAACCCAGAGGTACAGACGCTCCAGGATGAGTTTGACAGTGCTAGGATCTACTTGGCGAGGTGGGCGATGGGCATCGCGGAGCAGAGCGAGCGGGATCGCAACCAGAGGATTTGGACGGCAAGAGATGTGCTTGAGATGGAGGAGACCGATGTTGGGGATTTCGAGCTGCTGGATACGGAGATGGGACAGCTGTCTCTGAAGGAGCTGAGGAAGACGGTCACTTTGAAGGAGTGGAATAGTTACTTTGACCAGAAGACTGGGATCCTGCAAGTCACAGTCGATGAAGTCAAGGAGAGAATCTTCCACGGTGGCCTTGATGTTGAGGATGGTGTTCGGAAAGAAGCATGGCTGTTCCTGCTCGGTGTCTATGATTGGCACTCGTCCCGGGACGAGCGAAAAGCAGAGATGGCGAGCTTGCGTGACGAATACGTGAAACTAAAAGGTGCTTGGTGGGATCGCCTTGTTGACCTCGGTGGTGATGGGGAAGAAGGCGAATGGTGGCGCGAGCAGAGAGGCCGGATCGGTACATACTCCCCATTCCCCTGCCAAAGAAGTCAGTATAGACTAACAACTCCCATTCCTTGGGGTCTCGACAATAGAAAAGGACGTGCATAGAACAGATCGCACAATCCCCCTCTTCGCGGGCGAAGATACGCCACACCCAGATCCGTCATCGCCTTTTGCTGATGCGGGCACTAATGTTCATCTGGAGCAGCTGAAAGACATGCTCCTCACTTATAACGAGTACAACCGCGAACTCGGTTACGTACAAGGCATGTCTGATCTGCTTGCCCCCATCTATGCCGTGATGCAAGACGATGCCGCCGCCTTCTGGGGCTTCCAGCATTTCATGGATCGTATGGAGCGAAATTTCCTCCGCGATCAGAGCGGGATGCGCAAGCAGCTCCTCACACTGGATCAGTTGGTGCAGTTGATGGACCCGAAGTTATATCTACATTTGCAGAGTGCGGATAGTACGAACTTTTTCTTCTTTTTCAGGATGTTGCTCGTATGGTACAAACGTGAGTTTGAATGGTTAGACGTGCTGAGGTTATGGGAGGGGTTGTGGACCGACTATCTCAGTTCGAATTTTCACCTTTTCATTGCTTTGGCGATCTTAGAAAAGCACCGAACGGTCATCATGGACCACCTGAAGCATTTTGATGAAGTACTGAAATACGGTAAGCATGCTTTGCTCTGCCTCTTCCTTACTGCCATGAGGTGGTTTACTAATCAACGAAACAGTCAACGAACTCTCTAATTCGATAGACCTCGAATCGACCCTGGTCCGTGCAGAAGCTCTCTTCCGCCGCTTTCAGAGAACGGTCGAGGCCATTGATAAGAAATCCAACTTCCCCGCGCCGACACTGCGCCATCGCCAACCTGCCGGTTACTCTTCCCCCTCGATCAGCTCTTTACCTTCGTCAAGTACCCCCGGCTCCCCATCTTCAGCCTCAGCATTAGCAAATACGAGTGGTACTGATACCGTGACTGCTAGCGGAACGAACAGTGGGGGGACCAGTTCAAGGAGTGGCGGTGCAAATGGGTCAGGGAAAGTCGCTGACAAGGGCAAAGGGAAGAGGAAGAGTGATCAAGGGAGAAAGAGCGAGGAGGCAGATGACGAGACTCCGAAACCACAAGTGATCACTCCGGAGCTGAGAGAGTTGTTGAGTAGGAAAGTAGAGGTCTTGCCGCGTAAGGTAGTGCGGAAAGAAGGCGAAGGGAGGAGCAGCTTGACCAAGTGAGTCCCAAAGGGGAAAGACAGAGTAGAGAGTCGGGAAGTGAGCAGATTGGCGTCTGGATCAAACATCTGCTTCCGGGTAAAGTCGAATATCAGCGTAGCATAGGAGTTAAGGATTACGAGTTGGCCCCCGTCGTCGTCGAGACGTGATGCTGAGATTTAGGTATGCTAGAGGATGAAAAAACATGGAGCTATAGGCCCTGTGTTTTTCTTTTAATATTTACTTCTTACTGCCCCGCACAACTTTTTAGTATAGTATTGCAATACTGTCTGTGGTCTGATAAATAAATAGTAACTTAGGTACCTACTACCTAGTAGTAACGCACCTATATACCAAGGTAGACATACTACTATTAAAGGTAATATTACATAGGGCAATTTACGTTTATTTTAATATTAAACCTTTTTACTAGAATACAGTTACCTAGTTAAAGCTAAAGTAGGTAGGTAGATGAAATGAAAGGTCGAGAAAAGAGAAGAAATAAAAAGTCACGAGTAAGACTGGATGGAATCCTTAAGAGAGAAAGAATGTTGTTGTTGAGAGCTTGCTTGAGATAACTCTACAGCAGCCCCTGATACCTACAAGCCAAAGACCCCCCCCCGAAAAAAAACACCAAAAGCAAAACTTTTCCCAAAGTCACAAATTCAAAACAGAAAGAAAAATGCAACGCTATACCCCCTAGTTTTTGTATGACCTGAAAGAACCCCCAAAACAAAGCTAAATGTACAAACAAACGTCAAGTTTCAGAACACCCAGACGCAAGCAAACTCAAATCTATGGGTGGCCAGCGGCCCAGGTCCTGAACTCGTCGACCTCATCAGCAGGCAGGTCCGAGATGGTGACAGACTTGTCGGCGTTGACGACGACCTTGCCGATCTGGGGGTTGTTGGTGCCGGAGACGTGTTGGGCGAGCTGCAGGCAGCCTTCGGGGACGTTGGTGACGGTCCATGCGTCTTTGCCGACCGACTTGACGTGGATCGTGGTGCTGTGACCTTGCTCAAAGCAGATGGCGACGGGGTTGTCGATGTCGTTAGCGGGTGCTGTGGAAGATCAGTTGCTGCTTGAGGGTGAGGAGATGGGGATGCTCACCAGGGGGAGCGGTACGCTCGAAGACATTGGATTCTCCTCGGATCATGGAACGCTTGCCGAAGATGGTTTTTACGACGCCACCTGCTGCGATGGGCTGAACCATAGCGAAAGCAGCGACGGCGGTAACGAGAGCGGTGGTGAATTGCATGTTTGCGGTTGGTGGATTTGAAAGTTGTTAAAGGGAGTCTGAAAAAGTTGAAAAAGTTGGAAGTATTGGAGATTGTTAGAAGGTGTTGTTTTTGTGGATGATGTGGATGATGATGAAGGAAACATTGTGGAGGGTTTATGGCCTCTTTATATATTTCTGCGATGACTCGAGAACTGAGAGCGCACTTGCCAGTCTCTTCAGGATTTGAGAATATCATCAGAGGAACAAAGCTGAGCCCATCTTCAGGATTTGATTCTATTCACAGAATACACGGGGCTCAGTCAGTGTATGAGCAGAGTCCTTCGCTTCTTGGCCCTACTGCAGTGCTGAACTGAGCCGAGTTGCCAAGGTCTTGGGGCCCCAACATGTCAATCCTTTCTATCCGTGCTATTGAGTCGTCACCTATTATCGTCGACCCGCCAAGTGTCCCAGACTCGAAGCAGTAAGATTGCAGTCGAGGTTGAAACAGCCGCAATGCTGAATGCTGACAGAAAACGTGTTGGAGGATTCGGCCAAGCGGGGGATCAGCAATGTGGAGGTAAAGATGGGCTCCTCGGCTACGACTGCCGCCGGCTAAAATTGGAAAAAGTAAGCTTACTTCCCGTCGGGACCAGTTTCGATCCCTATTCGCAAGAGCCGTAGGATGCAGTCAGGGTGGCATGAATCTCAGATCCAACCAAGCTTAAAAGGATACGGATCATAGGTTTCTGGGGGATATATGCCAAGCCTGTGGAGCAGCACGGCCTTCTTCACAGCTGCTACTGTTGTAAATGGTTCGATCTTGCCTCGTGCCTGTGCACGCGCTAATTGTTCTTCTCCATAATCTTGCGCTTCTCTCTCCCACTTCATAAACGGATGGTCTGCTTCCCTCGATATATGAGGTGCTGCCATCGCGGATTCTGGAAATGCGGCTTCTTCACGTAATAGAAGGTTAGCCACAAAATGGACGCCAACTTGCAAAGGGTTTCGAATAACATCAATGGTTCCCATGTCTTCACTTCTTGCGAGAGGTAAGGCTTTATCCTTCAAAGACTCGAAGCTAATAGGTGCGCTAAGTCCATTTTCGTGACCCGTTCGGGCCAATATGATGCTCTGGTTCTGGGCAACGTCGTCGTAGTGACGGAAGCCGTCTGCGTGCTTCTCAGCGGCCACGGACTTGTACTCGTCGAACACTACTATAAGTGCTTCGCAAATCGAAAGTAGTTTGAAGTACCTTGGGTCCGGCCAAGGCTTGCACGATTTGATAACGGCATTAGCTCTGTTGTTTTCTTCCACCGTCTTTCGAACCTGAGCGAAAATGTGCTCGTGCACTCGTAGTATCCCTGGGACTGTCTTTGCATATTCTTCCTTAACGCTTACGGGAACAGCAAAGAATTCATCAAGTTGTATTTGTGGTTCTCTGCCCAGAGCATCGGACCAAGCATTCCAGATACCACCTAGGATCACCGGCCCATTACGGCCGACCATGCTGTTGGTTGCTGACTGAGTCCAGTAGAATACTGTGGCTTTGTTGTAGAATAGGTATTCCTTCCATGTATCGATGTACGGTATTTTATGGCCTCGTTTTTGGGGATTCTCGATGCTGTAGAGTTCAAGCATTTTATCAAGCATTTTATGATCGGGGTAGAGAAGTGGATTGGGAGGTGACCAGATTTGCTCGAGCTCAAGTCGATATTCTTCATTTTCTGTTATGAGCCAGTCTCGTCTGAGGTCCTCCCTCAACTCTGCGACGACCTCTGGTGAGAGGAGTGGTGATACGTCCATAGTCGACTCGTAAATCGTCTGTCCAATCTTAATGTTCCTCTGGTCTTGATGTTTGGGAATATTTCCTAGAGTCTTGTTTCGGCCTTTGAATCGTGAAGCTCGATTCCTAGACTGCACAACGGCTCGAGGTGTTAGAAACTGGATTATCACGAGTCGGATTTTGCTATTACCGCATACCTATGACGGAACCGATTTACTACCTCTTGTTAGAAAGTGTGATGGATGAAGGATGCAGGTTATCCTTTGCCAAAGTCGCGCAAAATAAAAACCAAGAGAAAATTTAATGCTTGCGTGTAGTCCGTAGCAAAGGAAGCAGGTGAGATGGTGTATCGTATTCGCTTCATGTGTGGTATTGCGGGCAAACAATGCAATGACGATGACTGGACTACCTTAGCCGGAAGAGCTGTTTTCCCGCAGCATCACGTGACCTGAGCCGAGCCTGAGCCAGCCTAAGTAAAGGCGGCGCGAGATCACGTAAACTTGATAGTTGGGAGGTGTCGAGATTCCGGTATCATAACACAGATTTCCTGCTGAGAAGACCAAAGGCGCAGCGAAATAACCAACCAACTTGGCCAAGGGTGTCGGCCAATCATCATCTGCATATCTGACGGAGGATTCGGCTTGGCGCGGACCGCCGGGCTAGCGCGATAATGGCTAGCTTCATTCGGGGCTTTCTTTGAGCCTCCTCTAACGCTATGAGGCTAGACCAAATTACATAATGTAAGTTGTAACAAAAGGTGCGGCCTTGGCGTCTAGGCATTCAGCCGCAGCGCAATCCCATGAATTATTTCGAGAATGTCTCAGCAAGACCTATCATTAGGTGCTACAGTAGCGTAGGCACCTTCAGGGGCTTTGCTGCTGGTGATCCTGACAGATTCTTCCACTTCAATACCTGATCCTGTATCAATCTGTCACGCAAACCCCCCGTGACTTTGAGATATGGTGTCTTCGTCCTGCGCCCTCCGCCTCGACATATAATATCAACAGAGACGATCAATTGACAGGACATTTTTCATTAATGAAGCCAGGAGGACGACAGGCTGCTCAAAGTCAGACAGTTTCGAGATTGCGTAGCTCAACTGTTGTTGCATCGTGTGAGGCATCATCCATTTGAACCCGGGGTTTCTTCTTGGAAAGACTGACCGTGCCGTGAAGATGTGCAGTACCATGGATCAAAGACAAGCTTCCACACTAGGGACAGCTTCTGTACTGGTGCATCTTCCCTCTAGTGACCTTCCTCCACCTTCCTGGCTGCTAAGAAAAAGATATAGCCAAGATTATTGGGCAGACTCCCTCGTAAGGCGGTTTTCCATGACAAAACATTTCGGATAACAGAAGAGAAGAATAAGCACACACAAGGGAAAGTATACCACCAGCGCAAAATCTGGTTTTCAAGACCTGGGCGCGAATCAAGATCAAACACGTCAGGGCCATAAGACAACTTGCGTCAGGCACCAAAGAAAGAAACCTGATTCAGCTTCCATCCAAATTTCCTTGATTCCTCTAGATGAGAGTATGTGACTTCAACCGCAGGCCCAATTGAAAAGTCAGATTCGCTTCGGCTGATCTCAAGACTCGCCGTTACTTAAGGGCTTTCAATGAAAGAGAGTGGAACTTTGGGACAGTTGAAAGGGGTTCCATGATAGCTATCGCACTTGACCATTCTGTTATAGCTGAACATCCCATAGATGCAGTAGCAACAAACACGATTGACTATTGAGGATTTGGGATTCCTCAAAGATGGGATGCGAACAGAAATGCTGGGGATGATGTAAAGATTCTGTACTGTTCATGAAGACAGCAACCTTCTGTATCAAAATAAGGCAGATATTGTACTACAATATCACACCATCACATATGCATTTCTGAATGAGACGTTCACGAGAAGAGGAGAGGGAAGAGGTCGCGGGAAGTCGTTTGGAGAAGCGGGACAAGCACGTGACATCTCACCGCTGAAATTCTGCCGCAAAAAAAGTCGGAAGTATTTTTGCACACGAGAGAACCTCAATACCCCATACCACGAATCTCGAAATAATTTAGATACCCATCACAACACCACTTGCCCCTCGAAAACAATTCGAGGGCTACTTTCGCCTCTTCTTGATTGATTCGCCGCAACTGATACGAATCAGCTGCCCATCATGTCTTCAGACGAAATCGTCTGGCAAGTCATAAACCAGCAGTTCTGCTCGTTCAAACTCAAGTACGCTGCTCGTCCCCCATCCGTCTCCAAGCTAACCATGACCACCGCAGAACTACGAAAGAGAAGACCTTCTGCCGCAACGAGTACAACGTCACTGGACTCTGCAACCGGCAATCCTGCCCCCTCGCCAACAGCCGCTATGCCACCGTCCGCGCCCACCCCGGGTCGGGCACGCTCTACCTGTACATGAAGACGATCGAGCGGGCCCACACGCCTGCTAAGCTGTGGGAGCGGATCAAGCTGTCGCAGAACTATGCCAAAGCGCTAGAGCAGGTCGATGAGCGCCTGATATACTGGCCGAAGTTCCTGGTGCACAAATGCAAGCAGCGATTGACGCGGTTGACACAGGTCGCGATCAGGATGAGGCGGCTGGCGAGAGAGGATGAGAGGCTGGGTGAGAAGCTGGTGCCGCGGTTGGCGCCGAAGGTGAAGAGGAGGGAGGAGACGAGAGAGAGGAAGGCAGAGGCGGCGGCCAAGGTGGAGCGAGCTATTGAGAGAGAGTTGATTGAGAGATTGAGAAGTGGCGCGTATGGCGACCAGCCATTGAACGTCAGCGAGCAGATCTGGAAGAAGGTGCTGAAGGGATTGGAGAGGGGTGGCGAGGGGACCAGAGATGAGGACTTGGACGAGGGGATTGAAGAGGAGTTGGAGAATGAAGAGGAATTCGAAGATGAAGAAGGGGTTGGAGAGGTGGAGTATGTCAGTGATCTGGATGAGGAGGAAGAAGATTTGCATGATATAGAGGATTGGCTTGGAAGTGAAGAAGAGGAGGAGACTGGTGATGAGGAAGACAGCGACAGCGAGAGTGACAGCAGTGAAGACGAGTCGAAGGATACTGCGGGCGCAAAGAGGAAGAGAGCACCGGTGTCGAAGAAGCCCAAGCCGAAGCACCCAAGAATGGAGATCGAGTACGAGGAGGAGATGGAGGCAGCTCCACGACAATCGGCAATGGCTTGACCTGGGATGTGTTTTTGAACTATGTTTTGGAGTTCTGGGTGGTTGTGGGGTGCGAGCAAAAATTACTACGATGGATTAGACAGCTACAGCTCGTTTTTACATGTGAGCTCAATACCAAGAAAACAGAGAAAACGGTTCAAGAAGACGATTGAAGGTCTATGATTGTATTTTATATTTATATTTATATTTCTATTCGTATTTCTATTTTCTATTCGTATTTGCAGTGATATCCCCGACTCCCGCTTCTCTTCAGCCGGCCAAATGTGGGGCCGCCCCAAAGGTGTTTCGACCTCTCTTCTGTAACATGCCACATCCATCTCCAACAACACCAAGCATTCTACGATCAAATCTCCATAACACGTTCCTGTCGACCTCCTATCCACAACAAAGATCTCCAAGCAATTCACACTCCCTCTACAGCACATCTCCCAGCACCTTGCCTCCCCGGCGAGAGGCCACTCCGCCGCCAGCAAGCACCTCCATCGCCCCTCAACATGGCCTCCTACTTCTCCTCCCTCCTCACAACCACCACATCCCGCGTCGCAACTCTTCGACAAAATCTCCTCCCCAACGAGAACGACGGCGACACTCCCGACGACACCCACCTCTGCCGCGTCCTCCGCGCCTACTACACCGAAAAGGGGCGACAGTTCCCCGCCTGGCTGCCCCCCGACCCCAAAGCACCACCACCCGCCGTCGTCCAGCCCGCCCTCTACACGCCCACCGTCGGCGCCAGCTACGGCGGCCTGAACCAAGGGAGCGGCAGCGCATCGTTGAGCTCCCTCTGGGACACCCAGCCACAGCAGAGCAGCCCGGGCCGGCTACAACCGCCCTCGACGACGCCGAGCAGCGCGCGCACGCCCCCGGCTTCCAGCGCTACGAGACCAAATCCATTCTTGCGCCACCAGACAGTGCACCCAGCGGGTGCAGGAGGAGGAGGAGGAGGAGTTGAGCCGCAGGTACAGGCAAGGCCGCTGCCGAGCCAGCGCGCGGGTAGTTATCAGAGCGTGGTGGGACGGGGAGGAGGAGGAGAGGCGGCGGTGGGAGGGTTCACGAGCGCCAAAGATAAACTGCGGAAACTGGCACAGCCGAAAAGAGACCTGCCTCGGATGGCGGAGGCGGTTCGGCAGGTGCAGGCGCATGCGTCGGGGGGCTTGCGAGGAGGGGGCAGCAGCAATAGCTACGAGGATCGATTTGCGCCGCCGGAAGGAGGGTATGCGGGAGTTAGGGGCGGCGGAGGGGAGAGGCCGTTCGTGGCGGCTACGAGTCCGTGGGCGGCGACGGAGAGTGAGTTTGGTGGAGGTGGTTATGGAGGGAGACAGGGACTGCCGAGCGGACCTGCGGCGGGGAGGGGTCCGAATGGTCCAAGGGGTTATAGATAGGTTCTTGCTTGGCGAGCTGGTTTGGAGTATGGGAAGGGAGTCTTTATGTTTGGTATCATACATTGCATGGCGTTCTGGGGAGGCAATATGAAGAACTTTGAGTTGGGGTTTGGATCTTCCTGGAGAGGAGCAGACAGAATGTGAGAATAATCCTAATGAAGCTTTCATCAGTGGCAAATCGCCAATACGTGTCATATTCGTTGTTGATATATCTCTCGTTGATGCTCGCTCCCTGTTTTCAGGGGATCTCGTCGGTCATGGAGTTGCACGGTCTATAGCATCTACAGGTATAACCCCGTCCTCAACGTACCTACAACCCCCTCCAGTCCCAACCCCGAACCATTCATTACAAGATCCAAACCATCAATTCCTAATCCCCAAATCCTGATGTCCCGGGCTGGGCGGCACATCTCCAACATCCCATTCCGTCTGGTTACTTCCCAGGACGAAATGGATCTTCCCCCCGGCCCCACCAATAAGATCATCGTGCGTGACCCAGCTCTTGTTCCATGGGATACCATTTGTGGTTACATTTTGTATGTATGGGCCATTCGAAAGTCCGGAGGTGGTGATGCGTAGGGTCTTATTGTTGGAGACGGATAGGGTTATGTCGCTGAACCAGGGGGAGAGGAGGAGGGAGATTGGTTGGGTTACGATGGGGTAAAGACCTGGTCTCAATTTATTAGTATTTTGTCAATAAAATGAGAGTTGTAAGATTTACCCAGGAGGTTCCATACCATCCAGCTCTCTAGAGCCCCTGCATCACTGTTCCCGGGAACACCATCACGACCATTGGAATAATAATGATTCACAATTTGTCTACTCCGCATCACGCTCTTCCATTGCCTACGGCCCAAGTAATTATAGAGGAAGGGAGTGCCAAAGCTGGGCTCGTTGCCGGGATTAAAGATCGCTGTGCCTGCTCCGTTTCCTGCGCCGACGCTGCCATCCTGCAGTCCCGGGATGAACATTGCATCGAGTCGAGATTCAGCCATGCGGGGTCCACCAATGAAAGATATCAATGTCTCCATGTCATATGGTATAGTCCAAGAGTATTCCCAGGGTAATCCTTCGTAGGTCACATCTGACCACGAACACCACACGCCACAGTTCAGTGGGCTGTATGAGGGATCACGCGTCCCATTTGCATAGAGTGGTGCTAGGAACCCAGTGAAGTTGAGGCTGGTAAGGTTGTGCTGCCAGATATACTGCCAGCCGCTACAAACCCCGGATCAGTCCCGTCCCTGAGGTGAGGGTCCTTCACTTACGCTGAGCGATTGAAGTACTTAGCGTAGTCCGTTGGCATGAGGTCCTTTGCAACTTGGCTCAACGCAAAGTCATTCAAGCCATACTCGACTGTCCTGGAGATAGATCGTCCAAACCCCGTGCCCTCAACCGCATCGTACATGCTGACATAGCCTAGACTTAGCCAGTCTGGAAGGGCACCTCGACCTTCCTTCACACTGCCGGTTGGATCCCCTGCATCGAATGTGTTGTAAGGGACTACTTCTGCATTTGTCTTCATTGCTGCGTAGCCATCCGTCCAATTGATGCCGTATTCAGGCGCGGAAAGACCTTTGACATATGCATCAGCGAGCACGTTGTCGGCGTTTGAGCCTCCTTGACTATTTCGACCATCAGTATCTACCTTTGATGAAGAGCTACTAGTCACTTACACTCTCCCATTGTAATTGCCTGATCGGGCATCGGGCAAAAACCTCTCAAATCGCCATATATCAATAAGTGATCTTATGATACCTGCGGCTCGCATCGGCGCGGTAAGCACCAGGTAGCTATTCAGGCAACGAAATGTATCCCAGAGTGTATAGAAATCCTTGTCATGTTAGTTCCCCATATTAATTGCGAAGGTTGTACCTACATCGTAGGTCGGTTCTTCCGTCTCCCAATTCTGATTCTCGCCTGTTCGATCAGAAGGCATCAGATGCATCTTGTACAGTCCAGAGTAAAGCATTCCCAGCAGCGTGTTATTACTCAAGTCTGTCGTGGTCACTTTGGGCAGCACTTCCTCATTCCACTGCATTTTCGCCGCAGATACTACCGGTTCGAGATCCCAAGTTGGAAGCTCCGATGAGATGTATTGGCAAGCTATGTCAGAAGAGACAAACGATACACCAAGTCGGGAGCTGAGAGTGGTAATATTAGAGGGAAAAGTAAATAGCCCACCAACCCTCCTTGCGTAGCCATAATGCGACTGATGACTACCGATGATAGATGTTGCTTCAGTGAAAACTGGTGGGTGGAACTCTGTACTGTTTGGCCAATATGGGTCAGTGTATTGGCCTGAGAAAAGCTGTACTTTATCCGGCCTTATATTAAACTCGGCACAGAAGTATACAGGCGCATCAGGACCTGTATATCAGTCAGTATACTTCCTTTTATAGAGAGGCCGATACCACCTACGGCTACTGAAGCCACCACGATACACTCCATATCCCTGATACATTCTTCCATCGGAACTTCGTGTCAAGAAGCCATTGCTATAGAACTGAGAATGCTGAGCTTCTGAAGAGGATGGCAACACATGAGAGACATCCACGAGGATATGTTTCTCTGAGCTTTCAGGATATTGATATCGAATGATTCCTGCATGATTCGTGGCGGAGAGCTCGGCAGTGACTCCATTTGCTAATTCGGTCTTATAGTAGCCCACATTTGCTACATCTAAGCTGGTCCGCTTTTGCATGTAGGTGAACTTATTCAACACATTGACGCCTTCGAGGGTTGAGAGTGGCATTTGATGAACGAAGCCATAGGTCGGTGCTCCCTGGTATTGTCAACATAAATCTGCCCAGGATCATAGGCATACTCCTGTGCCACTCTCATGCAACATACTGAACCCAGTAACTGGAATCTGTTAGTCTGCTGCTTTCGATTGAAACGAGACTCGGCTGGTCATACCGTAGCCATCTGGTGTTTACCCAGCATCTGCATCAACATTCGTCCAGTCGAAAGCTGTTGTATCAATTCCAAACTTTACCACTCCGAATGGCATCGCCGCTCCTGGAAATACGTTCCCGCCATTGATGGCTGTTCCCGGGTAGCCTTGGCCTTCTGTTCCTATGAAAGGATTGACGTATTTTGTCAGATCTTCTGCCGCAGCCACAGAGCCCCCGCAGCTCGGGAAAATCATGGCGAGTAGCCATAAAAACCCGTCAAATGTCATCTTCAGACCTGATTGCCGTGTAAAACTGAAGCAACCTATCAATGCCTTGGGACCTCAAGACTACGGGATTTCAGTGAGATCATTGATCAACACCCCCATCTTTGAGCGTCACCGCTTTGGTGTCTTAATCAGAGCCGCTGCCGCTTCCCAAGCCCTCTAAGTCCATCAGCCAGATCTCCAACGTTACATAAAGTCAGCGGGGTTCACCACTAAACCCGCAGTGCCGCACTTGCAGGCTTCTTGACGCTGATCCTGAGCATAGGGTTTATAGACAAGAGAGAGAAAATATCCTATTAGAGCCACCGGTGGAAAATATCAAAGTTACTCTTTCAGAATGAGCATATCAATTGCTTGTACAAAGTTTCCAGGCCATTCAGCGATAATAAACGGAGAGTAGTAGAACAGGAGCCTGAATGCCTGAGGCTGGCCAAAAAAATCACTCCCCATCATAACTGCAGGTGGGCTGCGCAAAACTGCGACGTGCAACAAAACTTTCTACCCACCTATATCTCTACCCCACAATACCATATCAAAATTCTAAAGAGTGCGTTTTAACGCCCTGATATAGCGCTTCTTGAATATATTAGTTTCATTTATCATAGAGCATAGATGTTAGGTAAGGCTTTAGGGATTTGGCTCTACCACGCGCTAATTAATGCCTGGGCTGCCTGAGGCTGCATGAAAGGTGAGATTTCTCGGAGGTCGCTCACGTGGGTGTTGCTATAGAGAGGAAATAATCATCCCTGCTTAGTAACAGTCTCGCCTGAACCTCGGCAGTTTATCAAGAAACGGATATTCCATAAGCGAGGAAATAGGGGGCGGTCTGAACATCACCTACCATCTATCAACAACTTCCCGAGAACCCTTAGAATTCAGTGAAAAGACAACGAAAAATCTATACGCAAATGCTTCTGTCCGCAATTCCGGGACTACGAGGTTTTCCAGAGAGCTGATTTTAGAGAAGTCCATATACCGAAGTCGGTGTCTTTCTTCAAGTTGCCGCGACTTACCTATGTGCCCACGATTTTATCATATTTATTCTGACTATAACTTCAATTTAGCTTCCTTTTCAATTACTGATTTTTACTTTATACATTTTGAAGCCATGATCCTATTGCGTTCTTCCGCCATTATTACACAGAAACTGCCCAAGCTGGGCGAGGGCTGGATCTACGTTTCCAAGCCAAAGATAAATATCAAATCAGCATCAACAGTGAACAGCTCCAAGAAAGCCCTTCCCATGATCTTCGTTTAAAAAGCTTTTCTTAAATTTATAGTTTCCTTCCTACTGTCCAAGTTCGTCTGGCAGTCTGGCAGGTGCGATCACCGAGGTGCAATCCACCTTTTATCATCAGCAAGCACCTAGGACAATATCAACATCAAAAAATTCACTTTACAACTCTTCTATACTGTTAAATCATCGACAATCGTTTAACATAGGAATATCTTAATTACCAGTACACTCTCGCAAGTGGCCATTCTAGATATGTTAGTATCCTAAGATAATTCCAAAAGCTCAACACCAACTGACTGACCCACCACAGCTCATACAACCGTCCACTTCCGCCGACTTCATCCGAACCACACGTCCACGACCTCATCATGGGCACCCAAATGCCCGGATCCTTCAAAACGCCCACCGCAGAGTCCAACTCAGACTCGGACGAGCCGCTAACTATGGCCCTACGTCCCCGCCTCCGGGCCCGCCTCGAAGACGGTCAAATCCTACCTACACGTCCCCACCCTCGTCCACGTTCCCAACCCAGCCAGCTTACTCCCACCACCCCACGCAGGCCTCTCCCGAACAGTCCCATCATCCCATCCATGCCCAGTACTCCCGTCCTCGGCCCCGTCGAACACGCACTCCGCCTCCCGCCCGCTCCAGATTATGGACTCGGGCCCCGGAACAGCCCTATTATCAGGAGCAATACACCCACCACGGGCCTTCCTTCGGCCGTGGCGTCGCACCCTAGAGCTCATCTGTACATGGGAGTTTTAGCAGATACAGAATTTGCGACGTTTGAGGAATATCAAGCTGCGCAGAGGGATAGGCAGAGGAGGAATCCGGCGCTGGCACAGTTGGGACGCACGTTAAGAAGGTTTAGGAGGAGTTCTAGGGGTGAGCCGATGCGAGTTTCGGCGATTAGGAGGACGAGTGGTATGGAGATGCAGAGGGCGGGGACCCAGAGGGCGGAGGTGGAGGCGGACGATGGTTGGGTCCATGTTGAGAGGCCGGAGGAGCCTCAGTCTGAGAATTCGTTGGTGTTCGTCTCCCGTGCTTGCGCATAGTGTTACTAATTTACATGACAGTCGACGTACTCAGAGCATGACGCAGCATGAGGAGGGCGAGAGCTCGAAGGGAGGAATAAAGTGGAAGAGAAATTAGACAGAGGGGTTGTGCATCAAGTACTATCATTATAGAGGCACCGTGGTGTGGTGTATGCTGATCGTCATTCCAGCGACGCGTTAAATATCTTTCTTTGTTCAGGCAGCGAGCTTTCAGGGTCAGGACTCAGGGGTACTAAAGTAAGTAGAGTATCATAAAGCGAGTTATCATTAATTCATGGTTTCGTCTTCCAATTGCCTTTTTCTCCCAACCGTAATTTCATCTCTCTCCATCAAGCACCTCGGAACTTCTGTTCCTTTCCCTTACAATTCATTATCCATCAACAGTTCGGAGAGGGATCCAGAGTCGTGAACCCATCGGATCACAGCACCACCATAGCCATCAACACCACCGCCACCAATGCGCCCATACTTTGCACGCCTCTTGCACCCGCCGCCTCGCTCGTCGACGTCGATGACGGCACGCTTCCCGAATCCGTGCCCGCCGCCGCAGCGGCGACACGCGTGCCCGTCTGGGTCGCAACCACGGTCTCCAGGCCCGATCCACCAGCGGCCGTGGTCGTCACCGTCACGGTCCTAGTGGACCAGCCCGTCGTCTCGCCATCGGTCACAGTGACAGTGTACCAGCCATGAGGGCCGCGGCCCTCTCCCCAGGCGGGGAAGTTGGTGGGAGCGGGGAAGTCGGAGTTGGTGCAGGAGGAGTCGCTGGCGCAGCTGGACCAGGAAGAACACAGCGAGGAACGGGCGGCCCAGATAGAGGTGTAGGATTCGGTGTGGGTGTTGGTTAGGGAGGTGGAGCAGGCGCTGGTGATACAGCTGGAGAAGTCGCTGGGGGTGGCGCAGGGGTGAGACCAGGCGCTTGTGTAGGAGGGGAAGGCGGAGGAGAAGCAGGATGTCTGGGGGGAGGTTTGTTGTTAGAGAGGGTTGTGCTGTGTAGGAGGGAATGAGAGAAGGAGGGGGGATAGGGATTAAAGTATATAAAAAAAGAAGAACGTAAATATAAATATCAATATACGTACAGCGCATTCAGGACCGCCGTTCCATCCCCAACCACCACCGGGACCGCCCAGGCCCCAGCCCCAGCCCTGAGCAGCCGCCAGACTGGCAAAGGTCGACAAGGACGCGACGACGGTAGAGAACTGCATCTTTCAAGGCTTTCGTATATATAGATAATTAGATATATATATCGACTCCAAAGACGCGATGGATTCAACTTTGAAAAGGCAAGAATGAAGACGATGTGTTTTTCCTGACGAGACACGAAAACGCAAGTAAACAACAGCACGCAAGCCAAAGAAAGGAACGCTACTCCCTCTCTATATATGAATATAAGACATTGACCAAAACAGTGAACACCGCCGCACCCGAGAGATCGGCACAGTCCGTAGCCTCGTGGGCCCGGGACGCGTAGGCGGAGTATTGGCGTGGGGAAGTCCGGCGCGAATCCCAGCTCTCGATCTGAGGTCGGAGATCGGTCTCTGCGTGCCCGGCTCTTGTCTCACCGGCGGGGCCTCAGAGGATTGGATGAGGTCGTTGGATAGATCATGGTGAATGCTGCGATACGTAGAGGAGAGGTGGGAGGAGTGACGCGGCGTTGGGGGAGGCTAGGGAAAAGGGGAGCGTCATTGTTCTATTTCTGCTTGTGAGGAACCGCGGTAGAACGAACGACTTGTTCATTAGCTACCGGTGCGGTCGCTGACTTTGCCTTTTTTTATCCTGTTTTGAGATTCCTAGATCTCGGAGAAGGAAACATGATATTAATGAGTCTCCGGGTAGAGGAAGAAGAAAGTTGAACAGAAAGTCGTCAAGCCGAATCGCTTAAATATTTGGACCGCACGTGAACGCAACTCTTTGTTCAGGAGGCTACTCAGTAGGCAAAAAGGTAATGAATAAATAAATAAGTAAATAGAATAAGAGGGACAGTCTTTGTAAGTAGGTAAGGTAAGACAATCATTAAAAAGGATAGTCAAGTACTAGAAGAGTGATGGCCGGCCATTTAAGCGAGGATAGCATAGTCATGAATGATCGTTTTAAAGAAGACAGTCTTAATAAAATGCTAGTCTTTATATATAGGCTTATCAAATGATGATCTCAGTATGATCATAAGTATGATCAATCAGGAGAGACTGTCACAGTACTGTCTGCCTAAGCCTTCACCTTTAAGGTAGAGAATACAAACTGCCCTCTTGATAACACTGTTTACAATATTTTCAAAAATCCAAACATAAAAATTAAAGCTATTTGTTGTTTGCCTCGAGCCAGCTGTCTGTTACCTTTTTTGGATCGAGCCCTTTCTCGCTATCATATTCAAACTCATATTACCATGAGTCCAGTGTTCTTTTCTTGCATTATATGTGGTGACATTGTTCAGTCTGGTGATCGTGACTCGGAGGTTTCCTGGCTTGCAGAGTTTCGCGCTGGTAAGTATCTGCTCTTCGTTTCTGAGCAGCCATGCTCTGCAGTTGAAGTGCTAATAGTCGCCACCGAGCTTAAATATTCTCTGGCCCAGGTAACCTTCGAGAGCCCAGGGTGTCTGGCGTTGGCCTCAATCATGATCCGAACGGGTCCTTCTACGTAGTCCCTTTTTGCTACGATGCGCGATGGGACGACGAAGGGTATCAGTTTCCTGCCGAAAATGAATTGTCTATGATGGTCCAGTTCCCAGATGAGGGTCGGCATGGCTTCATTCTTCACGCCGTGTGCTATTCTCTCCTTCAGAGGTTCTTTCAACCCGAACCGGTACCCGTGGCGCGTCTCCTGGAAATCTGCAAGTCGTGCCCCTTTCAGTATCTTGGCCTGAGCTGGGATCATGACTATGGGGGAATAGTTCGTCTAAAGAATACGTATCCATGGGACCAGGATCTTGACCCGCTTGAACAGCCTAAACTTCATCGATACCGACAGGCAGATCCTTGGAATATACCGGAATTAAAAGAACATTTGCAAAGAACGCAGCTGGGCATGCCAAAGAGGCGGAGAGTCAATTCAACAAAGCTGAATCTAATAGATGAATTAGGGTCCAATTGTGTCACGAGGCGGGGAGTCAAGTCAACAAAGCTAAATCTGATAGATGGAGCAGTGTCCAATTGTTTCACGAGACTTCCTTTGGAAGTTTTGGGCCACATAGTGACCTACCTGCCTACAGACGAGGTCAGGACTTTAGATCGAACCTCCAAGGGGTTGGCAAAGATTATTCCATCCGTCTTGGGGCCGTCATTTTGGGCCTCCAGATTCTACCCTCCCTTCGAACTCGACTTTGTCTTTGAGGCGCAGGAATACAAGGGTGAACTTGATTGGAGATCGCTTTACTTCAGAATGGGGAAGGCTTTGCATCGCTCACGAGGATTGCGAAACAGAAAACGTATCTGGGGACTTATCCGGTCACCACTCTCAGAATTGGCCTGCATGCATTGGACCGGTAGTCTAGCATTACGTCCACTTGACGGTCATGAAGTCAAACTGACATGGAAGGAGATGCATGGAGATCTTCAGCCGCTTCAACATAGAGTAGGAACTTCTGGATTTGTAACAGGCTGCAAACGATTTCATACACAACGTACTTCTATCCCGACTCTCCTTCGTCAAGTTGCTGTCTGTACCATTTCAATCGGGAACGCGACTTATGTTACGGGGCTTCGCTTTATCCCTAATGAAGGGTTGGAAGTTCGTTTGGGATATACGGTGGGAGGGAAAGGATCATCCCTTACGGAGCAATTCATGGATACAACAGGCGTACAAGGATTTATCCTGGCGATAGGATTAAGAGGTGTCCGCGCTTTACAATTCATCAGTTGTACTGGGCAACTGTCGAAATGGTTTGGCTGTCCAAAGGATCTACCTAAAACACGCCGTCTCGCAACATCCCAGTCTATTACTGTGCTCGAGGCAGGTTTCGACGTAAGTGCTACTTCTTTTCATATTGTCACCAATTCATTGATACGGTGTGCTAGGGATTCAAAATGGTTAGCTTGGCAATTGCAGAGACATTCGAGGGTGCAGCAAATAAAGCAGAGTCCTTACGAGATAGCGCCTTGTGGTATCCAAATATCCCGGAAACCCGTTTGCACCTGAACGAGACTTGTTTTCCAGGCATAAATACCTCTAATTCTTCTGAGTTTCGACCTTTCTGCTATACATTATTTGGGGGCGCCACTATTCTTGAACCTCTAACGAAAATCTCGGTTCTCTGCTCCGGTGACTACATCTGGGCAATTGACTTTCACTACGATACTGGCAACATTCAAAGGTTAGGTCACCAACCTTACAAACTCTCTTCATGTGATACCTTGTACTTTCTTATTGATGGCGCAGGGGGAGAAATTATTGAGACGATTGAAGTCGATCTTAAAACTTCCCTCGCTCATCCCGAAGGTGTCGGAAAATTGAGATCCTTCCAAGTAAGTGATTGTCTCCCCAGACCTAGTTGTACATGTTTGATTCAAGCAATCATACCCTTATATCTTGCTTGCTGCAAACTGAAGCTTCGTAGATCTCTACCAATAGAGGACGACAGAAACATTTTCATGGCGAGCTGCGCTCGTTAGAGCAGCCTTACTCGCTGAGACCAGTGGCAATTATTCCTGGAACAACCCTCACAGGTCTCTATACAGAATGGGTAAGTAAAATCCGAATTGTGAACCAGGTTGGCAACTTACGTGGATGATGATAGCTTCAAACTTCGGGTATGGCCTGTCTTGGTATCATTTCAGAATTCGTTGAAGAGCTTTCAAAGCCCTCTACGTTGACTACTTGTCAAATAGGAGAAACGGACTCGATTGAAGAGTGAAGGTAAGGGTCTAGAGGCTCTATATATACATGAAGAGGTAGAAAATCGGTTCCGTCATAGGTATAACGGAATCTCAAAATATAGGTCGATCGCCTCGCAGACTCCCAAATCAGCCTCATTGTTGTGTCGTTGACGACCCGAAATCGGACAACAGCGCTATTAGGCCCGTTCTATACTACCCTAGCTATCCCCCCTAGCTCACCAGGAGAAAAGACGATATCGCACTCTCGTGTTGCGACAACTCTTTCTTTCCTCTTGAATCGTCGGAAGTATGTCCTAGACCTCCACTCTGCCATCCCTGATTTGGTATGCTTTCCCACCAGTACCCGGATAGTCCTCAATCTCCTCTCCCTTATCATCTGTCACCTCACGCCTATAGAAGCGGACATAACGCCCAATTGCGACAAGACCAATTTTGAAATTCTGGCGAGGGGCCTTTGCGCTGCAGCTCGATATCTAGGTACTTGCCCAACTGAGCATTGGCGTTGGTCCAACTTGAGGTTCGCGTGGTGCATGATGCCCGCCTGTTCTCTATAATGATAATTATAGAAGGTTTTCCATTCTGGAGCTACTCGATGGTGATGTCTGGTGAACCTGGCTTGGACGGGATGAGTCGGTCTCGGACACGGATGAGGTAATCCTCCGTGATTGGGAACTGCCAGGTACAAATAGCGGTCCAGAGGTCGTCGACTTTGTTTTCTGCAGAGCTTAGGCTACCTCGCGAGCTCTTTGTATAGATGCTGGACCCATCCCCAGTCCCAGTACTTAAGGAGTCTCCAAGTAAGCAGGGCGAAATAAGAGCACCATGTAAATAAAACAACTTACAGTGTTGGCCAACACAGCGTACATTTTGCCGTTTGAGATTGTGAAAATTGACTTTCACGGTACAGAATGCAGGACGGATTATAGCTCTGTGATTCGAAGCGACATCATTGTGTTGGGGCTTCGTAAGATCACACACAGTCCTTGATCGTTTTATGTGTTGTGAGTCTGTGGATTGATTGATCATGCTATTCAGACGTTGCTATATACATGATATAAGCGAGGTCACATGCACAGGTCTGGTCGAAATGTAATTAATGGAATCCGCGTCGAGTGTGAATCTTTAGATAAAAGAAGAGCGGGCGGTGATTTAGTCTCTTAGGTATGTTTCGAGTTGTTGAATAAGAGGGAAAGGCTTAATTGAAGAGTAAAGTAAGGATCTAGAGAGACTAGGCGAAACCGACGTAGATTTACCTAGGTAGGTAGGCCCGTTGTGAATATCCAAGTAATTACGTCCGGATTGCAGAAACATAAGCTTCATTTCATACCCTTGATATCTTTCGCCACTCAGTCAGACATGTTTAAAAAAAAACCCATCAAGTATTCCAAGTCTTCAGATCACTTAGATAACAATAAGATTCGGATTAAGATGCCACTACCTTAGGACGGGAGGGAGTAATAGACACGCACGTGACCGAATATTCTCGGCCCAACTTACATAATCAGCCCAGCCGCCAGCCCAAGAAACAGACAGCTCCAGCCTTCTCTCTCGCAGCCCAACAGCACAACAAAACGTAACGAAAAGACAACTGCGATGGCCGAACCGCCCTCCAAACGCCGCAGACCGGATAGCAAGCAGATGTGGGATGCGTCTGAGCGACGCGCGCCCGTGCCTCGCGATCGGGATCGGGATTGGGATAGGAGGGATGATAGGGATGGGGACAGAGAGAGACATCGTCGGTATCGCAGCCGGTCGCCGCGAGGTCGTGGGGATTGGGAGAGAGAGAGAGATAGGGAGTATAGAGGTGGAAGGGGTGAGGAGAGAGGCGGAAGGGGGGGTAGGAGTGAGGGGGGGGAGAGGATTGGTGAGTACCCTGTCTTTCCTTTTTACGAAGATTGCGAGCACGCGCGTGTCTTACTCGCTTTATGGTGAGGGAATAGGAACTAATAGGTTTGCTTAGATGGTGGCGCGAGAGGAATGAGAGATCGACCGCGTGAGAGATCGAGGGATAGAGAGAGGAACCGCGACGATGAGCGGCGGCGGAGTCGCAGTCGAAGTCCTCGCAGGGAGAGGGAGAGGGAGCGGGAAAGGGAGCGGGAAAGGGAGCGGGAACGAGAAAGAGAAAGGGATGTGGATCGAGAGGGAAAGACGAATCGCGATGGGGAGAGGAAGCCCGAGAAGACGAAGCCCGAGTTCGCGGAAAGCTTCTCGAAAAACAGGGCCGCGACGCCTCCTGTGAGCTTCAAGGTTGGGGGTGCGCCGCCTCCGCAAGAACATGACAGGATGGATATGGATGGGACGAGCACAGGAAGCAAGGGTCGAGCGAAAGGAGGGAAGAAACCACGGGAGGAAGAGCCTGCAGAGGAGGACGAAGATATAGTAGTTGAGGACGATGGCATGGCTGCTATGCAGGCGATGATGGGGTTCGGAGGCTTTGGAACCACGCATCAGAAGAAAGTCGCGGGCAATGATATCTATGCGGTGAGGAAGGAGAAGAAGACGGAGTACAGGCAGTATATGAACAGGGTTGGGGGCTTCAACAGACCGCTCAGCCCGAGTCGGGATTGAAGAGGCTGTTAACAGGTAAAGCCTTGGCTCTCGAGGTATCAGAGAGATATATCGATGAAGGAATTCAGGGATTCTTCATAGAATCAGGTTGGGAGATACAGCCCTTGAGTCGCGGACTGACGAGGCTGTCGAGCATAGAAGACAGACAGCGTGAATCCCTCACGTACAAAAGAGCACACACCGTTATAGATAATAAACCAGAAGCAATTCATCTGTATATTCTGTATATGAATGAGAATATCTCTTGTCAACCCTCGAGGCTCGAATCTCCAATCCATGACGCATTCAGCATAGTGCGGAGCCTTCCCTGCAGCCTCGCGCTACAGGCTGATAAACTCAACTCCAACCGCGCAAAGCCGCAACGGTGTTCACAATCAATCAATCAATCAATCAATCCTGTCCCTCCCGACCAGCGCTTTCTTTTCTCACCAAAACTCCTCGAGATCCCATTTCCACTCCTCCAATTGCATGTCTGCCACAGCATGAGATTCCGGGATTTGCTGCTCCTGGGCGGCGCGCTGCTCGCGGCGCCCTCGACAGCCGAGGATGACGCTTCGATCCTCAATACTGAGCTCGCGAGGGCGGGGAATCAGAGTCTGCTATGGGGCCCCTATAGACCGAATCTGTATTTTGGGGTGAGACCGAGGCTGCCGAATAGCTTCATGGGGGGATTGATGTGGGCGAAGGTGGATAATTATCTGGATGTGCAGCATAGTACGTGCTTCTTCCCATTGCCTTCTTTCTTTCTGTTGCTTTGTTATTGTTTATATCTATCTGCGGCTTCTGCTGCTATGAGAATTTGGGTGCGCTTTGCTGACCTTCTGGTTAGACTTTAGATATACCTGCGAACAATCCGATGATATGCGGGGCTATGGCTGGGACGAATTCGATGCCAGGTTAGGTGGTGTGCAGACCATTCATGATGAGGGTAACAAGATTGATATCGAGACCACGTTTGTGAAGATCCCTGGAGGACAACACGGCGGTTCTTGGGCCACACGAGTTCGAGGGACGGTGCGAGAAGGCGGTCCCTCTGATCTGAAGACCACCGTCGTTTTCTACGCATCACTCGAAGGGCTGGGCACCCTGGAAGTTGAGAATGAGGAGGACCCCTTGGGCTTTGACGGCGACGTTAGCCTCAAGGGCGAGTCGGCGGGTCTGGGCGAATATAAATTGGTCGTTACGAAAGGCCAAGGCTCTCATCCTACGAGCCTGCATCCCTCGTACGCCGATAAACCGTTGGATCGCACAATTGTACATTCCTTCGCTGTCCCACCGGAGGCTCTGTGGCAAGTGAAGCCCCTGCTCTTCAGCAACTTGAAGCAGCAGATTGATGAGTATCTTGAGAGGTACGGGGATGCAAACCCTCCGCCCCCGTGGCAGGTCTATACCATGACCAATGATCAGGGAGAGGGAAATCTACATATGATCCAGAAAGTGTTTGAAGGCAACTTTGAATTCGACATCATCTTCTCGAGTGGCTCTGCTGGGAAGGAATACTCCAGCTCGGATGTCTCGAAGCAAATTGGTGCTGTCCAGTCAGAATACTGGAGTAAGTTCGTGCCCATCTTTGACCCTAAACCGCCGTTCAATCTTGAGGCGCTGCAGAAATTTGGTAGCAGTATGTTTTCCAACCTTCTTGGTGGGCTGGGTTACTTCTATGGTGACGAGGTTGTTGATCGATCATACGCGCCAGAGTATGAGGAGGAAAACGAAGGTTTCTGGGAGGAAACTGCTGCGGCCAGAGGGCGGAGGCAAGAGAAGCTCGAGGGCCCATATGAGCTTTTCACTACCGTCCCGTCAAGGCCCTTCTTCCCGAGAGGTTTCCTCTGGGACGAAGGATTCCATCTCATGCCAATCATTGACTTTGATTTGGATCTCGCTCTTGAGGTTGTCAAGAGCTGGTTCAATCTTATGGATGAAGATGGCTGGATTGGTCGTGAACAGATTCTTGGTCCGGAAGCCCGTAGTAAGGTACCTCCGGAATTCCAGACGCAGTACCCGCACTACGCCAACCCCCCAACTCTCTTCTTCATCCTCGATATCTTCCTCCACAAACTCGGGCTCGCCAACAGCACTGCACCTGCGGAGGTTGTAACTTCACGGGAACCATCTTTAGATAACAAGATTCCTGCTCATCTAGCAAGCCCGGAACTCGGTGTCTACTATCTGGAGCAACTGTACCCAAAACTCAAGAAGCACTTCTACTGGTTCCGCAAGACACAATCCGGGGATCTAACGTCATACGATAGAGATGCATTCAGCAGCAAAGAAGGCTACCGCTGGCGTGGCCGCACACCCCAACACATTCTCACGTCCGGGCTTGACGATTACCCTCGCCCCCAACCTCCTCACCCGGGAGAGCTGCATGTTGATCTTATCTCCTGGATGGGGATGATGACAAAGACACTGAAGAAGATAGCCACAGTCCTCAAGCACCCTGAGGACGTGGCCGAGTTCCAAACCATCGAAACGGCCATCTTGCGTAACATTGACGATCTGCACTGGAGCGAGAAAGAGAAGTGCTATTGCGATGCCACGATCGATGACTTCGAGGAGAACTCATTGGTTTGTCATAAAGGATATATCTCGCTCTTCCCGTTCTTGGTAGGATTGCTGGATCCTGAGAGCGAGAAGCTTGGTCATCTCCTTAACTTACTGGGCGATGAGGAGGAGTTGTGGAGCGATTTTGGGATAAGAAGTTTGAGTAAGAAGGATGAATTCTACGGGACGGGAGAGAATTACTGGAGAGGGCCCATTTGGATGAACATGAATTATCTCGCTGTTGTCCAGCTGCTGGTATGCTCCATTCCCTCCCCCTCTTATCACACCACTAACGCAAAACGACAGAAATACGCGCAAACCCCTGGCCCTTACCAAGAAAAGTCCCAAGACCTCTACAACCGCCTGAGACTAAACCTAGTCCGGACAGTCTATAACGCGTGGAAAGAGACGGGCTTTGCCTGGGAGCAGTTTAACCCAGAAACAGGCAAGGGTCAGCGAACGCAGCATTTCACAGGTTGGACGTCCCTGGTGGTGAAGATTATGGGGATGCCCGATCTGAGTGGTGGGAAATTAAAGACGGGTGGCGCGGGCCATGATGAGCTCTAGGAGACATGGGATTATCATTGTAACGATACCAAAAGTGCAGATTTCATTTTCTGGGAGGGAATGTAAGATGAAAAGCATGTTGTATATCCAGAAGATATGTAAAATATATCATGACACTAGACATGCCATGTCTCCATACTCTCTAAACAGCACCACTCTCCCCATGCAAAAACACAAAAAAAGGACTCCTCCTAACCCCACCAGCCAAACTCAAGCCGTCGGCACATCCTCCTCCCCAAACGGCCACCCAGCAGCTCCCCATTCCCCATCACCACGCACCCACTCCCCAACCTCGTCGACTTCTTCTCTGCCTAACTTGAGTCCGTTCCCGTGGATGTGCGGGAAATACCCCATACTGCCTTCGGTGTCCCAGCAGCCGCCCTGCATGTAGCTCGTTAGTTAGGAGTTTGATATCGATGTCTGCATAAAGAAAGAAATCTGGAGCTTTGTATGGCTTCTTGCTTGCTTGCTCGTTATGAAATAATCTTCTCCCCCTCCCCCCATTTAAAGGAAAAAAGATCAATATCACAATCCAAAATTCAAAATTCAAAATCCCATCAAACAAGTAAAGCAATGCACAAAAAAGACAAAAAGGAAAATGATCAATATCACAATTCAAAATTCGATATTCAAAATTCCTATTATACGAGTGAAGCAATGCACGAAAAAGACAAAAAGAGAAAAAAAAGAGGAAAAAAACACTCACCACCTCATCCGCCGTCTTCCCCTTTGCATCCTCCCACCTAATCCAGCGCTGCACCCTCACGTACGGAATCCTCAACACGTAAACCTTCTCCTCATGGGCAAAAAAGTTCCTCAAGGTCCCGAGGAGCTGCCGCGATGTCGAGAGGTGGATGAAGTTATCGCGCTGGTCGAGCTCGGAGACGGGCAGGGCGAGGGGGAGGGGCGAGGGTGGCGGGGTGGAAGAGGGAAGGATCTTGTAGATGTACAGGGGCGGGTTGGGGGGTGTGGACATGGTGATGATGGGTTGGTGATATATGTAGGAGGTCTGATATGGGGGGAAATAGGGGGTGAATAGGGGGGAAGATCGGGAGAGACGAGGTGAGGTGGGGTGGGCGGGGATCACGTGATATCAGTTTGAACTATGAACGAGTTGTGAGTTGAAGATGAAGACGAAGATATTCCCACTATATAAGATCTCATAATATTCAACTCAGAGGAGTTAAGTGACACCACCCACATATACAAGAGACTTTTTGAGCATTCGACGCTCTATTACCACAGACCTCTTCGGCTGCTCCCGATACCAAACCACGAATGACATCTTTTTCATTCTTTCCTTGAAAAACCTCGAATAAAAACCCGTTCGTTACACTCTCTCTTTATCCAAACACCAAACCAACAAATCATGCCGCCCTCACCCCTCCAACAGCGGCGTGCGCACAACACGCTCCTCTTCCAAAAGCTCCTCAATTTACGAGAGGGCGCCAGTCCCTTCACCCTGGTGCTCGATACGCTGGAGCAAAGCGGGGCGCCGCTCATCGCCGAGTTCGTCAGGCGGGCCAAGGTATGTTTGTTTATTTATATAGTATTCCGTTATTCTTCCTCTCTTCCTCCAGCTCACTCTGGATCCTGATCTCCCTTTGCAACATCAAAAATAGATCAATGGGAGAGAAAAAGGGAGGGGAGGCTTTCTTCTCATAAGTCACGTGAATACAACAAGAAACGGGGCTGATCAGGGTTCGATATATATATAAAGGTGTCGAAGAGCAAGATCATTTTCGTATCCTTCTCTACATTGCGCAAGAAAACCCCTTTCCAAACTGATCTCTTCATCTCCGCGCGTGGCAAACCGCTGGCTGCGCTCCGCTCCGCCATCGTTTCCCACATCCCGCCCCCTGCCTCCAGCGCCGCGGCGGGCCCCCCTACAAGTAACCCCCCCTTTTAACACTTTTCCCCCTAAGCTCCAACTCCCAAACCAATACAACACAACACAACTTGCTAACACCAAGTCAAAAAAATTCTAGGAATCCTCATCATCATAGACACCCTCAACCCTCTCAGCACAACCCATCCCGCCCACCTCTCCCCCTTCCTCTCCAGCCTCCTCCTCGCCCCCCACATCTCCCTCCTCGCAACCTACCACCTCGACATCCCTATCTCCCCTTCCCCCTACCATCCAGACCCCCTCACCACCCTCACCTACCTCGCCACTGCCCTCCTCCGCCCTGAGCAGCTAGCCCACGTGCTCGCGCGAAAACGCGCCCGCGACCGTTCCCTCGCCGAGCCCATCTTCGGCCTCTCCGAACACCGCGAGGGCGCCCTCGTCTCGCTCTCTAAACCCGGGGAGCGCGGGCTCGTCGTCGTGATGGAAGTGCGCCGGAAGAGCGGCCGCGGCGTGCGCGAGGTCTTCGTCTTCTCGCCAACCACTAACATCACGTTGCTGGATGATCATCCGGCGTATGCGCTTCCGGAGACGGGGAAGCCCGAGGAGGAGGAGGGAGAGCAGGAGGTCCAGACTACGTTTAATTTGGGATTGACCGAGAAGCAGAGGAGGGATAGGGAGGCGGTCGTCTTGCCGTATTTTGATGCCCAGAAGGATGGGGGTGGCATGGGGCCCGGTGAGGGTGGGAGGATTCTGTATGAGATGGGGGTGGAGGATAGGGAGGACTTTGATGACGAGGAGGATGAGATCTAGTGCAGTAGCATGAGCCCGTGATTGTTGGGACTAGGGATAGCTTTTGATATCAGATAAAGCATAGTGAATTCTTATCTCTTGATTTGTAGATGTCTCATTCTCTGTACTGCACGTAAAGATAAGGCCCGGTGTCTGGCTAAGATAAGAGTTGTTGACGCTGGCTATCAGAGGACCTAGTCTATCCAAGACGGAAGAAAGGCTTTCTAGAGATTAATAATATATGACCAAAAGCGTCACAGGCACATCACAGAGAGGGAGCAGAAAGTTTCGGTGCCCATGCGGGTCTGGTCAGTTTTATGTCTATGTACAAAGGAAAGGACTAAATATCAAAGACAGTCTGTGCAAATCCAAGTCCTCGGCTCTTCCAGGAGAAGAACGTACGTGCGAATATCCATCGAGTTATTGGAAAGGATTGGAGAGAACCTTGGCAATAAAGCCGCTAGAATGTCGGAAGAGAAGCGAAGAAGGTAGACGTGCAAAGCTAGCACCTCGATTCTTGCAAGAGGAGAGAGCACGTGCGCATGGCGAATTATCGTAGAAGCGCAGAGGATATGTGCAAAAGCAGCCGTTGGAATGCCGAAAGAGAAGCGAAGAGGGCATGTGTGAATCGGTTCGGTTCTTCTAAAAGAAGAGAGTATGTGCCTATCGAAGTATCGTAGAAGAAGCGAAGAGAATGTGTGCAAATGCAGCTGTTGGGTTGCTGTGACAGAACAGAAGAAGGTATGTGTAACTGCCGCTGCCGATTACCGTAGAAGTGAGGTACTGCAAACCTAGCGACTTGACTCCAGTAAAAGAGGATACGTGCCAATACCTCTTGCACTCTCGTAAAGGAGCGTTTTGTGTAAGTGCATCTGCCAAGCTATCGAAGAAGTGAAGAAGTTACGTGCATAACTATTGCCTGATTCTCGCAAGAGGAGAGAATCTCTGCAAATGCAGCTGCTGGATTGCCGTAAAAGAAGTGAAGAAGATATGCGCAAATCAACTCAGCTGCAAGAGAGAAGAATAAGTGCAGATGCTGAGATGCCTACCATTCATCGTAGAAGTGAAGAAGTATGTGAAATGAAGACGCTGGGTTATCGTAGAACAACATAAGAGAGTGTGTGCAAATGCCCACTGCATTATCGTAAGAAGAAAAAGCGTGCAAACGAACCCACTGAATTATCGTAGAGAGAAAAGAAAGTCCAGGGGTATCTTAGTAAACTCCGGCGGATCGGTATCGTAAAACAGTCGTTATGGGTCATTGTGCTTGGGCACTTCAAGGGCAGGAGAATCGTAAGTCGTAGCTGCAGAGAAGGAGGAAACGTTAGAAGTTGAGCTCGGGTCTCGTGACATAGGAGCAGAAAAAGAAGCAGTCGATAAGGTCGAATGTTGTCCTTGGTCTCTCGGACTGGGGTCGATCAGAGCTTCGTTGAACGGGGTTGTCTTGGGGCCTTTCGGGTGGACATGGTCTGAGATATACGCATCATACACATTGCCGAACAGATCGTGAAAGGCAGCTCTGATATCTTCAATTGACTCGTCCCCATTCAGCATATTCTCCAGGATCTCAGTTGTTGACAAGGATCCGTCCCTAAGGACGGCCTTCAATTGATTCATCACCGAGGGTGGATCTTCAGAATTCCTATAGAAATAGGAGTTTTCTGGGCCGTGGTTCAGATCGAAGCCACTTGTGGCAGAATTGACACGGCTCCCGTGTGGATTATCACTGCTGAAGGAACCAGAAGATGGGTCATCGAGATACCAGCTCTGATTGGAAAACCCCGGGCCTTCGTTAGAATAATCGAAGCCAAGCCGACCAGTTTTGAGAACACCCGCGTATGGATCGTCAATATTGAGAGATTGAGGAGATGGGTCTTCTGGATATAAGCTCTGGTGCCGCATCTTCAAATTATCGACGTAAGCGGCCCGCTGTGGAGCCGACTGCGGGCTGGAATATGTATTCTGACTGACGGGTGGAGGGGAGTAGGGGTCGGAGGTGTTTTGTCTGCTGTGAGGATGAGCGGCACAGTTGTCGCTGGCAGTTTGATTGCTGGAGCCAAGCGAGGAGTCAAGCGTGCCCTTGAAAGAACTCTGGCCGTAACGAGTCGATTGGGTGCTCTGATTGTCAATGGTGGGGGAATTGCGACGAGCTCGATTTCCTGTACGAGCACCACGAGTGACACTTGGCTGAGAAGCAAGGGTGCCCTGGAAGGCCTGTTGCGGCTGCTGTTGACCCGGCTTTTGTATGCGATAGGGATATCCGCGTGAAGCATCGAAAGCTTGAACTCGCGGATCGTCGGCGGGCAGCTGTAATGGTTGTATTGGGCTGCCGTCCTTGGGAGGATAAGGTACAAAGCGATGAGCCATGGTGCGAGGCACAGGGCGATGCACAATCTTGCCAGAAAGGAACTTGGTCTGGAACAGGCGGATCTTCTGCTCCTCTGCCTTCGAGATGAGGGCACCAGGCGGAGTCAGTTCTGGTGGAACCCTATTTAGATCAAACCAGGAATTTCTAGGTTTATGATCGATCCTACTGAGACGGGCGGCAGAATTGTCGGGAGCGCCGTTGGCAAATCTTGGATATAGCGTTGGGTCTGAGGCCCGAAACTGGTTGATATAGTACGGTTCGGTCTCGCGCGGGTCGTCTAATATCTTACAACCGTCGGAGGCGGCAATCCGCTCGGCTGTTTGCAGTCTGAAGCGCGCTTGGCCTTCAGCTGTCAGGGCGCCTGTCCGCTCGTGCTTGAATGACGAAGGGGTGCCAATCCCCTTGTTCCACTGCCGCTGGCCATATCCCTTCGTCAGGCCAAGGGGTCCAATGTGGGCATGGCCAAGGGAATAGCCGAATAAGCCCGCCAAGTTGCGGGTGAACAGGGTCGAGAAGGCATTTGGGCCCCGTTGGTATGCTTCTTCCTTATCTGGATGCTTCGCACCCAGTGGGGCCGGGATCCCGTCGTTTCCCAGGATACGCGTATCTACCATGAGGATAGCATATCCCGGCTCGGCGCAATCTGCAAGTTTGGCGTTCAGATCGTCACCGAGGTCAATACAGAGGTTGGGATTTTGGGATCCCACCACACCTCTCTCTACCTTTCGGTAGAGACAACTACCAAAAAGGTAGTAACCCTCATGAGTCTGTTCACGGGCGACTCGGCGGGCTCGACCGCCGTCGTCAAAATTGATTTGGTTCAAAAAGTCGTACTCCTTTATCGCAAAGGAGTACGCTTGGCGTACTTCAGCTATAGAACCCAAGATTTCATCCCCGCGTTTGAGTATGAAGCTGCTAGCCCCAACAGGAATATTCAGGTGTGAATCCTCCGCCATCATGCAATCACGAATATCTGTGCAACCATGAAGCTGGTTGCCGGGTCGAGGATATCGGATATCCTGGATCCCGGGCTTCGAGATGGGCTGTTGGCCAGGTGGCACTTCTATATCGAATATGCTTGTGTTCTTTGGCCTAGGCAAGCCATTCTCCCAATGTCCCAAGGGGGCCGCAACCTGTTAAGTGTGAGCTTAGAGGTTGAGGATCGTATCTTTGTCTCTTACCTTAGCTTCCTTAAAGATACCACCGGGCCCGTGCAGAATTATCAAATCTCCCGGTCTCAGGATAGGCGTTTGTGCCCACATCCCCCGGGACATCACAAAGAGTGTTTCCAATTTGATATCGCTGCTCCACAGGGATATCTGGGTACGGGGAGCATACAAAATCGGGATCTCCGCAGTTCCATAGTTGGTATAGTCGGGCGAATTACCTAAAATGGGGTGATTAGTTGCTGGTCCCATGACGTTGTCATCATACTCTGAATAATGATTCCTCTCCTCGTCATTTTCATGACGGTCTTGTGTAAAATCATCATATGTAGAATTCTTGTTTGATTCGTCGTTATTCTCACTGCTGTCGCGAGGTGATTCATGAGCATTTTCATTATCATCATCACTGTATGTCTCCTTGTCACCCCCCCATATGTTATGAAACTGCGCCTGTTCATACTCAGCTGTTCCACCAGCAGCTCTTAAGTTAGATGCTGCAATAGCATCATTAAGGAAACCGGGGTCAAAACGACCTAGAGCACCGTCCTCCTTGAAGGCAGCACAGGCTGTAGATAATGTGTCCGATTCAGCCGTCATGTACTCTGGCTGTGACTCTGCTAGAGCTTCGATGGATTGTGGATGCTGTAGAATATTCTACGAGGGTAAGCAGGCATACTGATGTGGCTTGGAGGGAGAGAAGTACCTTAATGTTGACGTTATCTTGGTAAAGCGGCGATTTCTGGCTTTGGAGAAGGGAATCCGGGTCATTGAAGAAGTTATCATTGACTCTCTGCCTCTTCGCTGGAGCAGTTCTAAGGGATGTTGCGCGCTTGGGTGTCTGTCTCGGTTTTGGAGGAGGCCCCATAACTTGATGCTGAGTAGAGTTGTTCTCAAAGTTGTTGGACTGACTCGGGATCTAAAAGTATGTCAGTACACTGTACAGGGCAGAGGAACGACAGCAATTGAGTGGCATGGATGATGTGACAACGGTGCCATAGGATTGGAACAAAGACAGCACAGAAAAACAGAGGACATTGAGGACACCAGCAGGTGGATGGATGGTGACGAGCTGCGAAGACTTGCGGTGCTCGGCAGCAGCTAGCTAGAATGGAGATGGAGGGGCACAGAAAAGCAGGCCCAGGAAAGAGGTCAATTGACTTACAGAAGGTTGAGAGATTGGATCCTCAGATCTCATGTCATCTGTAGGCGCGGAGAGCCGCGGGGATTTCGCTTGGCCTCTCTTGGCCATGGTTGGTGCGGCTGTCAAATAGTGTAGACCGCTAGGATGTGGGGAAGTCTTAAAATAGAAGTCCGGGGTAGTTAAGACAAGGAGGAGAAAGGATTGGAAGAGGATACAAACAACGTTTCTCTTCAGGAAGAAAGAACAAAGAACGGAAGTAGAGGTGGAGGTTGAGAAGAGAGGTGGAAAGTCGAGGATGAAGTTGGAGGAGATGTTTCTTTTGCACTTTTGTTTATCTGTGTCTGGTAGCGTGATTCCCTACTCGCTTAAGGCGGTTAACGCGTCTATCAGGCATTTAAACCGGAACATCCTTCCTCCGGCCGGCCCGGTGTTGATAGCGGAATATAGTTGCGCCGGAAGCCCGCACGCTAGTACTATTGTGTCGCTGGGACGAACAACTGGAGCTCCCTGGCGAGAACACCAATTCTGGCACCGCGTAAACGCCAACCTGTTATTGAGACAGACAACACCAAGAGACAGACAATTCCTTTCTGTAACTTTCACCTCCCAGAACTACTGAGTGATTGTTGGTGACTAGTGCCTGGAATCCCTCAATTGCGACTGCGACTGCCTGAAACTGAATGACCGCGACTCAACATCGACTTCTTCGAACTCCTCTCAGCACAGCTCCAGAACAGGTGATCCAGGATGATCAAATCCACGCAGATTGCTAGGCTAGATGGTATAGAAATCTGCCAGGTATTGGGCAGACACTGGCTGACTCTGGACTCCAGGCCTCATGCTATGCGCCTCCGTCGACGATGAGCAGGTTAGTAGCAATGGCCGCCCTGATCTCCAAACTCCACGCTGATCCTGCTGCTTCGCAGACTGAATCCTCCCTCTCCGAGATCAAATCACAAGTCAAGATGGTCCTTCGAAGACTAAATCGAAACTCAGAACCTCAAGCCAGCATCGAGAGCGGCGCATACGTCATACAGTACGTTTCTCCCTATTCTCTTATCAGGTTGTTAAACATCTGGTGCTTTCCAACGGGCTAGCTCCCCCAAATGGGTGAACTTGGTATATATATGATTTTGGAGATTGGCAAATGTCACGGCATATTGAGTCAATGTGGTTGGCAACCGACTCTTGCCCAATTCATTTCCAAATATCTAGAAGCATCCGACGGTGCAACATTTCCTTGTGTCAGCAACCCCTAAGTTCTACTAGCAATGGAACAAATACATGCATTCAACTACAGTTTCAACTGCATATATCTCCAATGTCCAGCATTCCCTTGTGTCAGCAATTACCGGATTCCGTTGGAAAGGGGGCCAATGATATCCGAATCCAGTCGGGCATTGTATTTCACAAGCATCCTTTTACCTGTCAGCGACTCCTGGATTCTGCTGGGAAAGCCTGATTGCAACGTGCACTTACTCCAACACCGCGCCCTCTTCATAATCTAATCAGTACATCAATCTCGGAAAACTTGCTAACACTCTTCTCTCCCAGCTACCTCATCTCCTCCGAAATCGTCTATCTCTGCATCAGCGAACGTTCATACCCCCGAAAGTTAGCCTTTACCTACCTCTCCGACCTCTCCACCGAGTTCAGCACCACCTACCCCATTTCGCAAACCCTCTCCCCTTCTCTCCGCCCCTACGCGTTCATGGAATTCGACACTTTCATCTCGCGGACAAAAGCCACCTACTCCGATACCCGCGCCACCCAGAACCTTGATAAGTTGAACGATGAGCTGAGAGACGTGACAAAGGTCATGACGAAGAATATCGAGGATCTGCTGTATCGGGGTGACAGCCTGGAGCGTATGGGTGAAGTTAGTTCCAGACTGAGGGAGGATAGTAGAAAGTACAGGAAGGCGGCAGTGAGGATCAATTGGGAATTGTTGATGAAGCAGTATGGTCCCGTTGGTGCTTTGGCGTTCGTCATGATTGTGTTTATATACTGGCGATTCTTCTGAAGTCTCCCCTTTTTTCCGGAACGATACAGCCTGGATGGCCAAGGCAGAAGTAGAAGCATTGTCCTGGATGAGAAGGCCTGGAAGGAGACCAGCAGTTTGTTGCTATATATGTACAATGATTCCCCAACACGCGTTGCGTTTACACTTTCATCCGTACCTGTTCCTCTGAATATTTTTCTTCTCGTTCAATCCCCTCCTCTATCTCCTTCGTTTCCTCCTTTCCCACCCCGATTCGTCTAAAACTCGAAATATCCAACAGCAGGTATTCGCTACAGTGCTATCTCGCTCACGGCGCCAACCGCACCTTACGGAGTAGCCACAGGGAACCGAAGCCTAGATCCGTCTGTTAGCTTCAATCTGTGGTTTAACAAATGGGTGACTTACTGGAACCCGCGCTCTTCTCCCATTTCGCGGCAAAGAGCACCGTTCTTCCCATGCAGTGGAGAAGAATGGGTGCTCTTCGCCGTTATCTTGTCGCTACCAATTAAGTGGACGTCAGCTTTGACTAAATATTACCTTCCCTCTCCTTTCTCCTCTCCTTTCTCCTCTCCTTTCTCCTCCCCTTTCTCCTCCCCTTTCTCCTCCCCTTTCTCCTCCCCTTTCTCCTCCCCTTTCTCCTCCCCTTTCTCCTCTCCCTTCTCCTCCTCCTCTTCGCCTCGTCTCCTTCCATGCACTTCCGGCGGCTCAGCTACAGTGCTCTATGATGACTTCTGTCCAGCAATGCGACGTCTTGCCGCAGAAGTGAGCCGGGCGAAGATACAGCAACTTCACACATCGAAGACACATGTTGCGGCCGGGCATCTGCTGCATGGAGATCGGCTCCGACGCCGAACCAGAGGAGGACGCACAGGGGGCCCTGGTCAACAGTCAATCCAAGAACAAAGGACTCAAAACACTTCCTACTTACCAACTCGTTAGATCTCTTAACGCCTGCATTCCCTAAAGCTAAAGGTAACTAGCTAACACTCGTCTACCTCGCAGTATACGGCATGCACCTTAAGGTCAAGGTGGGAGGGTTGGGTCAGACGACTTTTCCTAACTAGGTTCTAAAAACCGAAAGCTTGACGTTCTCGAGGGACAAAGATGTTCCCTTGTCGGAGCATATGCGCGTTAGGAAGTCTGTCCAGCAATGCGACTGTCCAGGCCTCGGACGGAAGCTCTCGGTTACCAAGTTAGATAACAGGAGGCTCCGTGATCGAGAACTCGATCTCGTGTTTGGCTCATTGGATACTTCCAAACTCTCGATATTTGCTAGCGACTTGTTGATCGGGGTATTGGCTCCTACAAACATAGTCGGCCCAACGCCGAACTACGTATGCTAGCATTAGGATACCTAATACTAGGAGCGTTCCAAGAGGCAGGCTCTCGGTAACGGGGGGACAAAGGAGTGGAGCGCAGACGCACGGCGGGTACGCCGGGGTCGGGCTTGGAGATACATGTGTGCGATGCATAGGCATGGCGTGCACATAGGCCCGCCCCGATCAGCACGTCTAGCTGTTCATACTCTGCCATCCCCACGTCTCCTCTAAAGTCCAGACAACGATACCATGTCAGGAACTCGTTGCCTATGCGTTGTTAGTCTTCGGTTGTTCTTTAGTCAGGGTTCGACTTACCATAAGTCGATTGGGCTATGAGCCTTACTGGCACTCGACGGGAGTTCAGGAATATCATCGAGCGAAACCGATTTGGAGCCTTCGTGCTTGCGGAGCCAGAAAAACTTGACCTTCATCTCTTTATGATCCTCTGAGACTGTGATTGGCTTTAATGCAAAGTATGCTTTGCCCCAGTATGCATGTGCGTTTGGGCACATGGTCATGAGGTTTTCGCAAACTTCGCACCCATACAGATCAAGCTGCTATTCTCACCTCCTCTCGGTCGTTGAGTCAATTCCTTCTCGGTGTCCTGTCTGGTTTTCTAAAGCGACTGGTTTTTCTCCGGGGAGGTTGTGCCACGTCTCCGGCTTTGTGGTGGATGTTGATTCGTGATATTGGTGGGCCTTCGGAGGCCCTCCAACCCCGAAGAACCTGGAAGCGTATCTCCCGACGCTGACGTGCTCTATTTCGGGCAGTAGCTACATTGAGCACAACTGATCTGCATATTAGGGCTATTCACGAGTAATCTCGATGCTCCGCTTCATTAAGCAGGTACTGGCGGCGCCGGGCAACGTGATTAATCCGGGTCTCTGCCGTAGGTATTATGGCATATACTGTCTTGCAAGAGTTTCTTGAACATGATCTTCGCTTGGCAACAACTGATGTTGTTCAACGTGAGCGAAGCACACGAATTCATAGTAGCGACTGTACCTAGGTGTGCTTCAGAGATGACCATCTGCCCTGTCCGAATTGCCGTGCCAACTTCCACCTTGTCGCCAAGTACTCTGTTGTAAGACGACATAAACACTGGTGCGCCATCTAGAACGGTGCCTAGGTCTGCCCAGCCAGCCACGCCACAGATCACCTGGGACGTCCATCGTCTTAATTGAATACCAATCGATAGGCTTGACGATGATCGACTAGAGATTGTGACCGGGGCCGCCGAAATAGAGGCGCCGAAATATGTTCGATAGGTATAAGAATACCTAATGCGCCTTTTTATACGGATGGCGTTCCGTAAACTAGGTGCTATTCCGGTAGTCGCCGACATAATCGAGTGTAATAACCCGAATCCCTTGCCAAAACTTGTCGTTATTGATGTTGGCCATAACAGCTGTATGCCTCATTCAAATCCCTCTAGACGAGTACTTCCCCTACTTTAAGTAGGGGGCCTAAGAGCTTGACGATCTCGACTTGGTAGGGAACACGAACAGCCTAGATAGCCCTATTCGGGCGTATGAGAGGGTTCCCGTCCTCGTCGAGCTGCGGAATCCGCTTGTAGACGACTTTTTGTGGCATCCTGGCCAGCTGCCCGTTCTGAACTTCGTTGAAAGCCCGAGACACCAAAGAGATCGACAACGAGGTCATCCCCGCACCCCGGGAGGGTGTCGGGTCCTCTACGGAAGCGCACCGTGGTAGTCGGAATTGTGGCCAGGGCCGTGACGTTCGGAATTGTGGCCGTTAGAGGCGTGGGAGTAAAAGTAGCGGTACGGCCCTTCTTTGGCGCAGCCGCTTCGTCCTCGTCGTCTGGGTAGACTTCCTCTTTTTTGGTGGATGCCTTTCCTCGCCGTCCTCCGCGTCGCGGTGGACCCTGTCGATGATTTCCTTAATGTAGGGGTCCAAGGGACCTCCCTCGCAGCATTATTCCTTGCATACGTCAATGTTCTTAAGGGTCGTCTTAACTTGACTACCTCAACAACGCGGGCCAGGTGCTCTAGCGGAATCTGCCCGGAGCATGAGCGGAGGGTCTCAGGAAGGAACACACAAGACAACTTACCTTCTCACAGGTAGACCGCTAGTTCGCGCAGTGATCACAAACCTCGTCCCTGTATACCTTGCTACACACGTGGCTCGGACGCAGATACAAAAGCTTTACGCATCGTAAAGAGATGTTACAATTAGACATTTGCCTCATCGAGATGGGCTCTCGACGGCGGACCCGGGGCGGATGCACAGAGGGCCCTCGGCAATCGTAAGCACATAAACAAGGACCATAAGCACTTCTCACTCACCAGCTCGTAACGCGGGACCGCTCCAGCGACGGGGGGTTGCCGGAGACGAGGCGACACCTCTCAGAAGGAAGAGGGCGGTTTCGGTTTAGGTTTGATAATCAATTGACCTTAATCAAAGCCTAGTTGATCCTGTGACGTTGACCTTGCATCCTTTACTCGTATAACTGCCGCGGGTGGGCTGGGCATAGCAGGTCCCATCGACTCTTACTAGCAAAAGGACGACGGTACTGGTAACTGTATCAGCTCCAGTGGGGTTGAATGTCGGGTAGAATTGGTGTTGAAGATTATTAAGGTGGTGATTGCTCGGTTATAAAGGGACTTCGAGTGATCTAGAAGCCTCGAAAGCTCAGGTCGATTTAGATCTTGTGGATAGCTAGCATGCCTGCCATCGGCTCTGTCCTGATCCGGTTCAAAATCAGCCAATTTGCTATGTAGTGTTGGATGTGCCGCGGCTATCAGTGTATCACGCACCTGTTTGCCGAAGCCAGCGCAGTAGTGACTGATTGACCTGTTGCAGAACGGTTTTCGTAGAGAAAGCGTCAGAGCCCTTGCTGGTTGAGAAGGAATGCCGTTTAGGAGTTGTTTATCTTGTTGCATGGTGATATATATATGCTGAATTTGGTGACTGCTAAGTTCTCGTAAGATGCAAATAGTTCAAAAGTCCATGACATGATCAAAGTGTAGATGCTGGAGATGGTTAGGAAAACTCGTTTGTCGCGCTGAGAGGAGAGAGACAATACCTAGAGGTGAATAGCCGTCAACAAAGATGTCCAAATCATCCTAAGGGGGGAAATACGAACTAAGTACAAAGAAGGCTATTGAGCTAAACTGCAACCACGAGTGTTGGAAGCATAGTTGGAATTATGTTGCGATAGAGTGAATCGGGAGCTGAGGGAGAAAAGCAATGACGACTTCGGCAGTAATTAGCTCAAAAAAGCGATACCAGTTGTGACTAGAGCTTGCCATCTGACACCGTTCTTAAGCATGTAAGCTTGAATACCTGAATATGCAGATTATCAGACGATAGGTATGATTTGGATCCGGGAAATACTTGTTGTACAACTCCTACCTACTATCACTCAGTTATATCTTTTCTCTGATACATTTGCTTTGTACAGTGACTGTTTCTCTGTATGTAAGCAACCGGCGGTGGGCTTTGGAGGCTTTATGATCAAGTTCCATCTGTTTCCATGACTGCCAGCAACAGCTGTAAGTTTGTTTGATGAAACTGCAGATTGTCTGCCTGCCCCCATTACATCTGCACGTCCAGCCACCCCCCTAGGGCCACGAGCTGATACAGTCGACCCCGTATCTGCAGGTTCCCATTCAACCATACGCTATCTCTCTATACGCTTCTTTTGAACACGCCGAGTAGAAAAGGCCGGGGTCGTTGAAAGGGGTACTGGGTGGCTGCATATTTGGGTAGAGAGGTGGGTGTTGCCACGCGGAGAAGCAGGACTCGCAATATCCATCCGTGAATATTATAAAAGTGATTTTGGAGAGTAGATAGATAGACAGAAAGAAAGGAAGAAAAAAAGGGGGTATCGTATATGGTTGTAGATCGAGAAGAACTGAAGCTTTATCTTTTTTCTTCCCCCTCCTAGTATCCTGATTTCTGAAGTAGGGCTTGCCCCGATTGGTTTGTGCATTAGGTTTGTAGTCCTATGGCAGCTCCTAGAAAGTCTTCCGTTAGACATCTGACTTTGAGAGAACCAATGGTGTGGGACCTCTCCTCCTACGCTGAGCTCCGTTGCACATCTACATATCCTGTTGGAGACTAGGACTCGAGTTGGCCAATGGCATCAAGCTCATCCTTCCGTTGCACATCTGTATCCAAGAGGGCCAATGACGTGAAAGCTCCCTCTTCCTCCAACTTCGTTGCACATCTGCGATTTAAGGTTGTGAGCCAAGCTCTAGCTTAACCAAAAGCAGATCTTTTCGATCTTTCGTTGCACATCTGCATCTAAGGGTACCAGCCAATGACGTGAAAGCTCCCTCTTCCCCCAACTTCGTTGCACATCTGCGATTTAAGGTTGTGAGCCAAACTCCAGCTTAACCAAAAGCAGACCCTTTCAATCTTTCGTTGCACATCTGCGATTAAGGTTGTGAGCCAAGCTTTAGCTTAACCTAAAGCAGACCCTTTCAATCTTTCGTTGCACATCTGCATTTAAACCAATTTCAATGTGTGGGAGGTAGCTGGGGCGTAGCCCTAACTAATTCTTTCTTCTTTGATCTTCTGCAGATTCGAGAGTTGATGACGAAGTTTCTTGATATTGCTCTCTTCCAACATGAACATCTCAAGCCCCTTTCTCTTCTTTAACAATCAAACACTTGATGATCTTGCAGGATAGCATTCCCTATACCTTTCACTCCAAAACCGTAGTGTATCCATACACGAAGAGCTACCTAGTCAAGCGCACATGATGCAGAAAGGAGATGATTATGCATACAAAACATAGAACAAATTCAATTCAAACTACCAATTCGAGGATTCCCAGTATCGATTTAACGAAAGCAAAAGGACATTCATAGAGCATATGTATTCGCAATCTGGAACAAGAAGAACAATGATGTAGCTGTAGAGATATGCATGTCTAGCAATATGGGAGTCCCCTTTGCATATAGACCGCTATATCGAAAAGTTATAATGGAGACAAGTATATAGAAGGAAATCCCTCTCACGCCTCTTCAACTTCCAAGGCTATTGTAATTATTTGATTCTGGATCACTGGATCGCTGGATTACCGGATCACTTGATGAATTGTAGGGTGTTGTCTTCTTTCCAAGTCTCAAGACTGAATGGGCTCTGGGAATGTCTATACATGACCGTCAAACTGAGCATTCCTCACGATCTAGCGTTGACATGAGAGAAACAACATTTTGTAGGTGGTTGTCGTTAGCATGTCCAGTCGCCAAATATTCCTCTTTAGGATATCCGGGTGCTTGTTAGTCCGTCTCCGACTCCTTTCCATCCCCTGAGGCCCTTTTGGAACAAAACATACTTCACCTGATCGGTCTCATCACTGATACCTTGGCCCTGAGTCTGAATAACAACTGCTGCTTTCTCACTCAAATATTGGATCGTGCGGATCCCAATTTTGTGTATGCAATCCTGGGTTTGGGCAATGGGCAAGTTTCATACTCCACCAAATCTATGAGGACCCAGCGGCCCTCGTACCCTCTATATAGCGAGCACTATCTTAGAACAGGACCTATAATGTGATAGGCAAAGTTCCTCAAAGGAGGGAGACATAGGGGAGCCAAAGCACCTTAGGGCAAGTTTCTGCTGGTGATGGAATAAAATTAGATGTTATAATTTGATTATGATTTATAAAGGCCATACAACTGCCAGCTGCCCGTATGCGATGATACCCCACGGCATCACTTTCTCTTCGTCGCACCCCCTTTCTTCGAGCTTCCAGACACTTTGGCCGTTGTCTCATTAGTAGCCTCCCCGGCTTTCTTTGCCTCATCAGATACTCCTTCGATGCTCTTCGGCTGCTCGTCCGCTGGCTTTTCTTCCGGCTCGTCGTCTCCACCCTGCCCAAACTCATTAACGCGCGTGTAGTCGACCTTGTATTTATATGACTGGTACAGATAAACGAAGAAGATGACGTCGTCTCTCAACGTGGCTATTCGATGCAGCGTCGGCATCTTGATCGTGAACGCGAAGAGGTCATCGATGAACGTATTGAGGAATTTATACATCATGGCCTTGGCTGGCATGTGTGCCACCGACTTCAGGCGGTAGTTGATGTACAGACTTGGGACCATCATGAGGAAACCGTAGGCGTAGACGGATCCGACGAGGGTGGTGATCACGAAGGAGTACCATGATTTGTGCGTCTCGTAGGTCAAAGAGTAGGCGGCATAGGCCAGCAGAAGTGGGACGGCGATCATGTAGAGGTATTTGAAGGCTACGGCGTCGTATTCTTTGGTTTTTTCCTCGGTTTCGGATAGAACGTGTTTGTCTTCGAATGCGATTCGGTAGGGGATGAAGGAATCTGGAGCTGGTCGGAGACGGACGTTGACTACCGTGGTGATTTTCCAAAATTCGAGGAGGATGCCCATTCCCTGGGAGAAGAGAATCATCCAGCCTGCGGCCACTTTTAGTAACTGGATATAAGGGGAGGGAAGGGGAACTGACTAGTATTCTCGTTGTTGTCCATAAGATACAGGAATATAACGCCTTGCATGAAGACATTCCCGAGGATAGACCGGACAGAGATTCCAACATTATTCTTCTTATTCCGGTAATGACTGATATCGGATTTGAAAGCTAGCATCTCGAAGATCATGTGGAGGATGCTGACAACTGCAGTTGTGCCGAGAAGATAAATATTCGTATCTAGGAGAACCTCCTTGATCATTTCAAACTCGGTACCGTCCCCACCGCCGGGCACAGATTGGCCTGATCATGTTAGTAATAGGAAGCTATCACTTGGGGGAAAATTACCTAGGGCAGCAGCTCTAGCACTTTGCTTAGCTCCTTCGTCCATATTGGCAAGGATGGTGAATTTCCAGTTTGCTTGATTGTTGAGGTTGATGTAGAGGGGTAGTCGAGTGACGGTTGAATTCAGGGCTGTCATGTGAGATCGGAGTTGCCAGAACGAATTGACGAAGAGAACAGGATAGTACCACCCATTCTGACCGGTAGCATCGCGCGCGCCTGTCTCTTCCAAGTGTATATATCGTAGAACTGGGGGAGGTAAACTCGGAAACTGCATCACTCCAGTATCCGGGATGAAGGACAGGGTGAAGTTCGGATGATAATGCGAAGTGATGACTGGACCCGTGGGAATTTCCTCTTCCTCCTGAACTCTGTCAGTTCTGCCCATATTTGCAGCAAGGACAACATACCTCATCCTCATCCGAAGCAGCCAGAAGGTTCTTTGTTTTCTTCACCCGTTTCTGGGCAATGTATTGCGTTAAGGGATGAGTGAAATGGAATGCCCGACTTGAATCATAACCAGATCTACTGGGGTCCAGTTCACTGCCAGTCAATCCGATATAAAAATGCGCCCACAGCGTCCCATTGTTCTGCACCTCTTTGGGCACTGCGAAACTTGTATCTACGATCCTATTCTCGTTGTAATCACCAAACTTGAAAGCCGTCTCATCAACCACTCTTCTTTCTGCGGGCACCTTCGCTAGCGGTTCAGCAACGAAGGATGGCGAGACCACGATCGTGAGATCCAAGGGAGAGTCAAGAGGCCACATAGGAGCTATTCGTTGGGGGATTGGGTTGTAGACCGCACCGTCATTGAGGGAATTGGGGCGGGCATGGAAAGGGGGAATCGTGGCCGTGTTCGCAGGAACGTTAATCACGGCCCCAGAAGCATCGGTGGTCGTCGTCGTAGCGGGTTTGCTCTTGCCCATGATCTGACCCATCAAGAATTGCATGCCAACGAAGATAGCGATACCCTGAACCGCGGATTTGATCGTCGACTTCGGTTTGTCAGTATATCTCTTCGAGGAGAGAGGGGGAGACGTACGCCCATGCCGCCTTCGTTCTGGGCGCCGGCGGCTGCGGGAGCCGGGGCGGTAGGAGAAGGCATATTGAAGAACGTCTTCTTCGAAGAGCTGAAGAGTGAAGAAGATGGGCCACGGTGTCTGTTGTGGTGTTGTGGCAGCGAAAGAGTTCAAGAGTTATTTGGGAGGTATGGGCGACTGGCCAATCATCGTCCGGGGCGGCCGAGGCGTGTCGCGATCGGGAAAACATCGGGCCGCATTCTACGACGGTTGCCGCTCCCCGCCGCCGTAGAGTTTGTCTGTTCCTGTTACTCAACCCCACATCCGCCATCTTTCTCTCTCTTCAACTCAATCAACTCTCCTTTACATCTTTGCTCCCCTCGTGGATCACTTGGGCAACTGTCCTTCCTCAGTTCTATAGATTGTGCTCCTCTAAACCACAATCTCTAAGACCTAGTTTCAGTCTCACCAGCACATCTTGCGCCTCGCTTGTCCCGCCTCACCGATAAGACGCTCGAGTTCGTCCTCCGTTACCTTACCCCTTCTCGTACCCGGAAATCACACGCACTCTCCTTTGCCCTTGAGAATCAGCACTCTCTTGCTTTTTAGCATTTTCTCAGAGATATAATAAGTCCAACACAAGTCTACAAACAAGATCAGAAACTATGACATCTGGCGATGCCTCCCCCGCCGCCCCCTCTATCGGCACGAATGTAACGGCCAATTCAATAGCTGGGGCAAACCCTTCACGACCCGTAAAGATATGCGTTTTTTGTGGCTCCTCGCCCGGAAACTCTCCTGGTATTCCTCCAATGTCCAATATCTTCTTAGCCAAAGCTGACCTTGCAATTAGCACACATGGCAGCAGCCCGCTCTCTCGCCCAAGTCATGGCATCGCAAAACATCTCGCTCGTGTTTGGGGGCGGAACGGTTGGCATTATGGGTGAAATTGCACGAACTTTGGTCTCTTTATCTGGCCCCGAAGCTGTGCATGGAATCATACCCGCCCCTTTGGTCAAATATGAACGAGGTCAGTAGCCCCTTTATATCGTCTAACCTTACAGAGGGTGATTTTCCGAGTCAAGAGCAACTTCTGACAAAGCTTTCCCTCTATCTACTCCGGAGGCGCTTCTGCTAACTATGTTATGCACACAGGACCAGATTCTGAGGCCCCGGCCGCGCACGCAGTAGAGGGCCAGCTCCCGGATTACAACATCTATGGCAAGACAACAGTAGTGAAAGACATGCACACGCGCAAACATATGATGGCGTCAGAAGTCCTTGAAGGCGGGGAAGGGTCCGGCTTCATCGCATTATCTGGCGGCTACGGCACCTTAGAGGAATTGATGGAAGTTGTGACGTGGAACCAGCTAGGCATTCACAACCGAGGGGTGGTTGTCCTCAATATCGAAGGGTATTGGGATGACTTGCTGGCCTGGGTGAGAAAGAGCGTGGAAGCCGGCTTCGTGGGCGAGGGCAATAAGGACATCATTGCAGAAGCGAAGACTGCGGAGGAGGCTGTTAGGGCGTTGAAGGAGTATCGAGTCGCAAAGGGGAGGTTCCAGCTAGAGTGGGGTAAGGAATGATTGCCTTCTGTTGGGAAAGTTGATGAGGCTCGAATTGGCATGGCACGGCATGATAATGATTGTTTTTCCATTGTGAGCAAATCGCCTGGGTTTTGCGTTAACTGGTGTTTCGCATGGGTTTGAGTGGGTAAGAAAAGAAGAGATAGAATGTTACTGGCATGGCAAAAGGCGGTTGCTAGGCATAGATGGATGATCAGGAAGCATCACTAGAAAGAATCGGTGCACGACGAGACGAAGGAAGAATCTAAAAATTCATCTTCCAGTTAAAAAGGAAATCTGTCTTTTGATGTTGTACAATGCAAGTCATCTGCACCTTAAAACCCCCATCCCAAACCCGAACCCACATCCAGAGTCAAGATCAATAATATCATGTATCAACCTCCATAGTCTCCCCCGCTCCGCCCTCTTCCGTCCCATCTGCCACCAGATCAACCCATTGCTTAACATCCTGGCCATCATAAAGTCTGAAGCCCTCGATGGTCTTCATTCCCTCCGCTCTCACGCCAACAACACCCACACTGCAATTCTCGACCGTCAACTCCTTATCCTGCGCCAACGACTCCTTGAGCGCTCTCAGCCCGTGAATCACCAATTCCTCCTTACTGCTATCAGCAAACTTCTCCAGGTTCCTCTCCAAATACGTCCTCGCCATCTGACTCCGCGCTCCTATCGCACACGCTATCATCTCCTGCGTCATACCGCTCGGTTGGAACTCAAAGAGATGCGGCCCCGTCTCATCTACCCCCGCGACGAGGAGCCCGACACCATAAGGTCGCTTCCCATAGTGTTGGGTGTTGGTCTGCGCGCGGTCGCCGATGGCCGATACCAGGCGCTCGAGGGGAATGGCGCGGCCGTAGGTGAGGCGGGAGGACAGCGACTGCTGCTTCATGAAGTTGGAGAGGACGCGGGCGTCGGATGCGAGACCGGCCAGCGAGAGGCCCAGGTGCTCATCGATGGCGATTATCTTCTTCTGATACGAGGAGAGCTCTTCTGCGTTGCGCTGGACAGCGTGGGCTCGTCAGCTTGGGGCCCCGGCGTGTTGTTGGTTGGGGGGTTTGGATCATATCTTGCCTTTAACGCAACGAGAACAGCATGTGTCTTGCTCACTATCCCCACCACCACTGAACCCTGCTTTACGGCTTCAGACGCATACTCGACTTGGAAAATCCGTCCTTGGGGAGAGCTATGCGTAAGTCAGCTTGAGCGCGTCGGTATGCAGCTTCGAACCACCACTCACAAGGTAACCGAGTCGTTATCGTAGTTATTTCTGAACATCTTGACGAGAGGGCAGCTTCAGCTGCTGGTGGATGCTCAAAAGAAGGGATCGTGAGGATGATGGGAGAGGGATTGGGTTTCTAGAGGAGAAGATGGAGTTGAGGCAGACACGCTGATGAAGCTCTCCATATTAAGGTAAGGTTGCCGTACACAGTATACTTTATGCGCTAGGCCTATCCCAGACTAGCGGTAGGCTAGCCGGAAACAGGGTAGCGCCAGTGGTCCAACAGGGGTAGCAACTTGAGCCGCAACAAGCGCCGAGGGAACGTCAGCTCTCAGCCGACGACAGCGATGATAACGACCATCGCTCGATATCACGAACGAGTTGCTGCAAATCGAATCTGAACACCCTCGAGCTGTCGCGACAATCAAACAGGGGGGCTGATACGATATTATTGGAAAACAAAGGCTTGAATCTCGCAGAGGCGGGAGCGCATCCCAATCCGGATCCCACAAGGCCTCAAACCCATCACCAGGAACAAGACGCCAAAGTGCCTCTGTCAACCGCCAAAATGGCCGCGGGCCTCAAGACCATCATCTCGCTGTCTTTTGTAAGTCTCGCACTCTGCGCCAGATGATCTGCCTATTTCACATCCCAATACTCCCCCCGAGTGCCCCGCCTTCATCCCTCTCTCAACCCCGCTCTCTAACAGCCTCCAGGTCCTTGCAATCGGCTTTCTCCTCGTAATCCTCTCCTGTGCCCTGTTCAAACAATACCTCCCGCTCCTGGTCGTTGCAACCTACGTTCTTGCGCCGCTGCCGAACTGGATTTGCGGACGATGCGCGAACCCCGATGACTTCGTGGAGAGCAGTGGCAATGCCGTTGTAGATTTCGGGAGGTTCTGCACTGGGTTTTTGGTTGTGATGGGTGTTGGTACGTTGAATCTCCTCTCGTAGACGAGTTCTGGGAAGGCATGGAATTTGGGAATGCGACAGGAGCTGACAAATTGTAGCTTTGCCGGCTGTTCTTGCTCACTCGGAAATCATTCGTATTCCAGCGATGATCATGTCTATTGTTGGCGGGTTACTGATTTATGGCACGATTATCAGCTTTGGCCTGTTTTTCCAGGAGGAGCAGGAATTCTAGTTTCAGTGGAGGCTGATGAGAGCGATGATGACTGGGTGGAATTGGAACCATTATTAAGTGAGTCGATTGTACAAAATAGCATCTATTAGACATGTTCATATGGTTCATCGATTTTTGGATCACGAGGATCTCATCAAAGTATTGAATTCTATTCCCGAACCCCTTATCCAAGCACCTATTGGTATCGTTGAGCTATTATCCTCCTAACAAACGCCAAACCCAATGCGAATACGTTGAGTATTCCTTCCTCCCATAATGCAAAGACGTGAGTCCTACCCAGAAATCATCTAAAAGCGCCTAATGTCCCATTCAACTTCGTCTGCATCTCTTCCCTCTCCCCCTCCGGCGTACTCAATGCGGTGATCGCACCACCTGCACCAATATGCCACGTTTCGATTCTCCTTTCCTCGCCAGTTTCGGTGTAGGAGACAATATCCTCGTCGTCCCAGCGGAACATACTTCGGATGGTCACACTCCAATCGCCTCGCCCACCCACATCCATATAACCCACAACCCCTGAGTAAAGACTACGTTCCTTGCCCTCAATCTCTTGCAGTATCTCACAGCTCCTCTTCTTTGGCGCCCCCGTCATAGATCCAGGCGGTAGACTCGCAGCCAGGACGTCAACTCCAGTATATTCCCTATCGACCCCCTCCTCTGGAGGGGTAATCTTCCCCTGGACAACGCTAATCATCTGGAATACACTCCGGTACTCCTCAACGACCATCAGTCTCGGGACCTCCACATTCCCGCTACCGCAAATGCCGTGCAGATCATGCCGCACCAGATCAACGATCATCAGGTTCTCGGCCTTTTCCTTCGGGACATCGAGTAGGGGGATGGCGGACGCGAGGTCAGGCACTGCAGGTGATTTCCGCACCGTGCCTTTCATGGGGCGCAACTCGCACGTGCCAGTGCGCGTCCAGGACAGGAATCGCTCAGGGGAGGAGCTGACCAGCGTGGCGGACCCGAGACGGATGTAGGAGGCCAGAGGCGCGGGTTGGCGGGTTCGCAGGGTGCGGTAGAGATTCCACGCACTGGAAGGATGGCTCGGGATGGTTCGCTGACGGTGAAGAACGATATCTTCTAGCGTGTGGACATGAGATGGTTTGTGAGGGGAATCGAAGCGCTGGCGTTGGACGGTAGTTTGATCTGTGAGGCACAGTTCGTAGGAATCACCACTGCGGATGTATTCTTGACAGCGGCGCACTTTGGTTTCATATTCGTCGTTATGCGGGAGACTGGTTGATATGCCCAAGTCGGGTACTTTGGTCGCGTTACTAAGATCGATGGAATCCGACGACGACATTGATATCGAGCCATGAGATTCAGAGAAGTCTGATAGAATAGATGTTTGAGATGAACTTGCAGATGCTACCTTTTTCTCATTCGTAGGGTTGCTAGATATGGCCGAGATATTTGGCAATGATAACTGCTTCAATTTCAAGGCCACGGCATCCATCCATGTTGGATTTTCGGAACCCTTCTTGACCAATGCTTGCATGTGAATTACATTCTCAACATGATCTATAACAAGGCTTCGGGTGACCCAAGCAAAACATAAGTCGGGGCGAGAGTGGTTTGCCCCTCTGGGTTTAGAGGCTACCTCGATGCTCTCTAAACCCATCTCGTATGTTGTGTATCCCATGAAACCTCCCAAAAATGGCGATCGAGATAGTATGTCCTCGTCATCAGAGGAAATCCGCCTCTTGTCTAAAAAGCTGGCCAAGAAGGGCCAAACACCCAAACCTCGGAGATCAATCATATATTCCTTGTCCAATCCTTGGTCGGGGTAAATGGCTTTGATAGAATTCGATGGCGCTTTATATTCGAATCTCAAACCACCATCAATATCCAATCCAATAATACTATATCTGCCCCTGACATCTGCTGGCCCGGTAGACTTTTCGTGGATATTTGAAGACTCCAAAATAATATGATCTCGCCGACTATCCTGAAGAGCTTCAACAATGTCTGGAACCGAAATAGCGTCCGGCAGTTGGGTTGTTGAAACTCGGTAAACGTTATCCAATTCCAAGTCCGTTATAAACCGTTCTGCCTCGATTTCTCCCGGTGAAAGGTATGATGGTAGACATGTTGCATTATACTGGTGTGTAAGACTATCGCGAACGGGAAGCTTTCCGTGTATAGGAACTTTCTGGTCGTAGGGCGTTTTGCGGTATGTCAGATTCCAGCTCTGAGCTTGTCGAAACCAATTCCTGATGACCAGTTTACTTTCATCATTGGTACAAATGGACTCCGGGTGATACTGCAATGCACAAAACGGCTTCGCCCTATGTTGCACTGCGACTAGCACTCTGTCGTCCATCACACCCGAATTCTCATCCGCGCCACAACTCTCAACCCAAGCCAATGGCATCAAATCCGGGCACTTCCTCGTTGGGGTCCACACATGTTCCTCCCATACGTCTGGTGCGATTGAGCTCTGCCCAATATCCACGCATAAACTCTGGTAATGTGTCGCTGTCAGGTTCCCAACACCTTCAAAGACCGTATCCTTCCCATCCCTCCCATGTTCCCCAATATGTCTCACTCTTCGGATCATCCCATGTTGCGGACCTTTCAATCTCTTCACCTCCCCTCCAAATTCAAGACACAGGCTCTGGAATCCCAGACAGATGCCCAAGACCGGCAGCACCTGCTCGACGTCCAACTTCCAAACCCTTCCTATGATCCCCACATCCTCCTTCTTCCCGGGATGACCGGGGCCAGGTCCGCATACCACCGCTGTATAGTGTCTCAACTCCTCATATAGGGCAGCGTCGGAGCTGAGGGCCGGATTGTCGATTTTGACTGTACGGACCGAAACATTGAGTTCGGTTTCGAGGAGAGAGACTATATTGTTCGAGAAGCTGTCGTAGGCATCAATAAACAGAACTCGAGGCCTTATGTCAGGCTTGGTCATATTTGCTGCGCGGGTTCCCCCGACCTCACGCGGGAGTTCGTTTTTTGTGGAATTGGTGCCAGTGACTCCGAGTTAACATCAGAATTCAGTCTGGACTTTTTTGAACCTGGGCGGTGGCAGGTGGCAGATCACTGGATATGGCCTAGTGCGGGGCAGCTAATAGTTGTATCTTTGTGTCACGTGCTGATATACCGAAAAGGGGGAGGGGTTCGATTTTATCTTTGAGAGCGTTCTTCCAAGGCAGAATCAATATATGAAGACTTCAATTTAGAATGAATAGCATCCAAATAAGATGAAGGGTAAAAGCATTGCGAGTTCCGTTCATAAATAGTGATTCCTACTTATATTTCTTCCATAGCCACTGATAAGTGCTACGCAACAAGATCTCATCAACTCTTCCACATAAGAATCTATTCTCAAGCCAACGAGTCAAGCGCAGATGTCAAGCTATACAGAATTAATTAGCCTGCTCTCATTGCCTCAAATGACCACGCGGGGTACTTACCGTCTCAGGCCCTCCGTCAGCTCCTCGTCACCCAGACTCGCGAACGCCAACCTGAACCATCCCGCCTCCTCACAATGCTCTTCACCTGGATGCAGAAATACTCCATGATCAACCAGGTGCTGCGCCAACGCAAACTCCCTATCTTGCCCACTCATGCCTGCGTCGGGCAGCCATGCAGATAGATTGACGTAAACAAATAACCCGGCGTTTCCACCTTTACGATATGGGATATTTGCCTTCTCTAGAGCGCCGGTGGTAACTTTGTAGGCGTTACTGAGACGGGAGCGGCAACGAGCTAGGAAGGATGTGTGAAATGCGCGGTCTTCGAGAATTGCGGTACCGATTGCAATGGAGGGACCCGAGGGGTTGTGAAAGCGGCTACAATAGTTAGTATGGAGAGGGAACAGAACCCTAAAGTATGTGGTGATCAGAGGGAGGGCCTACCCGATTGCGGTACAAGCGCGATATACGGGAACGCTGCGAGTGATGAGACAGCCGAGACGAAGACCTGCTGCACCGAAATCCTAAGTCAATTAGAGAGGGTGTCTGATTTGGAGACAGGACTTACTTTGCTCATCCCGTAAAGCACGTGGAGAAGCTCATCGTCTATAAGCCCGGTTGTGTCGAAAGACAGAACCGACGTGAAAGACATGGCATCTGGATTGCCAGTATCGAAGACAGAAAGTCCATAGACTTCGTCGCTGATGAGGTGAATTCGATGGTTTTGGCAAAAGGCCATGATTTTTCGCAGTGTTTCCCTCGGATAACATATCCCTTTCCCGTAATTAGAACCCTAGTCTGGATGCTCAGAGAGAATACTCACCCAGCGGGTTACTCGGGTTACTGATCATCAATGCCTTGATCCTCGTTCCACTCGCCTCGGCTTCCTTTATCGCTTCCTCAAATCGCTCCACTACCCCCTCTTCAAAAGAATCCAACCCTTCCATCCTCGCATAAACTATCCTCAACCTCGCCTCGTTGCTGAAGTCCAGCTCAAATCGCCCGTATATTGGAGAACTGACCAGAACCGCATCGCCTGGATCGCCCAGGCTGAACGCTAGCATATTCAAGATTCCTGTTATGCCGCTGGCGACTAATATCTGGTTCCCCTCTACGGGTATGAAGGGATTGAAGTGCTCATTCATGAAGGAAGCCATCGCTGCGGGAAAGAGGGGGCCACCTAGGGTACTATAACGGTAGAAGAATGCTGCTGCGGGGATTCTGACCTAGGCTGTGTAAGAGAGCTTTTGATAAATGAAAGAATGGAGGCTTGGGCATGCATCTGACATTTTCTGCGACGTATCTTTCCAGTTCTTCTTGAACCCCTGCCTGTATTGAGTGGTTAGTTCTGAGCAAGGTACCGAGGAGGCAGACCTACATTCTCGGCCGTGGCGAAGGATATCAAACCTGACGGATTTGAAACTTTATTGTATCTTTTTGAAGCTGGTGGTGCAAACCGCCATGGAATCTCTAATCCCGCAAGATTTTCTTGTCCTCGATTGGAAAGGAGGGATGCCATATTTATAATTTTGTGGTAAAAGTGTTGGCAACTAGAAGAAATCACAAGGCAGGGAGGCCAGTGTCTTGTACGAGACAGCAATGGGAATATAAAGGACAAGTACGATCTAACTTTGCAGGATTTATCCTTGCAATATGTCGCATTCCTTTTCAGTTCTCTTTGGAATCCTCACAAATTCAACGCGAAAAAGCAAACTTGCTCATTTGAGTCATTTCTGCCCATGGATGTTGATGAGTATATCAATAATTGGGAACAAATCAGGGTCTCTATATATAAGAGAAACCAGAACCTTCAACTCGAGATAGCCTCTGAGGCTCTGCTCTATACATTACGGTAGAAGACGTCAACAGGTTCGATAAGTGGGTAGAGTTTACATTGGAAAGGGTCTTATAAGCGAGAACCCTAAATTTAGTTTTAGGCGATCTCCATCAACTCGACAACAGACAACATCTTTTCCATAGACACAAATAATGATAAAGCCCTTGGCTTCTTTGACTGGTGCATCAATACATCAGATGTCTATTTATGATTGCATTTCCTCCCGAATTGCATTTCCTCCCGAACGGAACGGCGATACATGATGCTTGTGGCTAAAATGCCAGCCTTCAGAATCCGCGACCTCTGAGTGGTTCTGGGGCGGCGTACAGTGTATAGGTTCATGTTTCTTTTTGAGCTCACGTCGCCAAGTCATATTTCATTTGGTATCTTTTTTTTCTCTCTCCTCCAATAAATTATTTGGTTCGCATGGGAGATGGGGCTCAAGTGTCCTTCTCCCCATAGCTGCATAGTTGCATCCCATTGATCCCATCTCCATGCGATGATAGCGCCTTTGCTTATGATTTCCACCCTCCTTGATACCAGGACCCATTGAAGAATCCGGCGGAGTTGCAATAATTTTCCCCTTTATACCATCGAGCTGCATTTTAGATATTAGCATCAGTTGTTCTTTCTAGCATTGAAATCTAACCTGGTTCCTCGCACTGTCTGCACCCTATGGCATCTTAACAATGATATTTGGGATGCTGTAATCGGAGTAGAAGGTGTTGAAGGTTTCGAAGACTCTTTTGAAGGCAGCTTTGCACTCTCTTTGCTCTTGCTCAGTACGCAATCCATCACCCCCTCCAATCAGAACCAATTCCTCCAAACCTCTGAAGCAGCGGAAATAGCTGAGGTGGGACGAGAAACCCTCAGACCATACCTTCCAACCGGCGAACATCAATATACTCCAGTCATAACGTGGGACTTCTAGAGATTGGACGACCCCAAGTTCTTCTCTTTTGTTGCTCGTAGAGTACTGCATGAAGAGAGTAGCATCACCGGGATTTCGCTTGTGCAGGACGATCTTGTCAACCTTGGGGTCAAAGTAGTGGCCATGGAGAGCGGCAATGGTACCATTAGCTGGATGGCTGGCAAGCTGGTAGGGCTCCTGATAAAACTTTATAGTTGCAAAACGACTTTCGCGACAAATCTTGAAGGTGACTGGGTCCGGAGTGCGAGTATGGAGAATACCATTCCCGTCAATTGTGGCTCGAATTCGGCGAGCACGCATAAGGTGCCATATTTCATATCTCGCATTGGGTGGAAGGTTGAAGAATTGAGGAAAGTGCGTAACAGTAGGTACTTGATTGAAAAGTTCAACGTTTGAGTCTGGAAGCTCCTCAAGGAAGAATCTCGATGACTCCAAGTACTCCAAGTAGCGAGACATCTTGAGTGACGGGTCGAGCAAAGTAGCCTAACAAAGGAAGTCACTTCAAGTCAGTATATTCTTTCTAGAGTGTGACAAGATCTTCTACCTACGAAAGGTTTCTTCCCCCCAGCAAAGAGTTCTCAGATCTAGCAGGCGCTGACCTTCTAGGTCTAGATATGTGGAGGTACAGTGCTGTCCATAGGTTAGATGGTGGTGGTCTTGATGAAGCCGAAAAGCCCAAAGGATCAGCGTGCCAATATGCCAGACAAACGTCGGGTATATGTACTCACCTGACACTGAATTGCCTCCGAAAGTGATAAGATTTCTCAGGCACTGGAAGGTGAGGTAAAAGACCCCATTTCTGTCATATCCTGTTATTTTCAAGTGAAAAATCCTATTGCTATCTCATTTTATGGCAATAGACAGTGCAAGATATGCCTGGCCCTGGTTATATCGTTGGTATCAGACATCTACAGATATCCGATATAACGAAACCCTGCTCAAGCACCATGGTCGAATGACCCTTAGGCGAATGATCGTCAACTATTGGTCTTCTTTCTCACTCTTCTGAGTTATGGGCTATTGGTTTCCCTTCTTCACAAACAGGACAAGTAAGTTGAAATGAGAATGTTGAGACAAGCTATATATTCACAGAGAGTCCCCTAGCAGAAGATCCGGGTCGAAAGCTTCTAAGATCCACGAGATATTCAGCATCTCTTGGACAGCTTCATTTTGACCGTCTTCCGTGGAACGCCCTCCGACACCAATGCTTGAAAAAGAGCCATGCATGGCTCAATCCCTTACCAAAGTGTCGAGAAGTGGTCTTCGCGGTATCATCCTCATCCCCTTTTCCCCGAACCATCGCATCAGTACCGTCTGTCCCAAGACTCATTCCGGAAGGGCAAGGCGCTGTATCCTCCTCTCCTCTCTCTGATTCAACCCTCATGTTAGTCTGCGCAGTGCCATGGCTCATGCCATAAGCCACTGGATCCTCTCCTTCTCCCGCCAATCGAGTTCTTGACCTAGTTTCCTCGGTGCCGACGTTCGTGCCATAAGGCTTTGAGTCGACTGATCGTGTTCTCGTACTCTCACCAATACCGTTCACAGGTCGCTCTCCATTTCTCACCCAGCGAAGATTGTGGACGATTTTAGGCCGTACAAATCGTTCTTGCGTGAATTTCCACTCCTCTTCCCTTATGTAAGCCAAATGAGCTTTCATCTCGGCATGGTTTTCAAACACTTTCAGCAGTTGGCGATTGTTTCCATGGCGAAGATATCTTGGTTCATTTCCCGTCCACCCCAGACACCCAACGGCAATATAAGGTATTTTCGTACCGGGGTTTTCTCTTCGGAAAGCAAGATAGTAATACATGATGTCTTGCATAGTATCTAGCATGACTTGGCTCTGAAGCCCAATAGATTTTTCGTCTGCAGCCACGAGAACTCTCTTCAAAGGCAACCTTGCAAAAGATACCATGGGATCCTTCCGCTCACCACTCCAGTTTGGATGCACCATCACGTTCCGTAGCTCTCCCAATTGCGGGCGTATGGATTCCAGAGGATCATCCTGGGGAAAGGTTCTCCATGAGCCCAAAGTTGTCCACATCGGATCAAACCAAAGATAGTCAATCAATGGGCTGAAGTAGACCTTGGATGAATCAGTCAAAACCCGATACTTCCCATATAAGAACGCTGCTGCGCGTGATTCCCGGCACACCGACATGAGGGGCAAGGATCTCGGTGGCGCGGTGAACACTCCGCCCTCATTCTTTCGTATCCATCTCACGATGCGCGGTGCCAGTGAAGCCTCCCAAACCCTCGTTCTGATCTCCGGGGGAAGAGATGAGAAAAGGGGGAATGTCTTGCCGTCGTTTGACCGCTCTGCATGTCCTGAGGGTGGTGCGAGCAGCGGCATATCCGCAAAATACCGCGCATTTAAGGCATTCAGCTCTCTCGCTGCGCTGATATCTTCCATCGTAGTGCTAGTTTGAGTCTCAAATAGCGGACGAGCCGCGGCACTAAAGACTGCTCAATAGTCCCAAGCAGCAAGTAGAGCGAGGAGGCTGATTGAAATTTACTGGCGTTGCTGATCACGGCGGGTCACATTGAGCTTGCTCTTTATAGCGCATCATGAGCGATTGAATGCCGAGATAATATCTCACGATATCGCGAATACAGCGATGAATGGTTCGAAGTACGCATTTGAAGGTGAAGTGCTGGTGGTGAGGCTCTCGGGTGGCCGACGTAAACACTGGATGCCAACATCAAAATCACGTGCCATTCTCATCAGCTGATGTCGGAAGTTGAAAGACCAATTTATCAACTCCAAAACCAACTCGATTTCTCACCTCAACATGGTACACGATACATGACACGATCAGGGGACTGTCTTTCTATTCCAAGGTTCAATCGTTTCTTCAGTGATTAAAAACATATACACAACTAAACACCTACTACACATCAATCAACATGATGCGAGTCGCTCAAGTCAAGCCCCATCTCATCCCACTTCATCGCGCGGTCATTATTCGCATTCCACTCCAAGAGTTCGTCGAAGTTTCGACACGTATGCAAGGTCGAGAAATCAGGCATGGGAAGTTTTCGTGCTGGATTATCCAACGCATCGTAAAATGTCAACGGCGTCACATCAGCTGAGCACATGAGAACCTCGCGCAACATGTCGATGCAGTGATCTGGTCCTCCTCATTAGCCGCTTTTCACATATAATTCTGTTAAGAGTATCTCATTTTGTTTCCTTTCTTGGGGTTCTTCGAAGAAGAACATACCGTTATGAACCCTCATAGCTCTCTCACCTGCCTTCTTCCACTCCTTAATGTAATACTCCTTGTAAGTTGCCTTCCTCAACGAATTTAAACAATGCAGCAAGTGGAACACTTCCAGCATCCCCAGATATCCACCCCCGAATTCCTCCGGTATTCGGTGCAGGCGTCTGCTCGAGGTATCGGTTTTGTTTAGCAGTTTGAGATCAAATTCAAAAAGCCGTATGCCAGGGGTTGCGAGACCGATTCGTAGCCATGCGGCGTCGATTTCTGGACTCGGTGGCCCACGGTATGGGTTTTCTTGGATGATTTCTGCGTTGAGATGGCGCGGCTCTTGGTAAGTTACTACTGGGAGAGCAGGTGCTGTAAGAACGGTTAGTCCTATTTCTGTGGGTTCAATAGAAGTTCGTACAATAAGTCGAAAGTTTTGAGTCGCATTTCTCTGTCGATGGTTGTCGCCTTGAGGCGACGAGCAATCCTAGGACATAGAAGCCGAAAAGGATTATATGGGAGGCTATAATAAGCCTTCTAGAATATGGACTCCTAGGTTGAAGTGGTTCATGATTCTCCCCCTTTTCAAAAATGTTGTCGTCTTGGTGTACCGGACGATAAATCGATCCAAATATGGTTCTCAAGACTTTGAAAGAAGCCATGGCCGAAGAATGATTATTTGGCGATGTGCCAGAGAAGGAATACATAGTACATTGTACGGTTCCCAGAACCCCTTACGAAGTACAGAGTTATTAAATAGTGAGTCCGTCGCGGGATAAAGTTCCCACTTGGTCGAAGGGCATCGTAACTCGTATTTCCTCTAGATAACATATTATTTGGTCTCTCTCTCCATATACTGGCATACTGCTGTTCTACGCCGCATACGCTGATTCGCTGTGTCGTTTAACACAACTGCCACTTTCTTAAATAGGTAGTTGGGTGTCAGCATTAGTATGCATTGACTGCTGACTACAGTAGTACAGTACGAAGTCTTGGATATGCGAACCTTTACTCGTGGCAATGGCTATGAATCTTACATAGGAAACAATCAATGCAATCAACTTCGACGCTACATTACTTGGCAATGTCGATCTATCTTATCAAGTCTTTGGCGTAACGCCGTCCAATTGGAGTATTTCCTAAGATCTCTTCATTGGGACATGTCTGCCCAGCATCTGCAAGAGGAAACCATCTAAAGTCTGAAATATAAATGCCAGCTGTGCTCTCAACATGTTCCCTACACAGCCCTAAGAATCATCCTCTCGAAATCATCAAGTCTCAAACCTCAAAATAGACCTTCTTAGTTTAGCAACAACCAGCCACCATGAAGTTCTCTACCATCGCTATCGTGCTTGTCCAGGCCGTCATGGCTCTTGCCGCTCCTGTTGAGCTCGTCAAGAATGAGGTACGCATTTCTAGATTCTCAATTAACAACTCCCCTTGTTGACTTACGTCCGCTAGGTTGCCAACCCCGCCGTCGGAGCCACAGCCGACTACTGCCCCAACAACATCTGTTAGAGAGTTCCAGTAGGTGACCAGCTGCAATATTTTCCATTCTGTTCAGGAAGGATATAAACTAATTGCTCTGGATAGTGACAATCAAGCAGATCCTTCACCTGTCACATTTAAGGCTGTCGAATGCGAGTTTGGAAGACTTGTGATAGTAATGCCTACAAAGAAGCAGTCAAGCAGACATCACGAATGAAGATAATCAGAACTTATGGATGTATTTATGGTCTCTTTTCCTTTCCTTTTCGGTTTGAAGTGGGCGAGTAGTTCTTTCAATGATTCCTCTTTGATCTCAAATTACGGCATCATTCGTCAAAATTGGACCCATTCTCCCATGTTCATGGCCTTGGGCCATGCCTCCTCTGCCACTGCCTGTAAGGCCAACTGCTTGTTTATTTTCTGATTGCTACGAGTAATGCTGTGACGCGATTATCAATTGCACGAGAATTCTTGATACTAAGTTAGTAACTAACACTACAGCCTCCTTTGATTTGCGTGTTTGGATATCTTTATCTATACTAAGCATGTTTATCATAGCCTACCATTATACTCCTACAATACACGATACTTAAACAGTGTTAAACTTTACTTGTGTATTCTAGTTCCTTGAATATGTTATTAAATATAGTAAAGTAGTTAAAAAAGGTACTTGTGTTAGCTGGCATGATCCCAGCTGAATGCCTACAAGGGACTACAAAAGAGTATATAAATTACAGAATAAATGTTTACCATACTATGCTTGACATGAGGTATCCAACAAAACCTAATACGGCCATATTTTCTCATACAAAGCTTTCTGCTTCTCATCTTCCACCATGTCCATCAACATCTCCTTCACACGCTTATTAACCGCTTGAGCCCGCTCATAATCTTCACGTAGAACCCTACCACCAACAGAAATCAAGTTCTGGTCTTGAAGTAGGTGTAACACCGTCCCAAGCTCTTCCAGTAACTCCATCTCCTCATTATGAAGCTCTAATTCGTGTTTCGTAAAGCTTATAGGACAAGAACTTGAGTTCGGAGAGATTTCTTTCCAATGAGCGGCGATGGTTATTAATGCGTGCCGGAAAGAGAAGACATCGTTCCGGCTCCATGTGCCAGAAACTAGAGAATCAGGCTGCGTCAATGTCGAGCTGTGGGAACAGTTTATTGCGGCCCAGCGCAGGGGGTTTTTAATTCGGGTGAGGTTCTGATAATGGTTGAGGATATCACCACTATTACCCGAGCGATTAACTGATTCGGAACCCTCTGATAGAGGTTCCAGTGTTTCCTCATAGCCACTAGGGGGAGGAAGCAGAGGTGGCACTTTATGCTGAAAGAAGATTTCGGTTACTGCAGTCGATTGCCAGTCAATAATGTAGTTGATCTTTTTCGTATCCGGGTCAACGAATATATTATCAAGGTGAAGATCCCGGTGGCAAAGGGTCTTGGAATGTAACTCCCCGGGGATGGTGGGCAGTAGATATGGAATGAGGGTGAGGTATCGTTTTAGAAGGGAAATGTATTCATCAGGCAATTCAGGCGTATCCACTGGCCGACAATAATTCATCTGGGGCTCCGCAAAGGTTTCGGTCCATTGTATCTCATTCTTTCCCATGGCCATCAGATAGTCGACAGCATTTGCCCCTCCTTAGGTTAGTAATATAACTGATCAAGTAAGAGCCTTTGCTTACATGGACCTCGATCTAAAGCCATTGTAGCTCGTCCGCCTTCCCATAGGACTGCCTGGGTCAAAGGTCCAAGTGCATACTTCTCTAGAATCGAGGCGTCGAGTTCCTTCGAAGAACTGCCAGAGGAAATAGATGCTTCAAGGCTTTGAGTAGGAATGCCTTTGGTTTCCAAGTCGGCCTTATAATAGATGCAGCCATGTTTCCGGAATAACACTGATGCAAGCTTTGCTTCTAAGTCCACGAGCTGATCTACAAGGCCTAGTTGTGATTCTCTTGGCCAATGGCGCCATAAGTTCCCTAATGGCTTGCCGGCAGCTTTCTCCTCAATAATATATTCGACGCCGACTGGATTTAGTGGGTTCAAAGAATAAGTATGTATGCGTGGTACAGGAAAATTCAAAACTTCTTGTAGCTATAGGATAGGGATTAGTCTTGACTAAATCAACTTGAACGCAATGAATGTACTCACGAAGCTTCGTGTAGCGACCTCAGATGCAGTTGTATAGAATGCTGACCCAGCATTAGGATTGGGTATCTTCGCTAGAACCTCCACGCCATTGTCCATTGTCATGAGAAATGCTTTGTTATACTGGCCTTCAAGACACTTCAGAACTTTTATACCTAAGGTACAACCATATAAGCATATATTAACTTCTATCATGGTCCAACTTTGGATTGACTTCCCTAGGTAACTACTAAGAATAGTGAATAGTGGCCTTACATGATTTAGCTCCAGGACCAGCAGTTTTAACAGCCACATCTAAGAGAGCTTCAAGGTTGAATCTGCGATAACGCGCAGCAAGTTTCTCGGACTCATCTGATCTAGATCACGTTAGGTCTGTAGTTAGTTGTATATAGCATGGAGTCGCAACCATACAGCCATCTGTAACGGGTGTATTGATATAGCTCCTCTTCTGAAATTACAGCTTCTGCTGTAGATAAGTACTTGTATACGAATATCTCCTGAAGGGAGTCATCTTTTATATCTCACCTGAGCCATCCTCGGTCTCCTTTCGAAGCACTGGTGATAGTCCTATGCCACACATCGTTCGAGAGCCCTCCTGGGGGTTGCGTAGAATAACTGTGCGCTGGGTGGCTCGGAGTATAAGGCCAGCTCTAAGTTGTGTGGACGCGTAAAAGCGCATCTTTGTTGCAGTACAATACCTAGATAGCTACATAGGTAGCTAAAAGGAATGTAGGTCAATCGGATTGGAAAATCTCGGTCTCACCCGGGGCACCCTCGATCCCTGTTTTCTGTATTAGAGCTCTAATTCGTATTAGTATCGACCACAAATACCAATTACTATTAGAGCTAAAGTTATTCAGAAGACTGTCCTCTCTGAAGACGGTCGGAAGACCCACGATTATTCAGGCTTGTAAGCACAAAGCTCAAGGGATACACCTTCTAAAATACGGATCTTCTCGCAGTGCACGATTCATTTAGGAGGCATCTTTGCTAGAAGTGATTTATTCTACAGCGTAATTTTGTAGGACATTTTGACATACAAAAACGCGTACAGGAGACTTTCTAGCAATTTTGGAAAGCTCGATTTTGATGGCTTTTGATATCTGGTTGAGGACTCTTCAAATCTACACCGTCCTTGTATAGCCTGACCATCCGCCAATCCTCCGGATTAGATCATGAGCCTCTCCACCTTATCCTTAAGCCCCCTGATTTGTGCCATCAGGTCGCTTGCCTCGTTGGTCGTGATGCTTGCGGCGATGACAGAGCGACTGACACCACATGCCCGACCAAGCGCAGTCTTGCTGGGAACGAAGATATATGGCACGTTCTTATCTTCCGCCAACAGAGGGAGATGAAGAAGGATCGCGAGTGGCGCGGTGTCTGCAGCGAGAACGACGATCTCCGCTATACCACGGTTGAGTGTCTTCGTAGCTGTAGAAAAGCATCGCGTTAGCATCCAGACTCGATTCGAATGTATTATAGGGTACATACCTTCGTTTGCACCTTTCTTAAGCTGGCGGAAATGGCTGGCTTGCTGAACAAGATCCAGGATTTCCTGTGTGAGGTCGGCGCCAGCCAGAGGCCACGCTGCAAAGCATTAGCAAGGGGGCCACACGCAGGACCACGGCATCAACATACCAGCTGCGTTTTGTTCAGACATGATGAGATTTTGCGGAAGGATCACGGCCTGTACGTTGGCTCACCCTTTGCGCTGATTCGAAGGAGAAAGCTTTCGATGTTTGAAGAAAAGATTTGCTTTGCTGCGCTTCAAAAGTTATACTGTGCGGCTATCTTTTCTGCCGCCTCACCGCTCTGAGCTAAGCCAATAAGAAGAGGCCCACCGACAATTCTCGACCCTATTGGACGTCATTATGACTAAGCACAAACTCCTGCATGGATCTCTATCTAATCTATCTGATCTATACAGGATCACCACGGATTTCTTGTAATGTGATGCAAGGAGTCAATACCCAAGAAGTGGACAATGGTAGGTTCCCGTCGCTCATATTGGAAAGCTAAATTGGAATCCTCACCCTACCAACCATTCCCCATCCCCTCCCATGCACTCCCATCCACAGATTCCCCATCCAGACCGCCAAAGCCATCATCAACCCACTCCATCTTTTCTAACTCCCTCACGAAGAAATCATGTTCCTCCGTCAGTAATTTCGTATCGGCACCCATCTTATCCCGGTATCGTTTAATGTTATGCCAATGCGTAAGGGCTCGCAGTGCCTGTTCCAACGGGAGAGCTTCTTCTACCTCCGCATCAATATCACTGCCCGCTAACCAATCGTCTCTTAATTCTGGTCTGCAATGGAGGTAGACTGCGGTGATGACGCGCATGTGGCCCTGCCGCCATTTACGGCCGCAGTACGGGACTTGGTTCTTGAAAAGCTTGAGAGTGTAGAGTCTCAGTTCCGGCTGCGGAATCTTGAGACTCTTTTTCAAAATGTTGGAGCTTTTGTATTGAACCAGAAGTAAATTCCGATGGGCTTTGTTCTTGCATATTTTTTGCATAACACGCAAGAAATTGATGCAGGAGGCGAAATTCCGCCACGAGAACTCCGTAATAGGCTCGGGTGGTAGTTCAGTGATGGGATGCCCTAGCTCGTCAACTTGAGGGATGGGCCGTCGTCCTTCTGTTTTTCCTTCTTTGAAGGCAAGAGCTGGCAGCTTACCCTCGTTGTCGGGGACAGCAGGGGGAGGTTCGCGGCGGAGTTTGATGGGTGGTGGAGCGGCTTCATCTTCTTCGCTTCCTTCTGGTTCAAGATCGTGTGGTGCATACTTGCTATTTGCGTTGCAGAACGCGAAGAAGCTTATTCGTAAGTATGGAACTCGGAATCGAAGCGTGAAACTCACCTCATGTCATCGCGATCCGTTTTACTATCTACGACCTTGTCGATCTCTTGGTGGGCGAACAGTTTCAGTACTAACGGGAGGTAATTCGAATCGAGGAGAAGTTGAGTGAAATACTCGAATTTCAAGATGTCTGCATTGGATCAGCTTTTCCTTGCTGAGCTAGTAGGTAATAACTCACGTGAAACTTTGAACCATTTCAAGAGGATGAGGAGAATTCCAGATACGGCCTTGGCGGTGATCTCCCGGGACCTCATCGCCTCAATCTCATCAACGGGCAATTCTGCAGGATCGATAGAATTAGGAAGAGGAATATTGGCAGGATCTTGTTGTTTATTCTGCCCTTGGCCCACGCCATTGGCGCGAACGTTGGTCTCTTGTCTGTAGCTAGGCCCAGAGCCTCCTTGGGCCTGACCTAATGGTTGGGTGATGAGGGCAGTGACATTGGCCAATATTGCTTTCAGTAAAACTATGACCAGGGACTGGAGATGGGGTAACGCTTCTCTCTGAAGACTGTCAGTGCTATTATATGTTTACACAGGGCAAAACTTACATAGAAATCTTCAACAATGTCCAGCTTCGCCTTGACTTCAGGATCGACGTCCAGATTGGGCCCATAATCAACATGACGTGCCGGGGGTTTCGGTTCATCAGTGGTGAGCTTCTTTGCCAAAAGATCGTCTAAGTCCAGCTCTTCTATATCGTCGTCGTGGTCGTCATCCCATCCTCGCTCGAATTTCAGAAACCTCTCGCGCTCATCCCATAACTGTCGCATGGCTCGTGTCATGCGCATTCGTTTCGCAAACAACTCCCCGGCCTCCAAGATCGATGTTGGGATGTCGCTTCCATCCCATTTGCGACCGACCAGTTGTTCTTGCAATCCAGCCTTTCCCTTGCCACCAGCACTGTTACTAGTGCTGTCCAGCGGAGGGTACATAAAAGGAAAATTCTGGTTTGTTTGATAGTTTTGCTTCTTTCCAGCCTTTCCACCCACAGGGGGCGATGGAGGTGGTGAGGGGGCCGGTGTCGCAATATGAACGGGCTGGTGAAGGATAGAAGCTCCACTACTGTTGACATTCATTGGGGGAGGTATGATGCCATTGGATCCATTGGCCCTACTCGGTCGGTTTGGGAGAGGTGGGAGAATGGAGTTGTTGTCTGGTTCGAGGGGAAGTAAAGGTGGCGGTGGGGTATAAGCGGGATACTTGGACGTAATTTCCTGGCGGAATATATGATAATCGAGAGGTGAGGCTGTAATTAATTTACCGCCATCACCATTGAAGTTTGTCAATTCGTCAGTGGCCTTTTTGATCTTGTTGACTTCGGCTGTCCCTCCAAAGACGAGTAAAATGGATTTCCAGAAAAGGAGGAAGATCTGGATATGTTGTTAGCAAGGCAGACATACCGCATAGGGTTACTGACTCTTGTTTGGGGGAGTTCATTTGCTTCGTCCCATCGTAGCCGTGCAGTAATTGTAATCAGGTAATCTACAATCCTCGGGTTTAATTGTACTGCCAAATGTCAGCAAAATTCAGCCGTAGGTATAGTCATCCTTACATATTTTTGTCTTCGCATATTTGAGAGATTCTGGGTCATTTCGAATACCTTCAATCACCAAATACATTATCGTAGTAACATTATCAAGTTCATCCTGGATAAATGGAATGTCTTCTTCCAGCAATTGTGTTTCTCGAAATTCATCGTCCCTGGAGAGATTAGCAAATTTCCAAGTGGCACAGGGGAATTCTCACCAAAGGCGCTTAAAGGAGTCCTGCATGACCTGGAACAGATGTCGTATGCCATCTGCCTCCGCAACGAGCAGTATGCCAGCTTTCATGTGGTCAAGCTGAGATTTTGTAGCTCTCGTTTTGGGTCTCGGTGCTCCATCATCCCCTGGTTTTCCATGGGACTCTTTTTCAACGGCCTTCCCTTTGCCCTTCCATTCTCCATGCTCTTCCGGTTTTCCAGCAGTCTCGTTCCAAACCCCCAGAATGATGTGTAATATGGTCTGCAGACTCTTGCACCGCCTTCGAAGGTCTGTTGCCAGCAACCCATTGCTTTCTTGTTTGACAAACTGCTCCCGTTCCTCTTGGTCCGCCTCCAGCCACGGCTTCCCCGCGAATTTATTCCATCGCCTCTCAAAAGTGTCCTTTGCTCTGTGCAAGCGCCTGAATTCGGCCTCATTGTACGAGAACCATTCGTCCACCTCTTCCTCAAATGGCGCTGTATCTGCATACGTAAACGCGTATGATGTGGGATCCACTTTGGGAAACTCAGTAACGATGCGCCGGAGCTGCACCAACGAGAGCGAATCCGTTGGATTGCCGACCTGTTGCGGAGATGGAGGAGGGGGCGGTTGATGGGGCGGGGGAGGCTGAGGCTGGTTCCGCTGGAGCTGTGGTCGCCCCATTGGAATACTGGTCAGCGGTTGAGGGGCAGGAAGGCCAACATCTGCAAGGCCAGTGTCTGCTACATCGGCATCGCCCTTGGATTTGCTTGGGCCACCGTGGGCTGGTTTCGACCATAAGGAGGCCATGGTGGGTATCTTCGGAACGTCTCAGTCGTAAAGCAACATCATCGTGACATATTAGGGCTGGGAAAACATCTCCAGCATCGTATCGGCGTGAATGGACAGGCGGGATGATGTTGTCAGTGTTGAGGCGCGAAGAGGCCAAGATAGAGGAGCTCTGGGATCGACAAGACAACCAGAAGGCTCGCTTATGATAAGCGCCGATGAGAGAGACGATAAGGAACGCACGGCGAGGCTGCCCCCCTTATGATTAGGAGAAAAGGGAGAAAAATAGGATGGCTTCGTGGACTGTCAGGATCAGCAAAAGGAAGAGCCGCTATTGACAATATCGACGGCTGTATGTTCAAACAAGGGCTCGAAGATGAAGATAGGGGGTAAGGTGTTTGAAAAAGAGGGCAAAAAAAATTTGGCAAAAAAGGATTGTACATTCCATGCCAGGGAGTCGAACCCTGCGCTACCGCGAACTATCTGTGCAAGCACATGAGAGGCGGAAATGTTACCGATACACCAGCATGGAGTAACTTGTAACATAGGCTATTTGTTGAGAGCAATTTCTAATCATCATTTATGTGCCCTTCTTATTACGGTCTCCCCTGGCACGCGTCTCTGAGTCTCTCTCGAGGCCTTCACCGCCAACTCCTTTTGGCTCTAACTAAACAATATATCCAGAACACCCACGGCAGAAAAAGCGCCAGTCAGTCGCACATCACATCGCCATATCCAACACTCTCCGATGCAGTGTTTACGCCTGAAGACGAGGTGGAAATTCTCCAATCCCTCGAGCAAGCAACCATGTCTTCCATTACCGATACGGCGCGCTCTGCAACAACCGCGCTGCCCCGGCTCCCGCAAATTCTCCTCGAGGCGCGCAGAGGATCCCGACAACCAGCCTGAGCGGCCGGACGAGAGTTTCGAGCAACTCATCGCGAGATTTGGTCATCCTGGGAAATGGCCCAAAGACCAAATATTCAAAGCTTCAAAGAACGAGACCCTGACGAACGAGCTGGAGCGATATTATTCTCGGGTTCAGATCTTCCCCATCCTTCCCTTGCCCTTTCGTGGACCCATGCCCAGACTCCTCATAACTTATAAAGAGCCAATGTCGAAGGAAACAATTGGGCGCTGGCGGCGTGCTATATGGCTATATAGGATTGCATGGCTGGTTGGGATTGGCTATCTCATCAATACCTACATTCTCTCCGACTCAACTAATTCCAAAGGACATGCAATCTTCGACGCCCCAAGATTCGTACCATTCTCTATCGTCGCCAGAGAAGATGTCTCTCCCACAAGCTTTATTCTCACCCTTCGACCCTCCCACGGTGTAAAACCAGGCGTGGATCCATATGCGGATGAGTGGGATAAGGGGACCTGGTCTGTAGAATTTAAACAACCACAGTTGCAAATTGCTAGATCATATACACCGTTACCACCAAACTCTGATGTTCAAGACCCGGGTGACCTTCGATTTCTTATACGCAAAGAGCGGGGCGGAGAAGTGTCGAATTACTTGGCTCGACTTCCTGTTGGTGGGAAGGTTGAAATAAGGGGCCCGCATCCAGAAATCGACCTCCCAAGAGATATAACGGATGTTGTATTTTTGGCTGGTGGGACAGGTATTGCTCCAGCAATGCAAGTTGCATATACGCTGCTTGACAAGAGAACTGGAGATGAGAGGCCAAGAATACATATCGTGTGGGCAAATCGGAAACGGGAGGATTGTGTTGGGGGTGTGGACTCGTCTTCTGCGGGGAGTTTAACGGAAGATCCACTTCAATCAACTGGCACTATTGTAAGGGAGTTACAGATGATGCAAAATAGCCATCCAGAGCACCTAAGCGTGGATTATCTTGTCGACGAGGAAGGGACCTTTCTAGATCAAACGAAGATATCTGCGCTCACGACGGGGATATCACAGAGCAGTGCAAGCACTGGCTCGAAGCTCATCTTTGTCTCTGGGCCAGAGGGCTTCATCAATGTCCTAGCCGGGCCGAAGAAATGGGAGGACGGGGAGGAGAAGCAGGGAGAAGTGGGCGGGGTAATTGGACGGATGGGAGTAACGGACTGGAAAGTCTGGAAACTGTGAAGTTAAGTCTGGACGTCGTTCCTATTTTACATGTATGATAAATAATATGTACAATATATGTTCGCTATGGTCACGGAGGGTAGATGCCTTGGCTTCAGATTCCCAGGAAGTCTGTATCCATCTCTTCAAGTAGCATGCTGGGCGCAAGAAATGAATAACAAGCTCGTGATGGGAATGCCTTCAACTCGGTATCACACCCGCACGAAGCAAAGGCTCCAATACACAGCTGCTCAATCTGAGAGTTCTCCCGCAGTGAAGATCATGCCACTCTCTGGCAAAACGGGCGAAGAGATCTCCTTTGGGCCCCCTCGGGGAGAAAAGAGAATTTATTTTTGGGTTTGTGGGGGGGGGGGGGGGGGGGGGGGG